CGATTAATGTGCGCATGCTCAGTCTGCGCAATGTTAATTTTCTAATTCATGGAGATATTTCTTCGAAACATATGCTTGTAGTAAAAACAAACATATTGTATATTGCAAAAATCAGATGTGCGCATGCGCAAACTACGCAATACCTATTAACTTGCTTATTTATGGAGATATTTCTTTGATATTGTAACCTTCTAGTCTAAACAAGTATATCGCATATTGTAAAAATGTGACGTGCGTACTGCGCAATGTCGACTATCTTATTTATACAGATATGTTTTTGAAATGTTAACCAAAGATTCGTGTAGTAAAGACTAACATATCGCATATTTTAAACATCAGACTGGGCAATGGTGAATTTCTTGTGTATAAGAATATTTATTCCATATCTTATTTTCTTTATACACATGACCTTTCGGGAAGTTCTGATTAATTCATGGAAAATGCGACAAAGTTACTCGGCCTTTGTTTAATTTTTGATATTGAGTGTAAATTCTACTTTCTAAAAGAGAAATCTGTGTCACCAATAAGTTTAAACTTAGACCGCACTATGAATCCCATTTAATATTCCACATTATGCATTGCAAAACCGACGTAGGTAGCATCCAGTCAGTGGCGTAACTACAATGCCTCAAAGGGACCCGACTTAAAAGTGTCCCGGCAAAAATGTACAAAAAATTTAATTGGTATATAAAGAATTCTTTAAAAAATTGAATTATTTACATATTTTGCGTTACTAAAGGAAGAGATAAAACGTTCGGGAAAAGGCGTAATGCAAACTCTGACTAATGTTTTATTTACGAAGGGGAAGGCATATGCTTTCTTTTACAGTGTACCTTACTATGTACCTAGGTATATACGTACTGCACAGTGCACAATTTTTTTCCGATTATTTAGTATTTTAAAAAGTTATTTTTATTGTATTCACTTATTACTGACGTTAATACAGACCAAATTTGGACATTTACAGATTGTCTATTTTGTGTATACATACTCCATTAGTGAATAATGAACACGCATTTCGTTCGATTTAACCACAGTTAACTGTTCATCTGACTTTAATCTAATACACTCAAAAGTAACCAGTTCAAATAAATTTAAAAGCAACTCCGCTCCTTTTTCATTTGCGAAAAATAATATTCCGAAGTCTCTTATATAAAGTACATGAAATACTTTGTTAATTAACGGGACCTTCTCCAGTCTAGAAGGCATCTGAAGGTCCTGGATACGGTAATTTTAAGGTACGATTTCGATGGAGCCGTCGGCGGCCGCCGGTGACGGTCGCCAAGAAAACCAGAAAAAGAAGAAACCGTACCTTAAGACTGAAGTTGTATTTCGAGATGAATGCCACTAAATAATTTTAACACCCCAGCACCTCTACACGGACGAAACAGTTAAAGACATTCAAAAAAGGCAGGTTCATGCACAAAGAATTGAAGTTGCTGTAATGAAACGAAAAGATTGAAGGAACATTAACAACCTGCCAATCTTAAACAAATCAAAATGAAGACAACATTTAAAGTGAAAAAGCAAATAACAAACAAATTCAAGAGAGAATTGTTACCCTGTGGTAAAATGACCAGTTTTTTTACAAGGTCAGAAGTTCTATATGGGGTTCTATCGAGGGTTCTATCATTGTTAAAAAAATTCGAGTCTTCTGGGGTGTATTTCTAGTGAACCGGTCTCTTAAAATAAAGTTACGCCACTGGATCCATTCACAGCTATGCGAACGGAATCGGACATACATAAAACAATAGTAAAACAACAAATACCAATGTTATGACCTCGATGTAGCAAATGATTCTAGTCACGGTTACTCTGCCAATGCTTCATGATGGAAAAGTGGGAAGGAAAAATAGCGATTGTAACTGGAACGTCGTCGGGTATCGGGAGAGCAATTGCAGTTCGGCTTGTAGAGGCTGGTGTTAAAGTAAGTAGATGCGCTAAGGTTTTTCTAGTTATGGTGGTTTTGGTTTACAAGGTCGTTGGGCTTGCAAGACGCGAAGAACGAGGGCGGGAACTTGCCGCGTATTTGAACGGGAAAAAGGGCGAATTTCACCATATCACTGCGGACGTCACCAAAGAGGAAGATGTGCTGAATGCCTACCGCTGGATTGAAGCAAATTTAGGGCCGGTCCATATTTTGGTTAACAATGCGGGCAATGTAAAGGAGGGAGGGTTGATCGACACAGACTCGAGCGTACTTCGCGAGGTGTTCGAGCTTAACACTCTCAGTGTATGCATGATGACCAAGGATGCCGTAAAAATGATGAGAGCGCATGGCATTGACGATGGCCATATAGTCCATATAAATAGCGTGGGGGGCCACGTAATTTTGAACAATGTAAACGTTTACTCCGCAAGCAAACATGCCGTAACGGTATTGACCGAAACGCTGCGACGGGAACTGAACGCCATGGGGAGCCAAATCAAAATCTCCGTAAGTTTAATCTAGAATTAACCGCCCGAAGCTCAATAAAACGTTTCAGAGCGTCAGCCCTGGAGTGGTCGATACAGAGGTCTATGACAACACCGTCGAACTGAAGGGTATGGTCGAGAAAATGACGACGTTAAAAGCTGAAGACGTCGTCGACACGGTAATTTTTATTCTGTCTCGACCTCCCCACGTGCAGGTACCTACGTATGGAAATTGTTTCTAAGTTGATTGCATCTGAAAACTTTTAGATTCACGACATTTTCGTCCGACCAGTAAACCAGCCCTTCTAACCGCCACCCGCATACAAATTATTAATAATTACTGTCTGTAACTGTTGTTACAATCACATAATTAAACAAAAGTAACTCACCAGAATGTCCAGTATGATCCACACCAATAACAAAAATGTTTAAATATCACGTAGAATTTCAGGACTACTACTTCTGTGCGGTAAGGTATAAATTGGCCAATTGGGGTTCCTCATTAAACGTATTCTCATGCTATTGCCAGCGTTGAGTGTGGAAGAAGAAGATGTTCATGAAGAAAAACTGAAGTATAAGATAAAGAGGAAATTCAACACCCTTTTATACCGATTGATCGCCTTTTTTCTAGAATTTTGGTAAAAGGAAGAACTGTCTACAATTGGTACGAGTGACGGTCTATCCCTCACATCCAAAACCTCCTCAATCTCTCCTTCCGAGATTGAACACCAGTACCTACTACGTTGAATTGCTGCAAGGACATCAACAAAAGTCATGTGTCTGCATTCATGTGTTATTCTATCTTAGCTCTTGAATGTAGTCAAGATGGGGTCTTATACAATACACTACACAGTTTTAAATAATGTCCCCAATGAGAAAAATCTCGAAACAATAGTGACGATTTTGTTATCCCACTACTGGCAATTTCTACGCACCAAAATTAATAAGAAAAAGTGTTTTCCCGAGAAATTTTGGTGCAGTCAATTTTTGGTAAAAGAGGAAGGTTATACACTGCCCTTTTTTGAGCCCCGAAAAAAAATTGTCCCAGATCGACCCGGAAAAAAAATTTTCTTATAGAATGTGGCCTGTAGAATCCATAATTTCAAACAGTTCCAAGATTGGGCTTCTAGTTCAAAAGTTACAGCCCTTTGAATTTTATTTCGAAACTGGTTTCTAGTCCATAACTTCTGATTGAGAAGTCTAATCGAAATAGTACGAATTGTATTGGATTCTACGCACCAAAATTAATAAGAAAAAGTGTTTTCCCGAGAAATTTTGGTGCAGTCGATTTTTGGTAAAAAAGGAAGGTTATACACTGTCTTTTTTTGAGGCCCGAAAAAAAAATTCTCAGATGGACCCGGAAAGAAAATTTTCTTACAGAATCTGGCCTGTAGAATCCATAATTTCAAACAGTTCCATGATTGGGCTACTAGTTCAAAAGTTACAGCCCTTTGAATTTTCTTTCGAAATTGGTTTCTAGTCTATAACTTTTTTTTTAGAAGTCTGATCGAAAAAGTACGAATTGTTTTGGATTCTACGCACCAAAATTAATAAGAAAAAGTGTTTTCCTGAGAAATTTTGGTGCAGTCGATTTTTGGTAAAAAAGGAAGGTTATACACTGCCTTTTTTTGAGCCCCGAAAAAAAAATTGTCTCGGATCGACCCGGAAAAAAATTTTCTTATAGAATGTGGCCTGTAGAATCCATAATTTCAAACAGTTCCAAGATTGGGCTACTAGTTCAAAAGTTACAGCCCTTTGAATTTTCTTTCGAAATTGGTTTCTAGTCTATAACTTTTGATTGAGAAGTCTGATCGAAAAAGTACGAATTGTTTTGGATTCTACGCACCAAAATTAATAAGAAAAAGTGTTTTCCCGAGAAATTTTGGTGTAGTCGATTTTTGGTAAAAAAGGAAGGTTATACACTGCCTTTTTTTGAGCCCCGAAAAAAAAATTGTCTCAGATCGACCCGGAAAAAAAATTTTCTTATAGAATGTGGCCTGTAGAATCCATAATTTCAAACAGTTCCAAGATTGGGCTACTAGTTCAAAAGTTACAGCCCTTTGAATTTTCTTTCGAAATTGGTTTCTAGTCTATAACTTTTGATTGAGAAGTCTGATCGAAAAAGTACGAATTGTTTTTGATTCTACGCACCAAAATTAATAAGAAAAAGTGTTTTCCCGAGAAATTTTGGTGCAGTCGATTTTTGGTAAAAAAGGAAGGTTAAGTATTCAAATACTATGCGAAGTATTTGAATACTTCTCAAAGTATTCAAATACCTTGCCAAGTATTCGAATACTTTCCGAAGTAAGTATCCAAATACTTTGCGAAGTATTCGAATACTAAATATTTGTGAAAGTATTTGAGTTACAAATACAAATTCTGCTTCCATAAAAATATTTAATGACAATGTATTTGAATACTTTAAAGGATTTGAATACTAAAAAGTATTTACAAAACCGAATACTGCCCAGTTCTGCTTGCAATTACAAATTACAATCGGTCTTGTGTAAGTAGACGATTCTGATAGGTAAAGTGGTAGGTAACCGCCATTTTTTTTAACTAGGTATGTACATCATTTTGTAAAAGACTCTAAAAACGTTTATTTTACATAAAGAATATTTCGATCAGTTTGAGAAACGGTTCGTGAATATCCTAGATTGGTTGAGTTATTGGTCTAACTAAAATGTCTTGAATCTGAACATGCGGCGGCCTCGAAAGTACAAACAAGACCATATCTGCAATGTCTTCCGATTTTAATGGATCCATTGATTGTGTAATGTTCTTGAAGTCTTGATTGTAGTCACACAATTCTGTATGGACCACGCCAGGACTGATACTCTGCAAACTGACTTTACACAACGAAGACGTCATCATAATACTCACCGATATCTTAATTTGGCTTCCGATTGTGTTCAGCTCTTGCCGTAGCGTCTCTGCCAGAGCCTTTACAGCAAATTTGCTGCCGAAGTACACGTTTGAATTTTTGATGGGAAGTACTATGTGACTCCCTAAACTGCCTATGTGAACTATCTGACCCGCTATATCATTGGCTCGCATCACTTTTATAGCTTCCCTGGTCATCATGCAGAGACCCATAACGTTGGTGTCAAAAACCTCCCTCCACATGCTCGTTTCTCCATCATACAAGCTACTCTCTCGCGTAATACCGGCGTTATTAACCAAAATGTGAACCGGTCCCAAATTTTCTGTAACCCACCCGAACGATTTCAGCACGTCTTCCTCCTTAGAGACATCGCCGGTAATATGGTAGTATCTGCCTTTTTTCCCCGCCAAAACCGACTCAAGTTCCCTTCCGCGATCCTCGCGTCTGGCAATACCAACGACCTAAAAACTCACAAGGGAATAACGTCAGTTCATACAAGTCGCTTACGTCCACCCCCGCCTCAACCAATTGCGTTGCAATCGCCCGACCGATCCCGGAACTTGTACCTGTCACAATTGCAACCTTTCCTTCCCATTTTTCCATGTTTACCTGAAATGAAACTTGACTGTAGGTACACAGTGCGAGACTTGCGATAAACAACGGCGTTATCCCACAATTATCACAAATGCGCGTGTCCTATTTAGCGTGACTGTGTGATTTGAGTAGTCAATATTTCCCAAGGCTGACTAGTCGTTTAGGGTGGCAGAATTTAATTTGATTACATTGAACCATGACACCATTTTCTTTAAAACATAATGTTACGATGTGTTCGTTTGTTATCTTTTAGTACATTAAACTTGGAAGATAACGTCAAGTTTGATAGTTCTCTGTTGCTATCCATTTCTGTAGTTTCGAAAACTAGTCCGTATAGTGAGTTTGCAGGAACAACATTACGTAAAACTTCCAAAATAATGTTTTGCATTCAAATTTTCTTGATACACATGGCAACACAAAATATTATTTTTGTACTCATTGAATGGAAAGATAATGTTTCCAAGCATCCTCGATGCACGGGAAAACGACTTTCCCGCATCGCGGTGTTTTTTAGTTTCCGCTGGAGATAAGGGGTTATGCGCATTCTTCAGTTGGTAGTACTTATTGAAGTCAACGAACGTCATGTCATAACTGTCATCTGCTGTAAAATCAATTAAACCGTTGGTTGAGGGTATTTAGTGCGATTAATCGGAAACAGACGTACACTAAGTTTTACGTAAATATATAAACAAGAACTTATAACGCAATCAAATTATTTTTCAGAATTGGAACTCAAGAAAAAGTAAAATTTATTGTTAAAACGTCTTAAAATGTGACCAGTGATATTCCGCAACTATTGGCATATGCAGGTTAAGAAAGCACATATTAACACACACAAAGCTTCCAAGGATTATAAATGTAACGAGTGTATTTACGCAACTCAAGATAAATCAAATTTGAGATCACATTTGTTCACACGTCTTCTGGGAATATTAAATACGATCAGTACACTTACGCGACCAATAAAAGCACTCTTTTCAAAGCATATTTGTTAACACTGAAGACTTCCAAGGATATGCAGTGCAAACGATGCAATTCCGTGACCAGTGTAGCACTCATTGCAAAGGCAAAATATGTATTAACCAAAGGTCTGAAAGTTTTAAATGTGACCAGTGCGATGAAAAGTGGGTAGTTACAAAACTATGTTACCAACCAAACATATTATTGTGTTACCAACTCATGATTAAAAAAAAACTAATTTACAAAATTTTATTAATTTTGACCTTTTTTACGCAATTCGTTACAAAAAATATTGTACCTAACTCTTTCGGAAAGAATTTTCCCGCATTCGCACAAAATGCAGCACTCCCTACGGTCGTGCTGCAAACAAAGTGCTCATGCGGAAAAATTAACTTACCGAACTTGTTAGGTAAATAACTATTTTCAACGCACAAAACACGTTAAAACTCAAGCACTCTTTCGAACACACTTATCGATAAAAACAGGATTTTGATCGCACCAGTAATGATCGAGTTATGGCGATTAAACATGATGTTTCTACTCAATTTGGCCTCGTCTGACCAAATAATGTTCCCCAAAACACTATCGTCTTCCGCTGATCTCTTAACATTAGCCATTCGCAAAACCCAATTCATCTTGGGAGATCCCCTCGTCGCATATTATAAAAAGAAAATGATCAAAGTCCTCGTGTGAGATCGAAGGGACTTCAGCGCATTTTTGTGTGGCAGATCAGTGTTTTATTAGCCAATATTGACTCCACCATCAATAAGATCTTGCCGAAAGCTACCACGTTCACTTTGTCGGTACCATTTTCTCACTTACCGTGCACTCGCAATTCGCGTTTGAAGTTTTGACTCCACCATCAGTAAAATCCTTTGGGGGTTACCATATTCCCTTTGTCGACACCCACTTCTGATCACCCGCAACAATTCGGATTTGAAGTTTCGACTCCACCATCAGTAAGATCTCGTCGGGGGTTACCACATTCCCTTTGTCGATACACAGTTCCGACGTCCCGTTCATTCGTAATTCACATTTTGGTAGATTTCGCTAAAATTCCGGCATAAAATCGTATTCAACTTTTGGGTACTTCACATAGCTCGACCTTCTATTAGTGACACGAGAAAGAGAGACCGCGATTCGCGCTGTAAGAAACTTTTGGGCGCCCAAAGTCGACTACCCCTCGAAGCGCGCCGCGCAAAAGGTGGTTTATTTCGCCCCTAGGAAAAAAAACAAAATTCCGCCACGCAGGAGTTGTGCGCGTTGGCAAGATCTTCCCGTACGACACCAATTTGAAAACAATCGGAGAAAAACTGTAGAAGAAGATAGATAAAAACTGAAATATCTCCAGGTTAGTATAATACGCTCGGGGATGGCGTCCAGATGTCGTCGACTCCAAATCTTGTAGCCCCATCCCTAACGTTCTTAATTACACGGCCCCGATAGTTACATGTACACTCCTTGTCTTTTTACAAGCGTTTTTCTACGGGCGCGCATTTACTGCCAGCCAGCCGGCCAGCCAGCCAGCCAGCCAGCGAGATTAAAAGCTACTTTTTACAACAAAAAAATTTTGCAAAAATGCGCTAAAAAGGGGCACAATGGTAGTTAGATGCAGCTAAAAGGCGTCAAAAATAAGTCTCAACAGTATAAGCTTGGAACGAGGGGCAAGTTATCTATCTCGGGGGCGGGATTCTGCTAATAAAAATTCTTCGGTTTAGAATCTATGTGTGATATCAGATATATGATTTTAGATTCATGATTTCCTTACTTTTGTTGTAACATTGTATTTGCCCTGCAAGGCCATGTAATTAGCCATCTTTCTTTTAACAGAAGGATTTTATTGCACCAAAGACTTCATGTGCCTTTCATCCTTAGAATTTTTGCTACCTGCTTAGGTATCCTACACTTGTTTTTGACTTTATGATTGCAACCAACTTGGATTTATTCTTAAAACAATTATATATACATAAATAGATATAGGCTTCCATTTACTTTCAATAAGAAGCAACTGTGCCAACATATACCTAAGACAGATATATTTTGAACTGTAAAGTAGAACACCGCACATGCACAGTAGCGTCAGTAGCATAGGCATCGCAAGAATGGGTCATTTCATATTTATGTAATAAATATAAGAGTACCGTTTTAGCGCATTTTTTGATTCCCAAAAAGGAGCTTATTATAGTTTCACTAACTGACGGCCGTTCGGGCGCCCTTTAATGTTTATATAAATCGGTCGAGATCTTGGCAATGGAATATTGTAGAACTTTCGACATTATATTCGTACTATCGTGTTATTCCTGCATCGCTTCGTACGTTTGGGCGCCTTTTATACATTGGCTGATATCTAAACAAGTTAAAAAGTAATCGTAAACGATTTACATAAAGCGCATTTCCACTTGCATTCATTTCCCATTTGTAAGATGCAACTTCTGTTAAAATCGTAAAAATCCGGCCACAAATATGAAAGATAGCGTTGCACATGGGCAATCCATTATTGACGTGCTACTTCAATTTCAGTTTACAGGAAGAATTTCATTTCAATGCTTCTCTAAATAAGAAAGTTGGAACTGCGCATGTGCAAACCTAAATTTTGAAACTAACGTTAGATTTTCCTTTGTTCCAAGCGCCTATGTATCAAATTTCGTTTAAATGCTTCCATAACTAAAAAATTTGGCACTGTGCATCGCAAAACCAAATTTTGAAACTGGCGTTTGATTTCCCCCTATTTTCCAAGTGCCTATGTATGAAATTTCATTTAAATACTTTTAAAAATAAAAAGTTTGCAATTCGGTTTATAAATGGTCGAGATGCGAAAAGGACACTGTGAATTTTGAATCCATTCGACTCAACTTTTGGCATTGCGTATTATTATATGGCTAAAGCTATGCCCATATTGAATTTCATGCAATTCAGTTCACACGGACAGATAGAGGGACAGACAGACAAAGGAACAGACGGACACACCAACAGACAGACAACAGACAGCAAAACAAAATTATAAACGATCTTTAGGATTGTTAATAAACGGTAAAAGTGTAAAATTATGGAACATGTAAAAAACTATTTTTTTGGTTTTTTTACAATAACTTTTTTAGAAATAAACGCACAAAAAATGCCTCGACACCATCACGCACCAAATAGCGAAAAAAGTAGAACAATAGCTCTTAAGAACTAGTAGCGTCTCAACGCACGAGCGGACGGGCGGACGCACAGACGCTTTTTTTATTTTTGTGGAAATGCGCTAAAAAAGGAATACCTAAGAGCCTTCGGGATTTCAGCATTAGTTTCATACTGTCGTTATTCCTGCATCGCTAAGTCTGAAAGCTGAAAACTGCTAAGTTGTCAGACAACAGTGATAGGGCTGTACCTCTGAAAATGTGAAAAAATGTCAAATAACTTTGAAACCATGGCAGTTAGACATAGCATCATTTGACAAAATCATACTGATTTTTTATGAGGAATTCAAACATGGTATCAGAAAAGATAGTGCTATTTGAAATAAGAAAGTTCCGGTACCGGTCTGACACAACTGGAAAAGCGGCCATCTTGAAAATATTTTTCAATAATTCCTTTCGATCGATAATTCAATAAAGGTAATGGGTCCCGATTCGAAATTCCAAACCGTTCCTGAAATACTTCTAATGGTCCACTTAACGCCACCCATATACCTATTTCACTTTCCCAGAACATTTAACTAAAGCTTCCGAAAAACACCCTGTATATATATAGGTATCCCTTAAGGCTCCTCTGTAGTCAATCCGCCATATTGGAAAAAATAGCTAAACGTTCTTATGAATGTAGTTGCAGACTAACAAATTCTCGATAGTGGATATTCTTTGCAATGATGAAAAGAACGGCAGTACTTAAAAAAAATTGAAATATCGGTTTTAGTTTTTTAGGAAGATCGATGAATAGAAAAATCCTTTTTCGTAAATAACAGCCGTTGTAATGGGAGTAGAAAAACGTACAGCACCAATTTGGAAATCCGACAGTATTTCCCACGGCGGTACTTAAAGATATTATTTCCACCTATTATGATAATGCATATATTTTTAAAAATATGTATCGCGATCTTCAGAAAAAAATCAAAACGCTAACGTAACGATAGGCAACTCAAATTGCACTACAACTCCTGAGGCGACAACTCATTACTGAAACTACCTGGCATTATTTCGTGAAAAACCCTTAAAATATTCTTCATGAAACTACGTGTCGTTCAAAGCGCAAGGGCAAACATCATTGCATGGTCTCTTAAAAAATTCTTTAAATTGTTTACTGGACAAGGTTTGCCTACTTTCCCAGTAACTTTGGTCTAGGCCTAGTAATTTGGGTTCGGCGAGTGAATAGTGAATCATTTTCAGAGGGCGAATCTTCTGGGAGCGAATACTCCGAGGGCGAAGTTTCTTGGTGCCGGGTAATTTTGGAACCAAATCCTCCGCGCGCGAATTTTCTAGGGGCAAATTTACCGCATACGCAGATAAATAAATTGCATCACTTATATTCGAAAATTTATTTAAAATACTGCATTTTAGGTACCTAATTAAACAAAGTGGTTGCTTCACATTATTTAGAATGTTTTCTGTCCATTTTCTATTCCCTGTTAAAAACATTTTTAAATGTATTTCACCTTCCTCTGATACTTCTTAAGTTAAATGTCCTCTTTATTAAGTTGGTCAGAAGTACATTTTTAAATTTTATTTTATCAGTTTGGGCGTTGTTGATTCCATGCACAAATGTTTGGGATTTGTCCCACTACTTTATGCAACTGGATCGCGTTTTCATAAGCACGAATTTCTTTAACATAGTCCTACCAACCTGTTGTTTGTTAATCATAACCTCACTTTCTATTTCAAATTGTGACTACAAAATCAGGTAAGAAATTGTGTAATTCTTTACAAATAATCACACAAAATAGAAGTTTATTTGCAAGTAAAGCTTTATGTACAAAAAAACTAACCTGCCCACTTAAGACACCGAGTATCCATATGAGTGTCCATACACTTAATCGTACAATACCTCATACCGCACGTCAAACAAACATACTGACTGAAAAAGCCACACACAGCACAAAAATGTCTGTAGGGCATATTAGTGTCCTCACTCGCCATATCCATATACGAAAACCTACCCGTACTTTCCGCCTCGACACGATCCTCCTCGAGCAACTGCAAGATATGCTTACGAAACTTCATCTGGTAATACTCGGGACTTTTCTCCTTCTTCTTACTGCGCGTGCGCGTCTCCAAGTTGTCTTCAAACTTCGGTATCTTCTTGCTCATAACCAGGTCGGCGTGCGGATCTTCATGATAATTATCGGCGTCGAGACTTTCGATCATTTTTCTATGCCGACGTTTGCGCGAGGTCTCGTCCACAATACGTCGCTTTTCATTCTCCTTCAGGCGGGTAGAGCCGCGCAATGTCAGTTTCGATATCGTCATGTTTAGGCCTTCTCGGTGACTGGGAAACTAATCTGATCCATGAGATCGTCGATTTTCGCCTGGAGAACGTCCAAAATGTCTGCCGAAATGAACAGGTGGAACTCGTCGAGATCTTGTATTATAAACTTCCTTCCCAATTTTAACGTTTCGTCCAGGTGTAGTAAAAACTGTTTCATAGCAGGATCACTGGAAATAAAAATGTCGCGTAAGGGAATTTCGACTGAGGAGAAGAAAGCGAGAATGCTGCAGCTGTTTTACGAGAGGAAGGAGTTCTTTCAGCTGAAGGATTTGGAAAAGATCGCGCCGAAGGAGAAGGGTATAATTGTCAATTCGGTCAAGGACGTCTTGCAGAGTTTGGTCGATGATGGGGCTGTCGATACTGACAAAATAGGCACGTCCATTTATTTCTGGGCGTTTCCGAGGTGAATAAGTGCTTGTAATGTTTGCGAAATTGAATGTGTCTCCTACAGCAAGGCCCTCAACTCCAAGAAACGCAAAGCAAACGAATTAGAGGATCAGTTAGCGGAAGCTAATAAGAAACTAAAGCTAACGGTAGACTCCATCACGGAATTAAAGGTAAAACAAAAGCAGCACAACACAAAACTGTATACGACATGTTGTACTTTTAGTCAGGATGTGACAATAGTCGCGAAAGAAATGGGTACCTCGACGAAATTATGGAGTTGGAAATACAGAAAAAGGTTCTCGATAAGGATATGGAGAAGTATGCCGACTGCAATCCAATTACTTTAAGGAGAATGCAAGAGCAAACAACGGTAGGCTATTTACACCTTGTACAACTTACACATGAGTTGTAATTGCAGAAATTAAAAGAAGCGGCGAATCGCTGGACTGATAATGTCTTTAATGTAAAGTCCTGGTGCAAAAGGAAATTCAACATGGAAGACCAGGAGTTAGACAAACAGTTCGGGATACCAGCCGATTTTGATTATGTGGATTAAATGTTTACTAATGAGAATAAAATAAAGGAAAACACTCACCATTTCACCAAAATTCCTTTCATAACATTAACCATTTTCCGGATTTTGACATTTGTTACTAGTTACTAGGGAATTTTACGTTGTTGTGTTGGCAATGCAGTGTTAAATTTTTAAACCATGATTGATGTACAGTGTGGTCCAATTTCGATAGAATTAAATGGGTAACTTTCTTATTAGCGCAGATAAACGAAAATGGCTTAGGTACTCGTGAGCTCTTTTTTCATGCTTATTCCATTACCGTTGGCAGCAATATGCTGCCGTCTTTTGTTTTTTCACTAGAGAGAAAAACTGAAATTTATTCTTGAAACTAGAACAAAATGGCTTTAGCATTATTTAGACGATGCAGCAATAACACGATAGTACGAATATAATGCCTACAAGAGAGAGAGAGAGAACCGAAAAATACCAGTTCTATGGCACTAATAATGGGTTCCGGTTCCAGTACCGGTTCTTTTCGGTTCCGGTTGCAGCCCCTAATGCACACATTTTTGAGAGCTGGCAACCACGTGACTTTTTAGAAGAAGGTGAAAGCTGTCTGCACTACCATCTCGAGACCAAAAACGCTTCATACATCTTATGGTTTGGATCATATTCACGATTCAGATTAACACTAAAATAGACGCACTGATGTAATTTAGAAATGGCGTATATTGGTGGGAGCGGTTTGTAAACATTGGATTATTGTAGCGGGTTTTTAAGTGGAAATGTACTAATTTCAAAGTAAATTGAATGTATCCTGCCGTTTTTGAGACTTGAAAATATAACTCGCCTTAATTAATTCTAACCTATAGGTACCTGAAGGGCCTTTTTCTTAAAAACTCGAGGGTGTCTTGAACTAGCTTATGAACACGCAATTAACTTAATTTTCTAATTACAAATAAAGATCAAAATTTATCATTCAATTTATAGTGCATTCGTACAACTCGCCGACATTCCCTTACGTTGATTATGCTTTAAAACAGCCTTACTATTCGTGGCACAATTACAATTTAAATTTTTCGATTGTGGTATACGTATACCTAATCGCGCAGAGTGCACGTACGTAACATCCCTCTGCTTATCGTGTGTAGGTATAACGCAATTACACTGTTCACAAATTAAATGTTGAGAATAAGGTTGTGTGTTACTTTAAGCGAACACTTAATTGTAGTAGGGTAATTAAATTACCAGTGTAATTATCAGTATAACAGTGATAGAAAGTTATTCAAAGCGGAATGCCCCAAAGAATGACGTATATATCTCCCATTTTTTGTTGTGTAATTAATTGCACTGTTCACAATATTAAAGACTTTGGAAATGTTACGCGTTCGACGATGATTCTTTAAACTTAGCCTTATTTATTGTTGGCTGTGTAATTGCACTGTTCACAATTAAAGACTAGAAATATTATGCGTTGGGTGACGATTTCTTCAATTATCTCTATTATTGTTGATTGCATAATTACACTGATCACATTTAAAGTTCTTGAAAGTAACGTGATAAAATATGACATTTTAAACTATACTGCGGTCTTTAAAGTGTAATTACATTGTTTGCAAATGAAATTTTTGCAAGTGGATTTCCTTTTACAGCCGTAAAAAGTACAATATTACTTTTCGCGATTGTAAATAAACAAAATGGCGGTATTATACCGCCAAGAGTAAATGCAATGTGCTGCCGTCAGAGGTCTTACTGTTAATTTGAATCGTGGTATTTAAGTTTGTTGGTTTTCTATGGGTCATAAAATGCAGGCAAGTACTAATCTTTGCATTTCTTTATAACTTATTTGTGTTTTGTATTAGGTACAGGTACAGTTTTTATAATTTTCATGTTTTTGAAGTAGATATTATTTACCTAACCTCAATTATGCATCGCGCGTATGAAAAATGCCGTTAACTTTTATTTGAATCGTTAGGGGTTAGGCTTTTTGGTGTAAATGCTTTTATAAATTTATGAATTCATGTTTCTTTCTATTAAATGGTTTTGGCCCGAAGTTGTACGTATCTAAGATTGTGGCTGATCTCGAATCTCATCTGCAATTCCCCGAACGAGGAACCAGTTTTCAGTTCCAAGAGTGTGACTCTCCTAACAAATTACTCTTCAGCTTGTATTTCATATGGGTTCCAAGCATGATCTGATACTCTTAGCACATCTTACTAGATTATATAGTATCGTGGGTTCCAAACCATAGTTTTAAGAGGGGGGCAGTGTAGTGAATTTTCTAGAGCTATGTCAAGGCACCATACATAGATATTGAAGTGATGGATAACGAAATACATTCTCGTGTCTTCATAGAACCATTTTTCGCCCACGAAACCGGTGTTGTTTGGCAAAGTTACAGTTACAATGTATACAATAGTTTATTTGCAGTTTAAAATGACAATATTTCTGTAGATATTAAACAAATACGAATACTTTTAACAGCTCATCAATTATTAATATATTACAAATGCTTAAAACTGCGAAAGTGTAGAAGAGCCACAGACAAATTTTGCATTATATTTGACAAACCCTAGTGTCCAATTAATGTATGATAATTACTAATTAGTATTACAGCTCATTCTACATGGCAAGTAAATGTGGGTCGATTGACAGACAGAAAATTAGTCGAGATAGATGGTTTAATTAGAAAAAAATGTCCTATGGCCCCTTTACATTTTCGTACTTAACTGCTACAATTATAACCTTTCTCCTAAAACAACTCATCCGCTAAAAAAGCACCATGTTATAAGCCTATTTCAAAAAATATACTTTTCAATCAATTGTCCTGGAAGATGAATGAAAACCTTTTTTTATCTCAAATAAACTTGCAACTGCAAAGCGCACTGAATTAAAACTTTCAATCCGGGCATAAAACTGGCGATTTGTGCGAAATCCGGTCCGGACACTAGCTGTGTATGCAAACTGAGTGAGTTCGAATAGTCGCCCGATTGCACTAGTTGCACTAACTGGTGGAGGCCGCTTAACGTGTTCGGGGATAGCTGCAAATGACGCGCCGTGAGAAGGTGGCGTTCGGTCTCAGACTGACTTACCTTGTCTTCTCGTAGGAGGTCGTAGAGGAATTCCAATTTTTTACCGACGTCCTCCAATTTCCGCTTGGTTTGCTGGAAGAGTAACATGCAAATGGGGAAGAAAGTATGAATTAACTTACGGGGTTGTTGGCGTTTGCTGAGCACCTACCGCGCAGGTCGTCAAAAACAATCTGCATTAACTTCTGCTCGCCCGATAGTGGGGCCTTTTGTATGATAGGCGCCGGAGCCTCGACGGCGGCCGCTGGGACGACGGGAGGTTGAACGTTAGGAATCGCGTTCTGGTGGTAAACGTCGGGATTTGGGGACGGCGGCATAAATCCGGTCGGCACTAAAGGTGGCTGCATCGGTGGCGGTTCGAAATTTGGATTATATAATGCGTTTGGTGCGAAAGGCTGCGCGTTCGGTGCGAACGGTTGCGCGTTCGGTACAAACGGTTGACTTTGAATGGGTTCCACAAAGCCATTGCTCGATGGTAGGGTTTGTGATGGTGCGACGCCATAAAGTGGGTGAGTTATGGGATCCTGTTGCACGTAATCAGACTGCTTCGCCTGTAAATGTTAAGTGTAATTTTGTATCAGTCCATGTGCATATTAAGGGCACTAATTAACCAGTTCTGGTGCACTTGCGATATGACGTGTTAGAACAGGTGCTTAGATGTTGTCCTCTGCAGTTTATCTTCATTAATTTTTTTCTGTTTGCGTTTTAAAATACAGGTAACAGCGCGCGCGATCGTAATTTTCGTAATAAACCACCATAAGATTCCGCTAGTGGATAATAGACTAAGACTAAACTTACGGCCGACGATTTCCGAACCGAATCTTCGATTTACGAATCATTTAAAAATAATTTTTACCAAAAATAATTGAAAATTTCAAATGGAAATTGTTTTTGAAACGGCACTCTAAAAAACTTAATTGAAAAACCGTTCAGTTTTATCATAGATTAAATGGATCGGGGAAGGAATGTACAGGCTGCCCCATTTTCGATACTGTTATAGTGTATCTCTGTAATTGTTGGTGCTACCAAAAAAGTAATATAGGCATCGTGTTCTTTTTGTACAAACTTAAAATGATAAAATTAAAAGTTGAAAATGTTTACTGTCAATTTCAGATTACCCTATATTTTCTTAGTTAAGAGATACAGAAAATTGCAAAATTTACTTTATAATGATTGTTATAATCTGTCGTTTCAAAATAAGAATACGGGGGCCAGGCAAAAAACTATGCGACTGGAACACCCTGTATATTTTAACAAAAAAGTTAGATATTATACATTCTCTTCTGAAAAGTATGCTACTAAACTTTCAAAAAATTCACTATTGATTCAAAAAGATCCACAAAAGATTTTTTTAAATTTAACTTGAACCATTTCAACCTTTTTTTTTTAATTTGTTTCAATTTTTTTGAATCTTTTCTGAATTTTTTTTTAATCTCTTGAATCTTTTTTGAATATCATCCCTGATGTGTTATATTTTTGTGAATAAATTGTATATGCTATCTATTTAGGTTAAAATATACTGGGTGTGCCAATAAAGTATTAGATGAGGTCCGATTGCTTGTTTACCTGATTTATTTTGAAAAAGGTAGATTATTCAACAAACTTTTGTATAAAATATTTTTGTGTATCTCTTGTCACGAAGAAAATATAAGGCGTTTTGAAATTGACAATTTTTTTATTTCCCCTTGTATCTCTTTTTAAAAATGAAAAACAGAGATAATATGAAAAAAGGTTCAAATGATTCAACAAAATTCAAAAATATTAAAAAAAATTAAAAAACGATGTAAATAATTTAAACAAATCTCAAAAAGGTTTTTGAGAGTATTTGGGTATTTTTGGAAAGAGAATTTAATATACTATCTTAGTTAATTAGAATATACAGGGTGTTCCATTTAAGAAAATGAGATTAGGTCCAAAACTTTTGTACCTAACGTTGTATACTGACTTTGAAAATTGCAGATTATTCATCAATTAGTACTTTTGTAATAATTTTTGTGTGTATAAGAAAATATATAGTCCTTTTTAAATTGACAATTTTTATCCCCCCCCCCCCCCCCGCATCTCTTAAACGAGCGACCATTTTCAAATGTTATTTTACCCTTTTAACTTTGATCAAAAAGAGTATATGGTGCGCCACATAACTAGTGATAGCACTAACAATAACGGGGGCACCCAGTAAGTGTGGAATATGGAACACCCTGTACAAAATTTCATGATTTCGCATGGGTATAATGGACTTCTGTTTCTCTTCTAACTCTAGCACGAAAATTGATAGCGATGTTACACCTTCGCCAATCGATTTTACGAGTTCAAGGATCAGTGCTATTGAATATGAGCCGGATCAAAAGTCTGGCTTCCGAATACGAGCCGAGTTGCAAAAAATTCCCCTACTGAAAATCATATGCGATTCTTCGTATCTTGTGTTAAAATGGGGCCAAAATGTCGCTAGAGAGCTACGCTTACAAAAGTCGTAACATTTTTGAAAATTATCACCTTCCATGTATAAATCATACAATTCTTAAACATGCAAGTTGACCAGAACTGCTTGTTAGTGGCAATGCAACGAGTTAAGTTTCGCAATGCGATTTTAAAAGAACTCCCAGTCACATTAATTCAACGGTCTTTTGCGTCTTTTTTTTACCACACATAACCCCAAAATTAGTCACATTAGCTCGCTCTCCGCATAACGTTTTTTTTTGTAAAAACAAGCACTAAACCAACGAAATACGAAAATACCTCGACTTTGTTCGACTTATTTTTCCACCGTCGCGTGCCGGCGTGTACGGCTGACATATTGTAACCTTCGGGCTTAGAATTGAAGTCGTGAGCTGCGAATTGGTTAGTCGTCGAGTACTTACCGGTAGACGCGGCGTGGATCGCCGCAGGGCGGGCGGGTCGTTCCAGCCGGATTGGGGCGGCGGCGGCGCGAACGCGGCCAGTGCGGGTTCGGGCGGTTGATTGTGGAAAGCGGCCGGATTCGGCGGAGGGGGGTTGTGGAAATTGGCCGGACTCTGCGGCATCGGCGGTAGGTTGGGGATTAGTTGCTGAGTATTTGCGACGGGAGCGGGGTTCGGTGCCGAGTAGGGGTTGGTGTTGAACTGATTTCTCGCGCCGTACGGGTTGTTAGAATGGACGGATGGGTCCACCACATACTTTGCCCTGGATGATATGCCGCCTGTTGTTTACAAAAATGAGTCATTTGCATGCGACGGTGGGTAGCTTACCGTGAGCTGAGCCGACGCTTGTGGGCCGCGGGGGTTGTGAGACAGGTGGAGGGGAGAAAGGTTGCGCGGGGAGCGGTGCTTGGTTTTGAGTCTGCCAAGGTTGGGTAGGTAAGGCCGTATTAAAATTATAACTTGGAACGGGAGGAGTGACAGGATTTAGGTAGTTAGAAAATGACTGTCTCGAGCTGTGCCTGCTTCGTTGCGCAACTTGCGGATATGCAGACTTATAACCCAAACTGACACTCAGTCTGTCTCTCAAATCCGCGATTTTCTGATCCTGCGAACTTCCCAGATATGATAGAGCTACTGTAAGATTGCCCTGGGATGCTAAGATTGAGGCGTAGTACGCGAGGAGGTCCGCCAAACTGCCAGTGATTTCCACCCTTCTGCCTTGTCGTTCGATCGACTTTTGGAGGAAGGTCACCAACTCCACGAGCTCCTGAAGTTCACTCGAAGACTTCTTAATCGTTTTACTCCACGAATTGACCAGTTTTTCGAAATTACCAGCGCAAATATAACATAATTGTGCGTCTTGAGCTTTTCCCTCGGCTTCAAGGCGATTACCTAATAATTCTACAAGGAAAAATTGAGACTGGACACCACTCAAATCGAGTTTCGAGCATACCACATAACTTTGGTAAATCGTCACTCGACGAATGAGTTAAAGTTGCTGCTAAAGCCTCCTTCCAACTACTAATATCACAATTGTTTATGACAGAACTCCAGTCTTCTAATACTAAAGCGGAGATAAGCGAAGACACGTACCCTTCGCTCTGTTGTAAATATTTATATTGAGTTCTTGCCAGTAATTCGGAACCACCTGATAATTAAAAAAATGAGCTATATACTGGGTGTTAATATATAAGCATGTCTAAACTCAAGTTCTACATCAAACTACCAATCCAAAAATCTAATTTGAAAATTTGTTTCAGAATGCCGACGTATACGGAAGACCATGCTGGGATGAACAACGGTAAGGTAAGTGGATTTTCACTTCTTCTCACTGCATGTAACAGGAGGTCGCTTTAGAATTACCAAAGTATTTTTTCGAATTTGTATTTTATTAAACATAGGGAAATTTATATATGCACCGCTTCATAGAGAACATGAACAAAGGTATGTCTGGTTGTCACGATCTCTTGGGGGATCTACACCTGCGGAATTTTTTTCCTATTTTTTGAATGTTATTCAAACACAAAAAAAGTGGGAGAGTTCAAACATGCTTAGCTCAACCTACCGGACATAGCTATAATAATCGCATCAGCAAAACGTTGCGCCTTTAAACACAACTCGACGGCCGCCTCCAAATTCCCCAAAAGAAGCGCCTGCGTTATCAAACCCTCCACATCTAAACAACAACACTTAATCTCTCACCACGCGCAACTTGTCACCTTACCGTCCCCCGTCTTAATCCGGTAAGGTACTTTTTCTCGGGCCTCTTGACTACCGAACTGATCTAATCCGAACGAATTTTCGTAACTTCCAGGCTGTAAGATTAACGAAAAGTTAGACTCGGACTAAAGACAGCATAGGTAGAACAGAGTCAGTGCGTACTGTCACAACATAAACTCTTACCGAATAATCGGGGCTTCCCTTCGAAGAGAAGTTATTCTCCCCGTCGGAATAATCGCACTGAGAAATTGTTGAAAAAGCGCATTTAATAAACTGACAACTCTCACCTGATCTTACCTGATTTAAATTGCTAAACTGATCCGTCAGTCCGTCCACATTGGCCTGCACGCCGACGATTTCGTTCAGCTTGTTGTTAATTTCGTCCTTCTTATAGCCTAACAGATTCAGAAGTTCTCCACGTGGATCGGCTTCAAAGTTTGCTTTGAGGAAGTACCAGATGTTGCGTTTGTGTTGGTCGCTCAGCGAATCGGCTTTATTCCGACAGTACTCTACAAGTATATCGGTCAGCTTGGATTTCTAGGGCGTTATGGTAGCAGACCGGTGAAATTTCCGTACTCCAAGGCCTGTTCGAGCTGAGCTGATTGCTCGACTAGTTCCGATTCCGTAATGACTTGACTTACAAATACTGTTCGTGCAACCGGGCTTTGGTTCTGTGTGGGTTGACCCTCGTTTTCGAACGTGATTAGTTTCCCTCCGAACTAATTGAAAAGCGTTAAGCGTCGGAATCAATCTCTTTTGTCTTACCCCAAATCTTGCCCCAATCGGTCGCTTTAACCACTTGGGCGGTTTACTAAGATCGACGCTCGCCGGTGTGCTCTGCTGCGGTTCCGGCGCCTGCGCGTACCCGTCCATTCCGGGAAAACTATCCGCGATCTTATTCGTCGTTTGCACCTGCTGAATTTTGCCGCCCATCACCGAGTAGACCGAAACGTGACCGTCGAAGCTCGGGCACGCGATCAGCGCGGGATTCTTCGGGCACCAGGTCACGTCGAAGTTCCACTGGTTGGTCTTGGCGACTTCGGATAATACTTCGCCGCCGGGAGTGTTCGAGTTCGGATTCCAGCATAGGATACGGTTGTCTTTGCCGCAACTCACCAACAGATTCACGTCCTGCTGGCACCAGGCGATCGAGAGGATACCGCGCTGATGATTTTCGAGCGTTTTTAAGGGCGAAGTCGCGAATCGAAGATCCCAAAGTTGGATGACTGGCGCTTGGTCCTCCTCTAACAATTTTACGTTAGGCCACAATTAATAGTATATTCACCCCCCCCCCCCCCCCATTTTTAAAACTACCCATATCGTTTTAATATGCCGTTTTAAAAAAAATTTGCACTTTACATTTTGTGTACACCAGCTGAAATTTTTTGAATTTTTCTGAATAAGTAGGTAAAAATGTTAATTTCGCATTTACAAATTTTTTTTTCAATTTTTGTGAATTTTCCTCCTCCAAAATTTTGAATTTGAATTTTTGTGCACATGGAGTCGAATTTTTATAGACTTCGCTTTAACAAATCTCTCTGAATTTTCATTTCGTATTTACATTTTTTGCTTAATTTTTTTCTGAATGTTACAAATTGATGTTTCTGGCCATTTTTTAACAATTAATAATGATGTACACCCTGTATACTACATTTATACGGAATGAAGAGAAAGCGAAAAATGAAAATAGCAAACCTGAAGCCAAGCACAGTTGAGTTGCCACTTCCGGATGCCACGCGATCACCTTCCAACGAATCCTTGAAACCGTATCGGTCAATTTAATAATCGGTTCATTCTTCCTCAAATCCCATACCACACATTTCGATGGGAAGGTCGAGGCCAAAATGTGTTGGACTTGCCGATTCCACGCCACACACTGCACGTCCTCGAACGGTTGCGATTTGACTCCTGCAAGTGTGTCGAATTAGTACCCCGACAACCATTGTTTCATTCTTTAATGACTTGATGGCGCCATGATATCGCTCTCGCTACAGTATATTTTGAAAAAAAAAACGTTTAACACTTCTAAATGAAACACCCTGTATATTTTAATCTAAAAAATCTAGAAATCATATTAACTTCTCTTTTCAAAAATTTAACACAACGGGGATATTTCAAAAAGATTAAAAAACAGCTTTTTAAATCTTTTTTTAATCCAGTATTGAATTTGTTAGCGTTATATTTTTGAAAAGAGAATTTAATATGCTGTCTGTGTAGATTAAAACGCACAGGGCGTTCCATTTAAAAAAATGAGGTTCGGTCCATAACTTTTTACCTGACCCTGACTGTACTTATTTTGAAAATGGCAAATTATAATAATCAATACCATCAAATTTCATCCGATCCGATTCAAAAAAAATCAGAAAGATTGAAAAACAGATTTTTAAATTTTTTTGAATCATATTGAATTTTTTTGAATTTGTTAGTGTTATATTTCTGAAGAAAATTTAAGTTACCGTCTGTGTAGATTAAAATATTATTATTATTATCCCTCTCTTGTTTTGGGCCCTCAACAGGCATGCGCCCAATTACAGAGTGACCCGCATAATGCTATTTAGAGGTGCCTCTGCAGAAGGTCTTAAGTTGGTCTATACTACTCCAGTATTTACCTCACGAATTAGGAAAACTGCAGGAAAACCTAATTCGGAGTAGCCGGCAGAATGCTCGAAACTGGTCTAAGGTAATTCCCATCTCTGCCACAGATGAAAAATTCACCTCAACCCAGGTTCGAACACCCGACCTCCGGATTTATAACCCAATGCTCTACCACTGAGCCATAAATCCGTTTATACAGGGTATTCCATTAAAAAAATGAGGTTAGGTCCATAACTTTTTCACCTGTATACCATATACTTATTTTGAAAACGGCAAATTATCATAATAAATATCATCAAAAAAGATTCATGTGATTCGAAAGAATTCAAAAACGTTACAAAACTGATTTAAAAAAATTTAAAAACCCGTCAAAATTTCAAATTTTTTTGAATCAATATTGAATTTTTTTAATTTTGTTAGTGTTATATTTCTGAAAAGAGAGAATATACTGTCTGTGTAGATTAAACTATACAAAGTTTTCCATTTAAAAAATGCAATTAGGTCCAACTTTTTACCTGACCCCATATACTAATTTTGAAGACTGTAAATAAATTATTATAATAAATATCACCAAAAGATTCATGTGAATCAAATTTTCTTTAATTTGTTTTTAATATTTTTTGAATCAATATTGAATTTTTTTGAATTTGTTTCATGATAGCACTAAAAATTACGGAGACACCCTGTAGATAAAATGCCTAAAATGTATTTAAAAATGCCAAAATTAAATAATATACACGGTAGATAGTTAAAATTGTTAATTTCAAGTTTCTTTATAATGATGTTGAATAATTTGACGTTTTTAAGTATAAAAATAAAATAATAAAAACAATCGTATGTCTCGAGGTATGTCCTGTTTCATGCCGAGGTAGATTTATTTTTTAGTGTCCCTCGTACTTTCCAATACTACCATTTTACTATAAATAACAAAAAAGTCTACAAGCGTACCTATACAATTCTATCTCGAATTCTATAAGAAACATAAACTCAATTTTTTTTACCATAAACAGTTACTTTCTGGAAAAGTATAAGATTCATTATGGCACACAACTCCGCACAAACCCAGTACAAAGTTAGTTTTAAATTGGTAATTACTACACGAAATTAAACCACATAGTAACCTTACCCGGCGTCATCGGTGTGGTAGTGTTGTTTAGATCCCAAATGTATATTTCGCTTTCGCCCGCACCCGATGCCAACAAATTCGATTGGAAAGGATTAAAATCCAAAGCGCTAACCGGACCAGTGTGTTTGGAAGGACAGGCCACAAGCCCCCTTTCCTTGTTTAGCAACTTGGAGACGTTGTAAATCTCAATAAGACCGCGATCACAGCCACCCACAATTGTCCCGTGCTCACTCGACTTATCATACGATCCCCATATTAGCTTATGAAAGCGATGCTCCGCGGGTACAGACACTTTCGGTTCCATATCAAGGCCCGGCTCCGAGAGGTTCAGCGAGTAAATCTCGATCACAGCATTGGTATTAAACGATGCATCCAGCTGTTGTCCGGCCGTTCCCGCCGCCAGAAAAATGGGATGCTCATTCGATGGTGACCAGGCTATGTTGGCGGTCCGCTCCAAGTCTTTTACCTTCATTTTGACTACAATTGGCTTAAATGCACTGCAACGGAAAGGTGCTCAAATTACATAATTGGTGTCTTAATTAAGGGACAATCTTACCTAGATAATTATAAAATTAACTCATTTGGTTCTCAGGAAATTTGTATAATCAGTCGGGTTTGGACCATTCAACACTTCCAACGTGGCTCTTGTCAAAACCGGCTGTCACTAAAGTACCGGCTAACGGGACCGAATGTAAGATAAGAATTTTATGGAGCGAAGGACCGTATTTTTTAGTTCGTTTGATGTGTTATTTTTAGCTTACACCAAAAAACTGACATATATTTACAATTCGCATGTAATTCAATGTGGGAATTCAAGGCTGTCAATTTATTCGTTTTTTTTAGTTCTATTTTTAGACGATAAAAATAGGTAATAGATAGTGGCGTAATGATCAATTTAACAAACATGTTTTACGAGCGGTAGTAAATTGAAATTGAAACTCCATTATATTTGTCTCTTCTATGTGTATTTATTAATGCGGATCCCATATTAATAAAAAACAATATTCTATGTAGGTAATTCAAAAATTATTATAATTAACATCGAACACAATAATAACACGTGAGCAACCAAATTTTAATTGGGCGTTGGTCCTGACAGAGAGAGAGGGATAGACTTATCGGCAATGTGTAAAAGCCGCTTTACATTAGGCAATTTTCGTGCAATGCAAGAGCAATGCAAGTTAGAGATACGTTACTGCGCATGTTCATACGCAATTCAGGTGCAAGAAAAATAAATAGAGAAAGTTCTATTTCACTTGCAAGTTTGGCGCAAGTTCTAGTAACTTTTCTAGTAATTTTGTCAATACCACAATTTATTTGGTTTCGCGTGTGTTATTTTTAATAACCTAAAAACTTTATTTATTCGTTAAGTAACAAATATGTAACTTGTAATTTTGTTACAATGGCTAATAACAACAGGTATATGTATTTATATCTATTTGATGGTGGAAAAGTTTCAATTTTTGAAAAATATGTTGTCAGTACTGCAACACTTTTCTGAACTTGCACAAAAGTTGCAACACAATTGCATAAATGTAAAACCGTAATAAGCAATGCAAGGCAATTTTAGATTGCATAGCACAAGCCTTGCATTGCACTAAAATTGCCTAATGTAAAGCGGCTTTAAGTGTAATTGTCTCAGTGCTCAGGCGCTAGAACCTGATATACAGTAGACCACAACTGATCATAACCGCACGTTAGTAGAGCGGCAATTTTTAAAGCGGTTATAGGCGTACCTAGATGCGACGAAAAAGACATAAGTTTTCAAGAAGCGCTTTCGGAGTACACCTACTACGTTTTAAATGTCAAGTCTATCTACCGCAGTTTCGACTGTAAAAGGCAAAATCCCGTTTTTTCCGTTCCCGTGGGAATTTCGAGAAGTTATTTACTAAATTAGAAACCGTCGCGAGCATACGTACAACCATTCCCAATAGCTACGAGATATACAGACAGACGAACATTAATTTTTATTTATATAGACTACCAACCATATAGAAATAGCAGGTCCTGCGAGCCTGTGTGACATCCTACATCAACGATCATCATTTAGTCTGACGAAATGTAGAAATGCAAAATGAAAAAAATCTGCATCGGGCGGGAATCGAACCCGGGCCGCACATTTTTTACAAATCATTTGGCATCATTAAGCATAAGAGCCTGCACTGTAAAGTCAAAGTGAGAAAGACTATAGAGCTAATACTTAACTACTTAAAATTAATATTAGACGTGACCTAAAATTTCCAATGCTTTCCCTGAATCTCACTTACAAATTAAAAGGTGGTTCGGTAATTTTTCCATGGAGAAGGGTTGCCAAGTTGTATTGGTACCTTGTAAAGGGTTGAATACTTTCTCAGGTTCGGTGTGTAAATTCATCTTGTAATTTCCGCTTCTTGATAAGTTGAAGTACTTTTGGAACTTACCTTTTTGTACTCTTACTACTAGCTCCTGTAAAAAAGTTTATGTAATTCGCATGTTGGTCTCTTTTTAGCCAAATATCTCTTTTTACTTTCCTTTGTAGCATGGCAATAATTCCAAACACTTTTCCACTACACTCCTTTACGTACACTTCCCTCTTTTATTCACCTAGTCCTTAACTATAGGACCAGTTCGATCGTTTCAATAATGTCCGAGTATCCCTACGAGTAAAAAACAAGACGATAAAACCTTGCATTAAAAGGCCACGCAACGAAAATGAATAAAAATGAGGTTATAAGAGTGGGGAGAAACGCGTCATCATTGGCAGTGGCCTAATAAAACAAAACAGACACCTTCTCTTCTGTTTTATCATAAGTCAGTTCAACATAATAACTGACCAGCGCAAAGGAGGTAAAATGATGGCGACTTCCGTCGCGTACTATATGCTATCTCCCACTCTCTTCTTATTTTTACTCATTGGAGTAGAAATGAATTCGGTGTTAACAAGAAGATAAACTGTGTAAATATTGGAAAAATGAAATTGAAACCTATTGTTGTTGCCACCTCGACAATAAATTGTACTCTGTTGACATTAGTCGGCCCCAACATTGTACCCATCCCTGTGTGCAAGCGGACAACATTGCATGTAGTTTAGTAGACACTTCCACACTTCAAATGTCAATAAACAAACAGTAGGGTTATGTTTGTTGTCAATTGATTTAAAAAATGGTAGAAGATACCTCAAACAGCAGCAATAAACCCAAAGTAAGTATTGCATTACGCCAATGAAAGTTCAAGGAAAATTAACCCTTAAGGCAAAAGAACGTCCAAAGTCGGTCTACTCCTGGACAGTATTCGACGTACAAAAGTGGTTAAGGAGGCACTGCAGCGACTACTATCAAACGTACGGCAATCTCTTCCAAGGGCACGAAATTTCAGGCAGGGCTCTGCTACGCCTAAATGACAATTCTCTGCTTCGTCTTGGCATAATCGATGCTAAGCACCGAGAGGCAATCTGGCGGGAAATTTTAAAATTAAGACTGAAAACGGACATTATGGAGATTCGCGACCTACAAATTAGGGATGTTTACAATATGTCATATGACTTCTACATAGCTTAATAAACTACTAGTCGATTTTTAATGTTTTAATTACAAACAACGAAATAAATTAAAGTAATACTGAAATGGAATGCTTCCGTTTGTACTAAATTAAAATGACTATCACTTTGCGTTAAACATAAATAAAAGATTATTTCTTGGAACTCGAACGGCTGGTCTCCTCCTCTTCGTTGTCGCTCTCCTTTTCGTCGTCGATGTCGTCATTGTCTTCTCCTAGCATATACTTTCTGATACCCTGTTCGAGAACGGACCGCAATATTTTACTGTCCTTTAAAATGTCGATATCCTCGGCTTTCCGCTTCTTACTCTTGGAGTCTTCGGATGGGCTGTTAGCAGTGACCCGTTGTAGGATAGTTCCGATCATCGGCACTAGGGAGAGCAGCTGGGAACCAACCAGTCGGTCGAATTCCAATCTTTGCTTTTCCAACTCTAACTTCTCCTTTTCCACGCTTAGGTTTTCCTTTTGTACTTCCAAAATTTCTTTGAGCACGCTGTGCAACTCTGGAAACCCAACGAATGAGTTTGTAAGATTTGTGGTGGGACTTACTTACCGTTGGAGTAGCTATCTCCGGTTCCAGTGGAGGAGGTTCCCTTATTTTTATCTTGGTTTGCTTGTGGTTGTAAACTATTGAGTATTAACAATGGTAATGGAATTGAAGGCACACTTCCTGGTTTCTGGTTTTGCTGTGGTAGAGTGAAGCTGGGCAGGACGGCCGGAACCGGTTTTTGAGCTAGACTCTCCACCTCTTTTATTTTGGGCTTTAATGCGGGGGCTGGTTTCAGTGTGGGTAGTGGAGGCGGCGGTTCCATGCTGTTTTCTGAACTGAAAGTAGAATTTTGATCAGTTTTGCTGACGCGAAACCTTTCAATAATTAATTTTGACGGGAGAAGCGAGCAAATCTTCAAACCAAAAAGTAAAATGGCCGTTGCCGCTATTGTTTTGTGAGCGCGCGAAAAAGCAAAATATTCAAAATGGTACTAACCACATGCTGTCATTTGCCCAAGACTCCATGTCATCGTTGATGTCAATTTCGACTTCTTGCTTGATATCTTCGCATCTGGGACCTTCGAGTACTCCATCAGCGATGTGTTCGACTCTCTTCTGGCCCTCTTTGCTCAAAATTGCGTCCATCGCTTTAAAATGCGGCCAATCGGGGTCGACGGTACCCACCCCCGTTCCGCAAGATGTCGAACGCTTAATTCGATGGTACAAACACTTCAAATTGCGAATGCGTGTTTTAATCTCGTCGGGTGTCCTGTAAAAACCACGCTGCTGCATGTTCGCTGCCAAAATACGCATAACTGGGGCTTTTCTATGAGTTAGGTAGAGTTTGTTCTGTATATAAGGACTGCCCCAAAGTTGAATCAATATTTTTGTTTCATCCTCGCGAAAATTTGAAGTGCGTTTCTTTTGTAGCGTTCGAATTGATTGCGATTCCATCTCTAAATAAAATGGCACTTTTGAAATGTTGGCTCAGTAGTATTTTCTTTTTTTTTTTTGAATTAAAAATATTGAAACAAGATTTGATTTTCCCACATTTTTTTCCGATTGGTTGGTCATTTGCAATTTGTTTTAGGTACGTGGATCGGCACTCGGCAGGCCACAGAATTTTAAATTGATTTGAGCTAAATGAATTCAAAAATTGGCAGATAAACCCTATCCCATCATTAAATCTGAAGATTGCAAGCGTTTTTGCGCATTATTTTGGCATTTATACCTTCCTGCCTCTGGAAGAGGAGCGTTCAAATTCATTGTCCCACCCGTGAAAACTGGGACGAGTGACAAGTATTGTTTTTTTATGATAAAACTGCTTTTCCTTATTGTGGGAGATTTCGGTGTAGGTACCCAAGATCTCAAGACGTCTGAGGATTTCAAACGAAATCAAGCTGCCAATGTTGGCACTATTACACGTACGTGCATGATTTATTACAAGTAATGATTCCTACATGGAGTGAATACCACGAAAAAATTTGAAATTTACACCTTATTCTTCATAGCCATACTTAGATTTACATAAGGGACACGGTTTTTACGAAGGTTTACTTTACTTTTAGTATTTACCCCCGCGCCCCCGCAGCTACCCTCACTTTAAAATTATGATATGTACTCACATCCAGTGATACATCATTTTATAGGTCAAGAAAATTCATGAAGAATATTGTAACGGGAACCCGTTGCCGGATTTTTACTTTATTTAGACATTTTTTGAGATTGCAATATATTGATATTTGGTAGTATGTTTTTAACATTTGCCCCTGTAGGAGCGGGGAACAATATCCCTACCGCAGACAAGATGTGAATGTGAATTGCCGATTCAACGGGATTTAACTTCATGTGGAGTTGGGTAGTCATTGGACGGAAAAAGTAGTCTTATTTGGTGGACAAAGTTGTGCGTCCCAGGATAGGTGTCAATCAAAAAGGAAGGTAGTGGGAGTTTAGTTGCTGGGAGTGAGCCGTCAGGCAATTCAGAAGCGCGGGTGTTTTGTATTAATGTGCCAAAATACGCGTTGAACCGTAGGCGAAGTTAGGTCACTCACCTGTGAATCGTCGCAGGGTGCTTCTTTTTATGTTTGTGTTAGAATTCGCGTCGAACCGCCAGAGAAGTTGCGTGTGAAAAATTACTCAGTAAAGGATCATTTGGATTTAGAATTAACAGATAGATATGGAGTTTCTCAGTCGCAGGGGAGAGATCGCAAGATTTAAATAAAAGGTATTTTTGATTTTTTTTCGGTGTGAAACATCAATTGTTTTGAATTGACAAAGACTCTCTGAAGCGAGCCTTTACAGATCTTCAGCCAGTGCCTCAGACGATCAAAAAATACCCGAATAATACTCTTAGAATAGAATAGTCTTTATGGATTAAACTTTTTTGAAACTATACATTGTAATTTCAAAAAATCACTTCAGAATGTCTAGCACTCTCTTCCCACAGAATATCTAAAATATATAAAGCCCTGAATCGATACTGAAGATTTTCTTAATAATCACAGAAGAGCTTTATAAACCTTCCAAGAGCCTCTAAAGCACCCATTCAACGAAAGGGTGAAGAAAAGGTCCTAAATGATCGGAAACATTTTACTATAAGAATCTTTAATTTCTTTAAATCTCAGAACCTCTACAGACTGAAGAAAATCTTTACTGCGGATACATTCTTCGTAGGAAATATCTACAAAATTACTCATATGTCCTTAAAAAAGCATGATTAAAAGCTTCTACTTAAAAATAATCTCAAAAATGTTAGAAGGATCTATAAGATTCTCGAAAAGAGCGAGATACCTAAATATGAAACCTTTTAATTAATCACGAACCTCTGAAAAATACACTAAACACAGGGCAGAGCACTTCTTTTTTCCTTCATTTTTAAGTAGACAAAATTTGGTTGAGGCTGCCTTTCCAAGCCAATAGAAACTTTTCATGCTCAAAATCAGACTTGAATATGGGACCTTTTGGCCGTATCCGAGCATTTAACTCAGTAGACCAAGCTCGCCAATAGATCAAATTTCTCTAGAGAATCTTTGTGTCAAAGTTTTCCCAAATGGGAAGTACGAAAGATGAAATCCAATTAAAAAAAAAAGAAAAACTATAGAAACCCGAAAGGTTTTCGAATTAAGTTAAGTTAAAAATGTGGTTGTTTATTGGAGATTGAGCGCAAATCTCGATCATATTATTTGAATTTGAGGACCATATTATTGTTGTATCAAAATTATTTAATTATTGCTTAAATAAGTTTAGTCCGAAGATTTCAGTTTTTCGGGAACGCGCAGGGTTTTATTCTGCAACTCAAAAAACTGACGAATCGGTGACCGAGTGCCCGCGTGGGTTCGGATCCCATCCTCGTCGCCAATGTTATGTATTAATCTTTGATCCGGACCGAATAAGAATAAAACTCAGATGGAATTTTAGTTTATTATCGTGATGCTTGTGATACAAGATGCTGTATAAGAATGCCGAATTTTCTAAGGACCTTTCGGTAACTTACAGAAGGTTTACCGCCCTTACGTAACTTGATACATTCTATTTAAAACATATGGTTTGCCGCCTCGTAACTCGATACATTGCGAGGAACGGTCAGAAACCCATACTTCACATTTATCTTGTTTTGGTAATTGTAAATTTAAATTTCATGTTAAATGACTAGATTTATTCAGCTAGGAATTATTTGCGTAATATTTGTAAAAATTTATCTCATGTTTTTTTCCGGTCGTAGATAAGAAGTTATCTTATATCTGCGTTAGTTTCAAGATAAGGACGTGGTGCAGATTATTCTACGTACGACGGCGCTATATTTTTGTAAAGAAAGGAGGAAGGAAGTAAATAGAAAGGGTTTTAAATCGTGAATCGAGTTTTTCTGGACGTTGAAACGTATATGTTTTAGTGGTAGTTATAATTATCGAGTCTTTTTGAAGAGACAGTCTTGAAGTTTTCGAAGAAGAGATTTATCTAAATACGCCGTTATAAGTTGGGTTAAGCACAAGTGTGTTTTACGTTTACAAATAGGTTTCCTAGTACCCATTAAAGAGCGCGTTCTCCACCATCACAGGGGCAAGTACTATAATTGTAATTTCAACGAAGTCAGTGGCGTGGTTTAATTCGCGTTATAATTGAAGTCGAGAAACGTAGTTTCGTAGCAATACCACCCGGTGTTTTGTGTTTGTCATTTACTGTAAACTGCAGTTACGGTCGGGGGTTATTGACACTTTAAGGTAATTAAGATTAAGATTATTCCATCGATCGTTTGTTGGGTGGTGTATGTTGTTCTGGTCTTGTTTTTCTTTCAGCTTACATATTTAATTTTTGTTTATCTGTAAATGGTTGGTTTTGTGATTAATCGAGCCCAAATTACTACCCAGATATGAGTTCTCAAGTTAAATTTGTCTATTTCGTACCCATAACTACATTAGATGTTAATTAATTCTTTGGACTAAAACAATGGATGTTATTTAAGTACAATAATCGTGGAATTGTAATGTTTTTTTCTGGAAGTATGGGACGGCGCCCAAAAAGTTGGGGATTGAAGTGTATGGCTCGATATGTGCGTCGTTCATTACTTACGCTGTACTATTCTGGCTGGACCACATCTGACGGGTCCACTTGCATTGCCACGTGTTTTTCCAAGCTGGTGTCTTATATTTGCATCTTCTACGGTTCTGTTTAAGCGACGGGTGCGAACTATTTGTGAATGTCTTGTACGTCGACCAATATTTCCTCCTCGTCTTCGAAGACGTGGCATTGTTCTTCATCCATCCAACAGATTAATATAAGTACTTAACTTGTATTTGAATATTATCGCAAATATTATAATTAAGTGATTTAACAATAAGCCATCTCTTCTTTAACACTGTATCAATACAAAAGTTACATATGGCAGAATTGTAAGAAAAAGACCTTCGATATTGACGTATAGGTATATGGTAACGAAAACCCAGCGTACAGAATGTGAAAATGTAAACACATCGGCACCGTACGACGCAAGTGTCGCATGTATCGATCGGTACGCGAAATAGGCAGAGTGCGACATCAACGAAAAAAGAAGTTAAAAAAAATACTATAAGCCGATCGGGCCCAAACCTAAACCATCCGGGGGACATTGAGGCACATAAAAAAATTTCATAAAAATCCGCCCAGCTGCTTAGAAAGAGTTCAGTCACAAGCATACATACAGGAGAATTTTATACACAGGGTGTTAATTAATGTCATGCAGATTTTTCAGTGGGTTATAGTCTTGGTTATAGTACTCGTCAAAATAAGAAAAAATGCTAAATGGTGTGCAAACGGCGTCGTTTTCGTTATACAGAGTGACAATAAAAATGTAACACCCTGTATAATGCGACCAACTATTTTGATACTTTATTGTAGAGATTTGTATAGAATAATTGATGTATCAAATTTACAACAGTTATTACAGAACATAAGTGAGAAGACGCAAAATACAAGAAAAAATGGAAACTTTGCCACCCTGTATAACGAAAACGAAGCTTTTAGACCATGCATTTGCACGTCTTTCTTATTTTGACGAGTACTATCACTCCCTCTAATATTTGCATGCCATTAATAATTAACACCCTGTATACAGATATTGGTGAGATCGTACATACAGCTGACCCTCTCAATAGAGAAATTTGAAAATCTGTACAATGTCCACAGACTAAACTGGGCAAAGTGTGGACTGACGGACAGACGTTTGGCGATTTTTCCGACTTTGATGAATTATTTTCCGGGTATTGTATGGAGTTTTTTGCATTTTTCCGATTATTTTTTCAAAATGCACTGCACTTTTTCTGGGTTAGATTAGATGTTAATATTGTCTAACAATCGCGATGATAGAAGGTAGTCCAATGGGAATAATCAATCGTCAAATGTCTAACTCCATTATGTGCACATTCGCAAATGACGATTTAAATGGAAATTTTCAAAAAAAGTCTCTTTATATAGCAATTTATCACGAAGAACACGTTCCGTCAAAATTCAAAGCCGACTAAAAAAGATATACAAAAAATTCCCATATAGAGATGAAAAAAAAATCTCAAAAATCGTCGCTTATTCAATGTAACTTTATACATTTGGCCATGCGGATTGCAAAAATAATAAAATCTCTTTGTACAAAATGAACGGTTTTGATCGTGGTGGCAAATTTTCATTTTTTGAATTTTGCATACCTTTACAAAAAAAACTAATAATTTCCCTAATATTCAAGGTATTCGAACGGTTGGCACGGCGATAGAAAGAGGAAGGATGGAGCTATCGTATCCCATTTGAACGCCATAAAAAAATTCAAAAACGTCCAAGCACTACTATGCCAAAGTGACAATTTAAAAACTATTCGAAATGGGCACTTGATTTTTCAAAAATTTTCATGAAGAATGTAATAATTCTGTTTTGTACTAAAAATCGACGAGATTAAGTGAGTGCAACAGTTTGGTGATTTAGGTCTCTAAGTGACTTTTTGGGGACGACGATTCGAATTGAAATTTTCAAAAAAGTCACATTGTATAGGCGATATTTCCAAAAATCAAAACTATACCTCACAAATTCAGAAAAATTGCCAATTCGGTCGGTTCAATAGCATTTTCTTACCACAATAAAACTGAAACTGAGTATTTGTCTTTATTCGGATCTTATAGTGCGTCCAACAAAGGAAAACATTAATCAATTAATCATTTTCGATTATTACTTTTAAAAATGCAGTATAAGGAATAGAGCGAGGCGAAGCCGAGCTATGGACCGTTACAAACCAGAGTGAGGTGAGGCGGCGCAGCCGCCGGAGCCGAGCGTATGTCTTATCAAAAAGTGTTCTAAAAATTAAAAAATCTTTTCAAAATTGTTATAATCTCTGCAGTAGTAGCTTACTAAATTCAACCAACACTAATAAGTTATATGCGCTCCATATAATAACAAACAAATTTAAACATAATAAATGATTAAAGAGTTTGTGTAAAATTGAGACAATAATCGTCGTATGCAATCCATAGCATGAAACGAAATGAGATTACACACACGTGCACATTGGCCAACCTTCTTATTTGCGGAGCAATTTGAATGAAATTTTTATGGTAGGTTACTCTAATTAACGCAAACAAAATATCCTATTGCGTCCACTATAGATTACACCCCAACACTGACAACGAAAACGTAAAAAAAACAGGTATTTTTGCGAACTGCGAAATGTACGCACTCTAGCGGAGTTTTTACCAACCTATACGATGAGATTGATTAAAGAACAGACTCGCGGTATGTTGGTGCTTTTTTGGGCCGAATCAAGCCTCTTTTTCGCCTTTTACAAATCCAATGACACTTTACATAACCCTAATTCTTTTTTACTGAATATAAAAATTCGAGTAAAAATTTAAAAAATCCATAAAGCTGTTACGTAGGTACCGAAATTTAATTTCTTCGTAATCGCTCTTTGAGCATTACTTCTTACTCACTTTTTTTCCTTTTTTGTATTTAATAATACTGAATTATTATTATTATTATTACTTCCATGAGATTCTGTCAAATTACTAAGTTCAGATTTGTCATTTATTTGCTTTAAATTTAACAATTAATAGCTAAACGTAATCTTATCATACCTTCATATATCAAAATTCACGCATTTAGATTTAGGAGGGGGGCACGAGCACCCCCCAAGCCTCAATACGTTGGTCTGTCTGCACATTTAGGGGTCTATTATATATATTGTCGATTTGCCGTTAACAAACGATATTGTAATGGTAACGATTTGATCTTGAACGACAGCTATATTCCGTCTGTTATATGTGATATAGAATAGAGAAAGTCGTTACCGAACGATAACCGCTGTATAACGACATCGTTAATCGTTTGAGAATAGGCCCCTTAGAAATGGTTTTAGAACAAGATATCTTACTTAAATGAGATTTAGGGCCGGTATTTCATGTTTCAGTGAAACTTGTTTGATAGATAACCTCTTGTGCATTTGTTTCCATGGAAATTAACTGTTAGATTTAACGGTAACATGAAGGACTGGAACTAAATCCACCGAAGCGTTGGAGAAAGTTAAAATTTACATCCTACTCACGGGCTGCGAAAATGTCTAACTGTAACGATCATATTAGGTAAAACTTGGCCCTTCCAATTGTCCCCTACGCTATATCCTAGTGTGCTTTATGGTTAATTTGCAATTGGGGTGCGCACGATCAGACAAAATGCAAACACGCATTTTTTCAAGCTTAATTTTCGCTAAAAATTGTTTGCGATAAGCTAGAGAGTAAAAGAATTATGTATGGGGCGATCAAAATTCATTTTCTACAAAACAACCCCTTTCTACTTATCCGAAGTTACTAAAAATACAACACGTTATTCGATTTACGGCGTCACTAACCAAATTTTCAAAATGCGTTTAAAAAGCTTTTTCTTTTATTAAGCATCCAATGGTAGCTATATTAGAACACTCTGTATTCGTGGGAAAATTGTCAACGCGCTCATTTTGACGTATGCGTCATTTGAATGGGTTGTGTCATTTATCCTAGTTTCAGCTGTACACCCTATCTCATTGTTCCAACCAAATTTGGAAACGACGACCCAATTAAAACGGCAGTTAAGTAAATGCAATGCGGCGCGCAACGCTTGATCAATCCATCTGTACGAGGCATTTTCATTACGCGGATAATTAGATGCAGACAAATTCAAAACGAGCGTGCAACTCGCTCGTACCTAGTAAAATGCACTATCGTCTAACCAACTAAAAGGGAAAAAAATGTGGAAAAACTTCCCGCCCGTTTAATTCGCACAAATCAATACGCCAAAAAAATCACGTCTACGGGAAGCCAAGTCCTCTTATACAGGGTTCGCAACTTTTGAATTAATTACAGGCGCCATTTTAATGTGCTACGCGTTTAAGTCAAATAGAAAATTGCGCTACTCACCCCCTTCGCACTGTCACTAATGAAATCGTTTCGCAAATAACGTTCACTGACGCATTTTTCTTTTAAGTGTTGTCTCTGAATAAAACGCTAAGCTCGAGTGACGTAAGCAGCGGCATCGAGCGAAAAGCTGAGCCCTCGTGTGCCGTTCAAAGGGGGTTCTCAACCACCCTACTGAAATGGGATCGATAGGAAAAACGCAAGCGTACATTACCAGACACTTAAGTCGAAAATAAGGGATGAGGTTCGCGAAGGTATGATTGCTGATCACGTTTTGTTGTGTTCGCCCCGTTCCCCCTTTGCGTATTAAAGGCACAGGGAGCCGGCGGGAACGGAAAAAAAGACGGGGGAAATCGATTGAAATTTTCATACGAAAATGCGTAAAGAATATCTGTTTCGAAAGGAGTGAGTAATTCCGCGTGGGATCAATACGTTACATGTGCTTTATCCCGATAGCTCGTGCGGAAAAAACAACCCCGAGATTTATCAGCAAGTGAATTGCGTGAAAAAAACACGCGCTTGCACATGAGTTTGTTGTACCCGCACGTAGGGGTTTATGAATGCTAATTTATTTGTTACAACGCTATCTAATTAAATCATTAACGGGGTTGTCAGGAAAGTAATTTGCGAAGGCAATTGGTTGATCACCCCAAATAGTATCGCGTGTGCTAAGTCGTGTTTGTAATTTTGGAAAAACCACCACCACTTTCAAATTATAATATGCTCCTCCAGTCGATTGACGCATCATTTTAAGGGCGCACAAAATCAAGTTTGGGTTAATGAAAAAAACCATGACTAATACCTACGGGGGGTCGAAAACAAAACAGGCTGAATAACTCGCAGGAAAATAGTTTTTGGGAAAAAAACGCAAAAACTCGTCGATGTTGATTGGAATGGGGACATCTTTTACTTTTTTTAATTTACAAAATTGTTATAACTATAATAGCGAGAAATATTCGAAAAAATCGGGAGTTTTACAATTTTTTGAGGAAAAATGTTTATATTTCCGCCGCTGTAACTCGGAAAATATAGATTTTTTTAAATTTTTTTGGTCATTAACCGCTGCGGAGGTATTTTGAAAAAACCGATTGTCTGTTTGAAGCACCAGGAATCCGAATCTCGATGATGTCGGTCTATCTATCGGTCTGTCTGTCTCTCTTGCCACACTTGCGCATGCGCGATTCTGCCCAAAAGCTCCTTTTACGTCTAAGAATACGTTTACCAAATCTGGTTCCAATGGGTTTAACCGCTTAGCCGGAAATGAGAGTACAGACAGACAGACAGAACGACATCATCGAGATTTTGATTGAGCCGTATTCCTGGTGCTCCAAAACGTATATTTCTCTCAAAAAAAAGGGGGGGTCATTTTTTACCCCAATGCAATACAGCTCCCTTTTCCATCGTGCGGGTGGCAAAAATGGCACAAAGTAAGCACAAAATTGGATTTTTACCACCCGCACGTTAGCAAAAGGAGTATTGCATTGGAGTAAAGAATGACCCCCCATTTTGTGACGGAAATACACGTTTTAAAGTATAAACTTGATTTTTAATTGTCAACTAACCGCTCCAAATTATCCGCAATGAACGCTCTGCACCTTGAACCATAACACTTTCATGGTAAAAATTTATTTAAATGCAAGCACGTAAATCCGATAACGCGATAACAGGCAACTATTCGCGTACGTATTGGGAAAGTAACGTATTCGTATTCTATTTTACGGTTGAACATAAATCCCTCGTCCATTAATTTACGTTTCCCTTACGGTTCCCTTGTTGCAATAAAACTTTTATTATTGGTTTTCGCGCGATCTGAAAAATGGCGGACACAATTCGCATGATTCGCCTATTTGGCTTCGGCATCTGCAATGGTGGTAGGTCTAATTTCAATTTTTGTTAACGTCAAATATAGTCATGGGTTGGGTCTGAACGCATTGTCGCTCTTGTCGTTTGATTTCGAGGCCGATCTTGTATTGTATAAGAATTATTAGCTGTTAATTTTGTTTAAATAATTTATTGCCTTGTTTATTTAATTGTAAAGAAATTACGTGTTATAAAATTTAAATATTTGGAAATTATTTGCATAGTATTTGTAAAAATTTATCTCATGTTTTTCTTCGGTCGTAGATAAGAAGTTTTTTTAACGCATTTTCCAAAATGAAAATGAACGCTATTGTCCGCACTTTGTCTGTCTGTCCGTCTGTACCACTACTAGTCCTCCAATTTAAGCTTTTTCGTTGTGGTTTCTTGCTTACACGTTGTAGCACAGCCTCGGTACCACAACGACAAAAGATTTTTTCGATTAGTCACTTCCTCCCCGAATTCTATCTGAGTGTGTGCGTTTCGTCGGTCGCGAGTGACCACGTCTTGACGGCCCGTGTGGCGCAGTTCAGTTAAAGCTGAATTATGGTTCTAAAGGGTCCCTGGTTCGAATCCGGGTTCGGGCATGGATATTTGTAAATGTATAGTGGGTTGAGTTGGTAGAGAAGCCTTGGCTAAAACCCCGTCCACTGAGATAAGGACATTTAATCGCCGTATTTAATACAAGTGCAGCTGGATCTTTCGAAGACGGGTATTATTTTATAAAGGAAGGAAAAAGGAAGTAAATGGAAAATAAAGAGGTTTTAAATAAGCGAACCGCCATTTGTTGGTGAAGCGTTTGTTTGTTAGTGGGTTTTTTTGATGGAAGACGAGAACCGAGTTTTTTTTTACGTTAAAACGTAGCCGTATTTGAGCGTATTTTTGTGCAAAACAGACAGTTTGATATTTTGAAGAGACGGCCAGTCTTGTTTAATTGTGAAGTTTACAAGAAAGTTAGGTGAGTGCTGCGAGTATTAATCGGATTCATGGCTCAGTGGTAGAGCATTGGGTTATGAATCCGAAGGTCGGGTGTTCGAACCTGGGTTGAGGTGAATTTTTCATCTGTGGCGGAGATGGAAATTACCTTAGACCAGCTACGAGCATTCTACTGGCTACTCCGAATTAGGTTTTCCTGCAGTTTTCCTAATTCGTAAGGTAAATACCGGAGTAGTATAGACCAACTTAAGACCTTCTGCAGAGGCACCTCTAAATAGCATTATGCAGGCCACTCTGTAATTGGGCGCATGCCTGTTGAGGGCCCAAAACAAGAGAGGGATAATAATAATAATTAAAAGATTGAACTCGTCGTGGTTAAAAAAGGCAGGGCAACCTTTTGTTATAGAAAGGCATATTTTAAAATCGAAACAATTTTAAAAACGTCGTTGGAAATGGTTGTTCAAACTGGTTTACTTAAAAAAACGTTACACGTAAGCAATAACAAAACATTGCAAGTGACAGGTACTTATAGTTTTCCAAGCAGCGTTTCCCAATTTCGTATTCGTCCCAAAGCGTCCTTGGCCGCCACCCCCATGATATGCTCGGAGGTCGACTCCGGTTCGTAGCCTAAAATCAAAGCGGCCTCCTCGAGGTAATCCAAAACTTCCCTCAAACGTTTGCGCAGTTCAGTCTTTGTCAGTTTGCCTTCCTCGTAATTCTTCGTGGTGAGCATCATCGTGGGCGCGTGCAGCTCGTAGAGGGTGACACCTGGAAGTTGGGGCCAGTACAGTAAGAGCGACCAGAAAGCGACTTACCTCTCAGTCGCGTGAATCCAGGCTCGATTACGTCGAAAACTTGCATGATCTCCTTGCAGATTTCTTTCTTTCGGTTCAGCGCTTCCGGTGGGAGGTCGTTGATTATGTAACCGGTCACTTTGCCGTAGAGCTGGCTGAGAGACAGCTTTATGCCCAGGCATAGGTAGTGATTAGGATGTAATACGTTCCTGTACTTTTGCAAAAAGGTCTCCATAGCTTGAATATCGTTACAGTCGATGGAGTCCACTTCTCTAGTGATTCTAGCAAGCAGAATAAGAGGGAATTATTACAAACAATGGCATTCAATTTATAATTTTGTGCTATTTTTGTTGCGCGCGTCTTACAAAAAAGTATACCCACTTATTGCTTAGACGAGATATTCTCTTCCGCTAATTATATAAGGGAAGCTGTGTTTTTCTTTCCTGCATTTTGTTTCCCAGTAGATACCGTTAATAAATGTGTGCTTCCGTTCTGATTAAAAAATTTGTTGTCGTTGTCGTGCGTCGTAATTATGTTTTTAGATCATTCCCCGACCGCCGCTGACCGTTAGATCTCTGTATACTGCTCTTCTGACCTGTTATTTGTGGCAACCGTTCCGCAGCCGTTCCAAATTCTTGTCCAGGGGAAAGGCCACATTCCCCTGGTGGTAAACTACACATTTTGTTAGGTCAGATGTCAAAATGTGTAGTTTACACGGTGGGCTTTAAACGGGGCGGTAGACTCTCCAACTCAAATGGAAGCTGACGGAACGGGTTGGTAGACTCGGGCGCCACCAGGGGAATGTGGCCTTTCCCTTGGTTAAGAATTTGAAATGGCACTGTAGTGTCTTTTCTTCAGAAGCAAATCATATCAGATTGATTACTTTCGTGCCATATTTGTATATTGGCACTGATGGCGGTGCATTGTCCTACCTACCCTACCCTACCAAGATTTCACAGTGTGGGTCTTTGAAATATGCATTGTAGCGCTTCCCTCGCCCCCCGTATTTTCCGGAACCCATACTGTCGACCCGATATCTGCACGTGGTCCTCCAGCCTTCTAGCTACGACTCTTTCGTACAGCTTCCCGACCTCTTTTTTGGGTATCAAACCACGTTGGGCTTCATCCATGCCGCCGGATACTCGCCTTTTTACAATACCATAACCTGCTATACAGACTCTGGCGGTCCATCGGGACCTGGCGCTTTTTTTTTGGGTCTCCTTGCAGCCTGCACGATTTCTTGTACGGTTATCTTTGGAGGGTTACCCCATTCCTCCACTTGGTACGCTTTATAGGGGATTGCAGTGGGAACTTCGACTTTGTTAACTACCTCGAAGTCTGTTCCGACATTGACCTTTCTTCTTCCAAATTTCTGTGCGGTTATTTGGTACGCTCTCCCCACTTGTCCAGCTCATCAAACAGTTTCCCTCCACATTCCCTCTTCTTCCAGTCGATAACTACCTTCATGGTCTTGCGTTCCTCTCTCAGGGTATCCGAATTTCCGCGTTTCCTGGATCTCCTCCTCGCCGCCACGTGATATATCTGTGGTCGCTCTTCTTCAACCCGCCAGTTGCACACCCCTTACACCATCCTTCTCAAAAAAAGATCTACTTGGAGTTATGACTTACGAGGAACAGGTTAAGATCTTATTCAATGCGATCAGCGGATAGGTACGGACGAATGTTATATAGCAAACCTTTACTTACATGAAATGCGCATCATGCAATTTTCGGCGTTTTGAACGGTGGAAACTGAACTGAGCTGGAGCATCCCATTGAATATATATCACATTAATAACCCTTTTTAATTGTAATCTTACTCAAGTGAACGATTTTTTGAAAAACTGGGTAAAGTCAAATTGGCTCTACTCACCTGTTTTTTTAAACATCTTGATAAATTGAACACAACATTTTTAATAAGGGGCAAAAAATAGTTGCACCTTTTGTTTTGGTATTGTTGACCTACCTTTCAACTAGAAGCCTGATGGAGTTCGCTGTCACTTTGTAACCGGGACACCTACGCGATGGGTCCTTCGAGGTGTTATTGCAAGACCAACTCGCTTCGTGGTCAAGTGGGCCATTCGAAATGACCCACCCGTTTTGACATTTGGGACACCGAAGCGCCGACATGTACGTGCCGAGCTCGGTGGGATCGACACACTTGGAGCAGTTGCACTCGAAGAACTTGTTATCAATGAGATGCTCCCTTCTTCGCATCGTGCCCTAAAGTCACAAATGTTCCACTGCGCGTTGCAAAATCGTACTTACGTGCAAGGTATGCGCGTAGCTAAGCGTGACGGGGTGCCCCGTGTGTATTTCAGTCGATGCCCTCACCGTTAACCTGTACTCCTTGTCTTCGTCCACGTGATTTGTGTTTGGCACGCAGTCGTGCGACATGAGAAATGCGGTCGGATACAAACCCCGCAAGCTCGCGCCCCCTTGTCCGATTTCGAAAGCGTTCACCTACAACTCACGATAGAAACAACCCAAAAACCTCCACTCGCACCTCTAAAACTCCACAAATCGTGTGGATCTCATCTTCACTGTACGCACTCAATCCCCAATCCTTCCTTATCCGATCCACCACCGTCGCCTGGTTAACGTCCCAAACCTCCGGAATCGCCTGCCTCACCTCATTGTGCGGCTCCATACTCTGGATTATGGCGTGCTGACTCGGACTCGTCTGCTTCAGAAGAAGACATCTGAGTGGAGCGATCGCGTTGAAGTGCTGCGACATTGAGGCGAAGTTTGCGTAGTCCAGTAATCGACCGGATTTTGTGCTCGACAAAGTTTGACATTCCTTTTCTGTATGGCCGAAGGTTTGCTTAAGACCTCGACAGTTCGGACTGCATAGGGGCCAACCGCAACCCTTACATCTGAAAGTTACAAAGTTAGGTAACCGTTACGTTACTTTGTTACATTCATGCAACACTTCAACTCCAGAAATTTGGTTTAAACTACTATTTAAATTCCAAGATCTTAAAGAGAAGATATCTTTTTGAAGGTTTCTTTAATTCCAGAGGTACCTTCTAAAGAACATTTCAATATTCACTTAATAGCTACGTCCCACTCAATTTTCTTTAAAGGGCAGTTCAAAATGTGCAAACTCTTCTAGGATCTGTAGAGTAGTTGTACTTCAATGATCCAGTATTTGGAAGTGACCTTAAAAACCACCAAAATCTTTTAAGACTCTTACAATGAACTTAACATATTTTGAAGAGCCTTCGAGTTTATTTACGTACTTAGAAAGCCTCTAACTGTTTGTAAAAGACCTTAAGGACCGTTAAGGGTCTTCAATAGTTCCAAAGGCTTCCAAGGGGCTACGAAAGTTTTCTATATCACAAAAAAATGGGGTCATTGACCTTTGATAGCCTTGAAAATGAAATATGACACAGCAGAAAGTGAGGGCATTGACCTTTGATGATCTTGAAAATGAAATATGACACCTCAGGGGTCATTGGCGTTTGTTGATCTTGAAAATGAAATATGAAACCACAAAAAGAGACCTTGGAAATGAAATATCGCAGAACAGGTTCCTATACTATCGGTATCTTAAAGAGTCTTTGAGATTATTTACGTATTTAGGAGCCTATAACTGTCTGTAAGAGATCTTGAGGATCTTTAAGATACTCCAATAGCTCCCAAGGGTCTACAAAAGTGTTCCAAAGGCGTTTAGGCTTTTGTCTTTAAAAACCTCTATGAGTTTCCAAGGAATAACCTATGAAAACTTTGAAAATTAAATTTAGAACCACAAAAAATGGGGTCATTGACCTTTGATGACCTTGAAAGTGAAATATGACACAGCAGAAAGTGGGGGCATTGACCTTTGATGACGTTGAAAATCTAACATGACACCTCAGGGGTCATTGGTATTTGTTGATCTTGAAAATGAAATATGAAACTACATGGAAATGAAATATGGCAGAACCGGCTTTTATACTATCGGTATCTTTACCTATTTCGAAAGTCGCTGTCTGTAAGAGATCTTAAGGACCTTTAAGAGTCTCCAATGGTTTTTAAGAGATTCCAAAGGCTCCCAAGTTCTACAAAAGTTTCCTAAAGGCTTTTGCTTTTAAAAAACTATGAGTCTCCAAAGGTTTTCAAGAGTTTCCAAACGGTTATGGACTCTTTATTCACCCTTGGTAGTGTTTAAGAGTCTCCAAATGTTTTTGAGACATAGCAAGTGCTAAGATTCTTTTAGAGCCTTGAAGGTCTTTACTGATCTTTAAGGTCTCAGGTTTAGTGATTACTTAAGAACTGTCTCTTTAAATTATTTGAAATCTTAATTCATTTACGAGCATTTAAGATTGTCTGAGAGGTTTAAGAGTCTTTAACAACCCTTAAGAGTCTCGGTGACTGCTCAAAAGTCTCCTCGCGCCTTAAATTCAGAAGGCGTAGTATAGGGAAATTTGCATATGTACCGCTTCATACGGAAGGTGACCGCCAGTTGGGCATAGCGACAAGTGAGGGATAAAACGAGAGTATTTAGAAAAGCGCGCGCTGTTGCCGGCGGTCGCGGTTAGTTGGGAGGTTGCATAGAACTGTTTGGCGACGAATGTAGGGAAATGAAATACGGGAAGATTATTGGATTACAGGGCACGCGATCGTATCATTTACTTTGGTTCCGTTTCGGTTTGTTACTGGGCGACTACACCTAGAAACTTAGAGAGAGTTCCATCTAAACTTCGATCCCAATAGCGTGTCAGTTCTCCGTTTACGATCACCCAATTTTGATCGCGCAATCGACGAGTGCTGGAGGATCGGTCCAATGTTTGTGAACTGCGGAACAATTATAAAGCGTTTGTGGATCTGAATTGGCGTAGGGCCATATTTTAAACCCGTATTTAATCTCGCACGGATAAACAGTCGGAAGTCAATTATGTACCGCAGGTAATAAAATTCCGAGGAAAACGACCCGTTTAAGTGCCTCGCATACGCATACTCAACTGTTACAATTAATACTAACTTCGCCATTACAAGTAAAGAGCTATTTTTAAATTGCGAACGTATAAGGGTAAACTAAAAAGGCAAATTAAAGAACGTTTAGTGAAAAAATGGCGGCATGAAAATACTCTCCCTCGTAAAATAGACTAATATCAAGCAAAATAATTAACGAATTTAGTCTAAGGTGGTGAGTTTCGTGGATTAAGAAGCCATTAGGCTAACAACACTGCTTTTAAATGCTGTCGAGATAAATACCTTTCCATACAACGAGACACAATTGTACGAGGCCGTCACAAAAGGTTCAACTGTATCACCCCAAAACCGATCCAGTTTTCAATTTTTCTTGGAGGGATACTTAAATGATTTGAACTTCCCTGCAGTCTGCAGTTATTTTGTTTTTCAGATTTAAAAAGGAAATAAAAGGCCCAACTTCCGCAAGGTAAGGGGTATTTAAATTTTGTAACAGAGCAAGCCGCGAGTAAACTTAATTGTGACAAAAAAATGTTACCAGTGCCGTAGAGGATCAATTTTATTTAGTGCGAACAAGGGTCTTCAACCGTTACACTACAGAAATAATAATCTGTAATTATTAACGACGATACCACTTTTATTCTATTCTGCTTCAAGTCAGTGTTCTAAGACTCATCGTGTATTTTGTTCTTCAGTGACGGTACCACTTTTATTCTACTCTGCTTCAAGTCAGAGTTCTAAGACTCATCGTGTATTTTGTTCTTCAGTTTTAATTAACAGCCTTTGATATAGGTTCAAAAACCTGTAAAGGTCTTGACAAGAAGAAACAGTTTGAAAGGACCATAGACTGTAAACTTCCGGCTTAGACAATTTAATGGAAATTTCTCCTTAAACCTTTAAATTTACAGTCTCACATTCAATAGTTTTTCATATGACAAAGATGTATACATTGTCATGTCACAATCCATTGCCAGAAATGTAAGGTAAAGGCCAACGACATTCTTCAAATCGCACCTTCTATTTTAGAAACAATCCCGTTGCCAAATGTTTTCGTATACATTATTGCTCACCTGTAATATTTGCCGTTTTCGTATAAAACCTTGTAACAGCCCAAACACTGAACGTCACAATTAGCCAAAGGTCCGACAATCAACGGGACCTCGCTCAAAATTATGGCACCGGGCTTAAACTCTCTCGCCGCCACCATGTACCTGCAACCGCACCATTACTCAATACCTTCCCAAACGTCGGGGCGTATTACCTTCCCATAGTCTTCGAGGTCCGAATCCGATAGTTATTGGCCGATGGAGGTTCCTGACATATTTCGGCGCTCGAGATGCTAACAATGGACTGCGACCTGCTTTTTGACGATCGAGTCTTCTGGAAAAGAACAATATTTTAGTTTAAGTAAACGCGTTGCGATCACTTTTTAAGTGAAGCGACTTGGAAAAGTTTCAAAAACGTGAAAGTTTCCGGTTTTTTTACATTAAATAATAAACATTCATTTCTAAAGCTTTTCGCTGTGACAGAAGCGATCGTGTTGCATTTTTTTATAACTAAATTTAAAGCTGGTGTAATCTCATATTTTTGGTTTGCCCACACGGGCCCAGTAGAAGTAAATATTTCAAGGAATTTTGTTTTTGTACTTCGGTATTGGCAAGTTTCTATTGTGAGGATACGAATTGACATTGCACCAATCAACAGCATGGTAGCTAAAAGTGTCTGATTTAAAAAAACAGATTTCTCAACCAGAGATTCCTAAACAATTAACCGATACATCGGAATATCGAACAATGTTTAATGTTACTCGCTTTGATGGCCATTTTAATAATTTATAGCTAATTTTGGTTTCGTTTTAAGATACACACATAAATATCAATTTGAGAATTTTTTTCAAAATCAGAAGGGTATACCTACCCAAAAATTTAGGCAAGTTCGTTGATTTCGTCCCCTTATACAGTGTGTTCGAGATAAGAGGGCCACTTCCAATATATCTTTTATTTGGCGAGATTCGAGAAAATGGTTGTAAGTATATAATTGTATATAGATAAAAGAATCACTCTACGACAATATAAAACATGCATATGGGTAATGTACAATAAAATGGAGGAATTCGTGATTCACTATTTAAACAACTTATGAAAACTAGCATGCCGTGTGCTGTCGGGATGCGCGGAAAAACCTAACTCATTCCATGTTCCGATTTACGTTTGAGCGATACGATCTCTCCGTATAACATATCAGTGACCCCGCATCCTGACAGCACACGGCATGCTAGATTTCGTAAATTGATAGTGTTGAAAGATTAACCATGGAGGAAATTATATATACTGCCTTGAGAGCCGAAAAAATTTTTTAAAAATTTATCAACATAATATTTGGCTGTGCACGAGTAACAGGTACCTCCTTTGTGTATTAAGAAGAGAGAAAATGCGAGAAAATGAATTATTGAGAACTTAGAGTTTTCAAAATACATAGCAAAGATCTTTTTTAGTCCGAAACTATTTATTTACGAAAGCTCCTTATTTGGATATTAAAGAATGTCTCTCTGCTTCTCCATTTTTTATCGTAGCCTAATAGTTATATATTTTTAATACAACGGCGACATGCTAAATTCAGAAATATGTCACGTCAAGGTGTTGTCATTTAAAACTCCTGAAAAGATTTGTCGTATATTAAAATCCGACCAAGATGGTTTAGTTATTGTGTTTATACTGTAGGTATAAGTAACCCCCAAAGGTGCAGGCAGGTATGGCACGCGAGAGCAGCACATCTGGTCTTGTTGCACCTGGACTACCGTTCCGCTACCGAATTACTACCGTAACGGCTGAAAGTAAATGAATCACTGTTGGCGCTAAATGTAAGACCCTTGCTAATAAATTTAAATACGTGTTTATTTATGCACAGTTAATAATTAATTAATTTATAACGGCACTTAGATGGATTGATTTATCACGCAAGTCTCATTTAACTAAAGTCAACTTTATGCCCAAACAAAGGCGGCTGTTGTGGACGAAACCTTCCATTTCGAGTGGAAAATAATAAACATTAATGATATTGATACGATAGGTTGTAAGGATCGTTATACTCATAGACCTGTTTGTCTTCAACAGCCACATTAATTTTATTCCTTAAAGCCGACTTTATTATTATTATTTATGGCTTACTCGTACTTCAATTTATAACTCATTTGTAACATGAGCCCGATTTCAGTATTTATCACTCCCGTCATCGATATTGGAACTGAAATGAAATACAATTCAATGTGCTTACATAGCAAAAAAAAGGTTCTACAGAATCTTCGAATCAGCATAACATATTTCAGAGAAAGGATGCGCCATATTAGCCCAAGCATTAATCTCTTAACACTCATGGTAAGTGGCCTAAAATGGGCACCCTATAAAAAATTCATTTGTAAGTATAATTATCAAGATCTCGATTATCTTAAAAGCGACTTGTGTCTTATTAAGCATAAAACATAAGGCTAACTTTATACAAAGAAGAATACACTATTTTATACAAATTAACCCTCATTTTTGGTACTTAATAAGACAGTTATAAAAACTTGGTTTTAACGATTTTTTCAATTAAATCTTTAATGTCATTTTTTGAACACCCTGTATTTATTTTTAATCAAAATGTACACTACAGCGGAAACTCTACCATAACCGCTCTCATATACAGAAAATTATATAACTCTCGCCAGGAAAGATTGGCGGTCACAGAACACTTGATCCCGATCTACAATCTATGTTTTTCTTAAGATGCGAGCGACTTCCGGAATAGGATCGTACTAATGTTGAACGAAAAGTCTTTTTGTTCAACATTAACACGATACTACCCCGGAGGTCGGTCACATCTTAAGAAAAACATAGATTGTAGATCGGGATCAAGTGTTCTGTGACCGGCAATCTTTCCTGACGAGAGGTTTAAGTCATTATTTGGGCTGTCATTTTTGACATAAAAATTAAAGTATGCCAAAATATATTAAATGTGTACGTAGCATTTTCAAAATATTCCGAGATCTCTTTGAAAGGGCGAGACACCCTGTATTAGTACTCGTATACTAAGTACTACTAATTTACTATAAAAGAATTAACATACAGTGAGGAGCGTTTCTTCTTTAATTTTTTTGGGGGTTGATATTTGAAAAATATTTTTACAAAATCTGTTGCAGCATGGCTCCACCAGATCAAAATCATTGGAGAAGTAGGAACCGTCGGCTCTTGTAACGGTACTTTCCCTATGGTCTCAAATTTGTTAGATTTTGTATATACAGGGTGTTCCTTAATATGACATATCTACATACGGAAGGGACTAATCTTGTGGGCTTAGAAGCGGCCTGAAGAGAATCACCCATGGACGGCATAACCATCGCGCAGGTACACAGATGCCCCTCGAGGTGCTATTCAATTCTATCCTTCATCGGCGATTTACTCCAACTTCTTGGTCCGCCTCACGCAGGGTCATGATTCCGAAGGACGGGGACCGGATGGACCCGGGTAATTGGCTGCCCATCACGATAGGGTCCGCCGTCCAGTGTCTCTTCCACCGCATTATCGCGCGGAGGTGGACTTCAACCAACACCAGCGGCTTTCTCCACCCGGAGGGACTCTTAGACAACACACTCGCGTTGGACGCCTATGTGTGGGGTAGAGCGAGCGAAGGGAAGTCCTTCAACGTCGTTTCGCACGACCTTGGGAAAGTCTTCAACACCTTAACGCACTCTTCCATCAAACGTGCGCTACGGTATCCACCACAAAGACCCTGAGCTGTTCAAGCCGGATTTCGGAAACCATAGAGCCGCTGGCGAACTGGTCGTATGAGATGTCCAGGTCTGTTGGGAAGGTCCACGTACACTTGCCGAATCGTGGAACCTGACGAGGACAGTATACGACCAACCGAGGTTCCAGGAGTCAGCGGGGAGAGGCGGCCAGGCAAGAGGCTGACCTTTCTGCCACTTATTATAGGCGCGCGTGGTATACATAATGGCCTCGCTACTATGGCTCTCATGTTCTCGTCACCCCTGAAGGCCAGTGTGTTTCCTCCTGCCTACTTTGGGGGAGTTCGATCCACAACATCGACAGCTACTCCCTCAGCACTCCCTAGTTCCTCTGAAGGTGTTTTACCAAGTTTGTCGCAACGCTTCAAATTCCCTTAATCGTCCAAATCCTTTCAAGTTTCCGTCAAATTTCGTTCAAGTGAATGGTTTCTTTTAAGTCCCTACCGAATCCTTCTCCTTAAATTTCCTCCATACTCCCCTAAGCTTTTAATTTGCAGGGCTAAGGGTTTTCCTCGAGGTACCCCTCATGTATATTCTTCAGCTTCCCATTAAGTCCCTATCAAATTCTCCTCATGTTGCTTTTTAAATTGTTCTGGAGTTACCCTCAAAGTCCTTTAAGTTTCCCTAAGCTATCACTTTTTTCTCAGGTTCTCCAAGTTTGCACCTAATTCCCCTAAAATACGTTGCTCCTTTCATGTCCAATTGAAGTTAATCTTAAATTTCCATCAAGAATAATTGCTCATAGTTTGGGAACTGTAAAATTTTCGGTACTTAATAAACACAACAACAAGTGAAAAGGTAATCAACAGCAGGAACGAGGGGGGGGGGTGGAAGGTGCCCCCGGGACAAGTATGAACTTGTTTGTACGCGAATGAACTGATTGTGACCGCACCGACCCTGTCCATCAATCGGAAAATGCTCCCGTATAAAAATCAAAAAGGAAAGCGAAGCGCCCAAAAATGGCGCTGAAAATATGACAACGTTGGGTGCCATGTTTGTAAAGCAATGCGACGGGTGGCAGACGATAAGCTGCGACGATAAACAAGGGAACGAAAAAGTAACAAGTCGTTGTTTGAAATGTAAAAAGCCAGGCCACACAGCAAACGCGTGTCCGAAAACAAGAAGAGCGCGACGGTCGTGGATGATGTCTGTCTCAACACTAAAGATAAACGACACAAGCAGAAAATGGTGCCTGGACAGTGGTGCAACCACTCACTTATGCAACGTACCGCAGTATTTCGATGAAATTTTGAACACGCGACGCGGTATGCTTAAACTCGCAAGTGACACGACTGTCACCACCGGTGGCGGACAAGATTACAGATCGAGGCCTCCAAGATCATTTTCAGAAAAATGGAGCAAACGGAAAAGTGGTTTTGTTTGAAGCCAGTGTCCTCTGTGCACACGGACGTCTCCGGTCCTATGAAGACGGCATCCTTGGCAGGAGCAAAACATTTTATCGAGTTGGTCGATGATTGTTCGAGGTGGTGTGAGGTTAAACTCTTGAAGTCGATAGCTGGCGCATTCAAGGCGACAATCGACTCTTTGAAAACCAGAAGGGAAGAACTGTAAATTTCTTGCAATCCGATAATAGTAGTCAGTTTGACGTAACGGTTTAAGCCTCCGACTCTCACCTCACAGGTGGTGAGTTCGAATCCCACAACTTGCCTCCTGACTACCATGCTTCAGAAGGAATGGAAAATTCGTATGTCCATCTCATTCCACAGCTGATGAAGAGGAGCCTACACGCATTCGGAAAATGTATTTATATATTTATTTATTTACTTATTTATTTATTTATTCATTTATTATTCCTCTCTTGTTCTGGGCCCTCAACAAGCTTGTGCCCAATTGCAGAGTGACCCGCATAATGCTTTTTAGAGGTGCCCCGGTATTTACCTTACGAATTAGGAAAACTGCAGAATGCTCGAAACTGATCTAAGGCAATTCCCATCTCTGTCACAGATGAAAAATTCTTACCTCAGCCCAGGTTCGAACACCCGACCTCCGGCTATATAGCCCAACGCTCTACCACTGAGCTACACAGACGTTAACTGAAGGATTCCGAGGTTTTGTAAACGATGACGAAGAGGACAACTCTGAGTACCAGGAAACCAACGATAACATGTTCGAGGGGATGCAGTGGCACGACCCGTGACTCGAGGAACCCACGCAGAGGTCCTGACCGACCAAAGGAAGTGAAGAATGGTTCAATGGGAGGACCTCGATAGGAGTACCATGTTATTCCAGAGGACAATGATGCAATGGAATATGTTTCGGAAATTTCCATGAAAGAAGTTTTGAGCGGGATTGGCGAAAGAATGGCGAAATGCCATCGTCGATGGTCCAATTCTCCAAAAAGAAACCTGGGTGAGTTATTGATTGCTGAATGGTTCTAAGGAACAAGTTGCGTTCTGATGTCTCCATTTAGAACAGCATCCGGCATCTTTTTTACGCAAACATTTATTGCACCAGTATCTCGGAGAAGTTCCATTCGTTTGATGGCATCACCTGCTGCTACACTACGGACCTGATCCCGGATCGTTCATGCCGGCCCGTGTGGCACAGTTCAGTTGAAACTGGACTGTGGTGCTAAGGGTCCCTGGTTCGAATCCGGGTTCGGGCATGTATATTTGTACATGTATAGTGGGTTGGGTTGGTAGAGCAGCCTTGGCTGAAACCCCGCCCACTCAAAAATAAAGGCAAAATAGAATGAAATAAAATTAAAAAAATGTCAACTCTCCGACTGGGGGAATTGCTCTAAGGATAGTAAGTCCTACATTGGTTATTTATTCACGCTGAACGGCTGGCCGGTGACTTGGAATTCTCGGAACCATTGCCCTGTCGACGCTTGAAGTTGAAAATGACTAAGGGTGCCACAGAACCAATATTTTGGAGAAGATTCCTTGCCGAACTAGGATTTTATACGGTGATGATCGTGGTTCTTTGAGTTTAGCAAAGAATCAAACCTATCATTCCAGAAGTAAGCACATTGACATACACCATCACTTTGTGCGAGAGCTAAGCTTGGCCTATGTCCCTACGGAGGAGCGAGCTGCGGATTTCTTCACTAAAGGTTTGCCCAGGCCCCAACCATCAATGTTGTATCGATTTATCCGGACGAGGTAACAATCGCCTCGAGGGGAAGTGTTAGAAACTCAAGTAGGTACCCTTTTGGTATATGTATTGTTTGTTTTAACACCCTCTACCACATATCTACGTGTTACACTCATACACTGTTACCCCTAATTTAATTAACTTCGACCAATAGGCACTCCAAAAAAAGTTCCGAAAAAAAATGCTTGGTATTCTTCCATTTCCTGGTGACTAACACAGAAAAACCGGGTTTCTAGAAGAAAAAATGATGTTACTGTGTCGTTGTCGTTGGCACTACATCAATTTTTTTTCTCAGCAGCGCATGTGGGGGTGGTCCACCACCGAACTCATCAACTCCACCATCTCCAATAATCAGATAAGTGTTCAGGCAAAGCTTGCAAAGTGAAAAATGTTGGAAGCATATACCTTTCGATGACCCCCAAAGTTTGAAAAATCTAAGATTAATTGACATAATAAATAAACTCGTTGAAACACTTGAATTTATTTACACGAAACCGCCAAGCTCGCCGCTATTTAATTTAACACAAAAGTCACTTACCTTCTTCTTTTGACTTTTCAACATTTTTTTTACTTTTTCAACCGATGACCGAAAAACTCGATGCAGCGTAAATCGGTACGAGGTTTTAGTGTGGGTGCATTTTCACAAGTGTCACTCTTGGCAGAACGCGCGCGTGTTTCTAAAATGTTTATTTGCGGATTTAGAGACTAATGATATTGTCCCTTCCACTAAATATATATATTTATAATGTGGGAGAAGAATAAGATATGTTAAAAACGGATTCTATTTTAAAACCTCTACTTGATATACTACGTGAATATATTTTTGGCAAATAGATTAAAATTCTGTTCGTACTTTAATGCATTTCAAATTGATCGACCTGTCAATTCAATGAGAAGCGTCTTTCAATCAGCGCGAGTGACTTATTTACTTTTATACGTATCTTCAAAGTGAATTTCCCAGAAAAGTTTACGCATCCACGAAATGTTAAAAATAATCGGGCGGAAGATGCGAAGGTGACAAATTTCCTCAATAAATGTCACCGCGCGAAAAATAGTGGTCCCGAAATGGAGTCATGAGGAATGCCATCTATAGCACTCGGAACGTATTTGAAAATCCATCTAAACGATAAACATTCGATAATTCATTGAAGTACTCGTCTGTTTTCCGTTGAGGTTTTGTGCTCCACTGTACCATGGGAAAATCATGCTTAAATGGCGTCAAAGGAAAACTAATTTTAAATTTTCTGTACACGTGCTATGGTGTCTTTGAATTTCAATTGAAAATAAAAATCAGTGACATTCGAATTTTAGTTACCGTAAATATTTGCGTACTTTAACCGATTTATGCATGGTTTTTGGCTCCTTTATGCAATAGACTAGACACTTCTAAAGTGTGCTGTTCTTACGGATATCCGATATCCAAATAATAATAGATACCTCACGATTCCAAGCAACTGTCAGGCTGCTTCCTCAGTCGCTCGAACAAATTACGGTTGGTGGCAGATAAAAATTGCATTTTTTTTTTGCATAACCACCTCGCTATTATGTAAATTACATATAACTTATTTCAGATTGGAATATAAAAACCTCGAAAACCAAGATATTTTGAACAAGTATAAATTGTGCACACGTCTTGTGCAGATAAAGCTCATTTTTTAACCGAAATAGCTTTTGTTTTGACATCACCAATGGATATATTTCTTGCAGACGTTTCAATCGCCCTTTGTGAGTACCCTCTTCCGACAATCCGTTGTCCGTTGTAATTGGCATAACTGGAAAACAGACAGCGGAGGCGCAAACAAAGCAATTTGGGGTGAACATGCGCAATTCAAGCGGGGATTTGCCCCCCCCCCCCTCCCAAAGTTCATTTGATCGTAATTTTCAAACCGCCCGCCGCAAACATACATTTACCGGTGCAAGAAGAGGAAAGAATAACAGGTGAGCCGCAACCCCATATATAAAGTCAAATTTAGAGGGGCATAATTCATAAACGTCCCCCCTCCAGTTTCCAAAAAATTATTTTTTCACTGAGCAACCGATTGCGGTTAGTGTGTCAATGTTTGCGCCCCAAACACCTTTGTATGCGCTTCACTTGTTTTTCAGTAATTCGGAATGCAAATTCTATTGCCCCCCCCCCCTCATTTTTAAATTGGCGTTTTTTGAGGGGGGATTTGTATTTGAAATAACTGGAAAACGGACGGCGGAGGCGCAAACAAAGCAATTTGGGGTGAACATGCGCAATTCAAGCGCAATCAATCGTTCTGGGAAAAAATAATTTGTTGGAAAATTGGGGGGCAGTTATGAATTTGCCCCCCCCCCCTCCTCTCTCAAAGTTGACTTTATCGTAATTTTTAAACCGGCCGCCGCAAACATACATTTACCTGTGCAGGGAAAGGAAAGAACCCCATGGTTTGGAGGACCATTACGATATCTTTGTCAATGGTTACTTTTTTTGAGGATTTCTTACATTGTTTGTTGTGTTACGTGGGCGAGTCGTCCTTAAATACGGTCCAGATTTTTTAAATGCGTTCGAAAACTGAAGGCGACTGTGAGTCGTGGGGTACGGCGTTATTGTCTCAGGCTACCGAAAAAAATGGTTTATATTGCAGTCGTCGTTATGTGAGTTGCTGCTTCATATGGGATTTGCAAAGTAAACGGGAAACCATCAATGATTGGGTGTGTGCAGTTAGTTGATTGGTGGAAAAGATTTGTGTCAGTCTTAAAAAAGTAAAGTGAAATTGGTTGCATTGAGATAACCGTGAGGGCATTCGCGTTGAGCCGTGGGCGAAGTTACGTTGAACTACCTGTAAATTAGCGCAGGGTGGTTTTACATTTTGGTGTTATATTCTACTAGTCGAAAGCGTGAATTATTTTCGGAGAAATTGCATGCTAATAAGTTAATGACGGTAGGTACTTGTAAGTCAAGTTTGTAAAGTTTAAATTTGGTGACCCTTAATTTGCGAATTAGAAACTATTACGGTAAACACGAGCAATAGCGAAATTCGTCGCAGGTCTGAAACGATTGATTGAGCGCATATAATATTGTATACAGGGTGGTGCACGGTAAATAGGAAGATAGGGATTTAACATGGGAAATTAGTTTTATGCAAAATGCTGCCCTCCTGTACATTTTACAGAAAAAACTGTAGAGTTTAAAGTTGTTCAGAATTAAAAGGTGCATACAAAACTGTTTTACATGTTTTATTAAACTTTTGGTATACCCGAAAATTTAAAAATAAATTTCAACATTTCTGTTATTAATGGCAATTCATAAAACAACAAAGGTCATGGCTATTGCTACTAATAATAGAAATGTTGAAACTTATTTTTAAATTTGCGGGTATACCAAAAGTTTAATAAAACATGTAAAAACAGTTTTGTATGCATCTTTAAATTCTGAATAACTTTAAACTCTACAATTTTTTCTGTAAAATGTACAGGAGAGCAGGATTTTGCATAAAACTAATTTCCCATGTTAATTGTGTTCCTGCTTACCGTGCATCACCCTGTATACGACATCTACATTTTCCGTCGGCTTTATACGAGACCTTGGAATTTGTATTAATTTCCCTTTTCAGGTGTTGGATCAATCAGTATTTCTAGTTTGAATGAGCAACAAATATCTACATTAATATCTCTGTATAATTACGGTAATCATTTTTGATTTTATTGTTATTGAAACAGTAGGAAACATTTATTTTAAGGGTGTAATTTTTCCAATGAATTTATTACTAGAGAATTCTTCAGCTTGGTCCAGTTTCCTATTACGATTGTAAATCGCTTGTAGAATTTGACATAAAATGAACATAATTGTTTGCTATTGTTACAATGGTTTGTAAATGAAGGCAAAATTTGATTTCTTTAATATACAGCGTGTTTCTTGTAAAAGACGAAAAATTATCGAATTTAATTTAGAATTTCTGGGGATCAACCCTGCTTGGTTTGTAACTAATTTGTGGCATAAGTTTCGAAAAATTACACATGTTATTCAGAAAAGTTGTTCAGAATGCAAAACTGAGTGAACGTGCAAAAATCCTAGGCCTACTTTGATTTTTTTATGTTTTTATTTTTAATTTTTTTTCAATATTTAATGTAGATAAATTAAAGATTTCAAATTGCAATTGCTTCAAATGTTACGGTAATTACATTCTATTTTGAACAGTATTTTCTGGTAACATTTTTTCGGGTGCCAAAAAATTTAGTTAAAACATAAAAACAAAAAATCCGAGGATTTTGCACGTTTACTCAATTTTGGAATTCTGAACAACTTTTGTTAGTAACATTTGTGCGTATCTCATCCCCAAAGCACTTTACTGGTATGCAAAAAACGTTTTTTTGAAAATTTCAAAGGCACCCTTGATTTTTCAAAACTGAAATTGTCACAAATTAGTTTCCACCCAAGCAGGGCTGATCCCCAAGAACATTTTTTGTCTTGTACAAGAGACGACCAAACAATCGGGGAGACACACTGTATGTGAATGTTTTGAAATTTAGATGCATAGAAAAAAATTTCTTTCAAATTTGCTAGAACATAACATCTTTTTGTATTTTTATAAACCCTAGACATCTGAGGTCTTTAAAAGCTTGTGGGAATTTCTAGTGTATCGGCACGTACTCATTTGGTCATTTCTTTTACAAGAAACTATTAAAGAGCATGATGTATGAAAAATTCGATATTGTCCTGGATCTGATTTACGATGACCTTTTAATTAAGATAGTGCGTTCATTAATTTGGCGATTATTAAAAATTCTGATTAGAGCTAATGGGAACGCGCATTTTAATTATAAATACCCAACGTATATAATGCAAATTCTTTTGGGGCGCGTTGTCATTCGTTATGGACAAATGGCAAGGGAAGGTCGCGGTTGTAACGGGGACGACCTCTGGAATTGGTTTGGCGTTAGCCACCCAGCTTGTAGATTTGGGCGTTGTGGTAAATCGGTTTCTGCAGTTGCTAGGTGTTTGCCAACGTAAACGTTTCAGGTGGTCGGATTGTCACGTAGAACGGACAGGGGTGTCGAGCTCGTGTCACGTCTTCGGGGAAGAAAGGGCGCGTTTCATCACCTCACAACGGACGTAGGCAAAGAGGAGGATGTGGCCAGCGCGTTTCGATGGATTCGCGAAAATTTGGGCGGTGTCAGCATTTTGGTTAACAACGCGGGCACGAGGAGATCCACCAGCTTGGTGGACGGTGATGCGAAGATGTGGAGGGAAACCTTGGACGTTAACGTGGTTGGGCTGTGCCTGGTCACTAGGGAGGCTGTAAGGAGTATGCGCGCAAACGGTATAGATGGACACGTTGTTATTGTCAACAGCATGGCTGGTCATCGCGTACCTCCCCTGCTGGATAACAACATTTATCCCGCTTCCAAATTCGCGGTAACCGGAATTGCCGAGACTCTTCGACAGGATTTAAATGCTATGGGTAGCAAGATTAAGGTTACGGTATGTTCTAATTAATACTTCCACTAGTTGCTACTATTCGTTATACAGGCTGTAAGCCCAGGGCTTGTCGCTACAGAAATATTTGAGGTTAGCAAAATGGATGGCTATATAAAATCCCTTCCACAGCTTCAACCAGAAGACGTCGCTAATATTATCGTCTATGTCCTGTCCACACCACTCCATGTGCAAGTAGTGATATAGCAACATATTACCATTTATGGTTAATTAATAACCTGCCTTTTCAGATCCATGACATTCTGGTGAGACCCCAAGGACAACTTTCTTAAGACCCTTAAGTTGCCACACGCACCTAACTTTAGCCTGTTGTTTTGCTTGCGTTGTTTAAGGTATTTACTATTTCCGCTTTCAAATATACAAAGTAACAATATACGTCTCGTAATTATATACATAGTCGCTAGAAAGTTAAATTTAACCGATTTTTTGGCAAACAAATTTTATTATCAACGAGAGCGGGCGTAAAAAATTACGCGATTCGCATAATTATTGCAAATTTGTTTGATTTTTAGTTCGCAGAGTGTTACTATTAATATCACCATTAAAAATTAACAAAACGGCAACATCAACATCGTTAAATAAAATTTTACGTTTTTTTGTAATTTTGGCATGGATTCTTTGAAAGATATAAAATTTTCGAATCTCTCCCCCAACTTTATGGTACCTAATGAGCGTGTTTATACTGTCGTAACACCTACCTACATAAATTTCTTTGCCGATTCGATTCTGGATACTATTCTGGAGTACGATAGGAGGGTCGACAGGGTTCGCGCGTACCTCGGCCTCAAATTCGGGCCCTTTATACTGCCTCCCTGACTTGAGTCCTCCCACGGCCCTCAACGTCACTCAAGCCAACGCACATATGAGGGGAACTTAAGGAGTAAGGGATGCGACTCTAATCGTAGCCGTGCCCGCCAAGGACACCACCAACAATTGAGTTACAAGTGGTTTTCCCCTATTTCAACCTCGCTGCCTGTTCCCAAGTCTGAAAATGGAAAGGAGATATCCAAGATGACGTCCAATATGGCGGTTTTTGGACCACCCTGGCGTTTTCTCCTTAAAATACTTGATTTTTACAGTTCAAGGACCTGGACACACGTTTTTGGGATCAAAGAACACAATGGAATGGACAAAAATGAGATCGGATGTGGTAGAAACGTGATTTCTCAAATTTCGGGCGAAACGGCGCCAAATATTTGAATTGTTCTAACTTGTTCCAGAATACACTTACATTCAAGTTTCTTTTATGTTGGCGTAGTGGGGCCAAGAAACACAATGGATGAGTCAGAAATATGACCGGGAGTGGAAAACCGGGATTTTTCATATTTAGACCGCAATGGCGAAAAATTTCGTTGTGTTGCTACTTTTATTTATTTTTTATTTTATTTTATTTATTATCCCTCTCTTGTTCTGGGCCCTCAACAGGCTTGCGCCCAATTACAGAGTGACCCGCATAATGCTTTTTAGAGGTGCCTCTGCAGAAGGTTTTAAGTAGTTCATACTACTCCGATACTCCGATACGAATTAGGAAAACTGCCGAAAAACCTAATTCGGAGTAGCTCGAAACTGGTCTAAGGTAATTCCCAACTCTGCCACAGATGAAAAATTCACCTCAACCCAGGTTCGAACACCCGACCTCCGGATTTTCAGCCCAACGCCCAACCATTGAACCACAAAACCGGGCTTCTCATAATGCTCGTAGTTTAGGAAATTCTATATGTGGACGGAGCTTTCTGAGGTCTATGAGTGCCATTTGAGTACCAGAACGTCACCGAAAGCCAGATGACGTCTTCTGTGTATTCTGAGTATCGTAGGTATGTATAACGGGTAGATAGAATTGGCGCTGCGATTCCTCAAACCCGCCGCATTAACGGCCCACTTGCTCAAGATTAAACACAAAATAAGAGCTTGTGAATCTTCCACAGCGATATAGTTCGTTCTGGGTAAACTTATCTTCTTAACTTCGGTGCACTTATCAAGGGTTTAGCGTCACTCAATTTCTAACTTAACTCTCCCTCCCCGCCAGAAATTGAGAAGATACGGGGGTACATAAAACATACATAAAAAGGCAACGCATTCTTCAATGTAAATTAGATGTCATCCAGAGAAGTGAGCTCAGTTCCCGGATCAATAAAAGTGCAAACAAAAGTAAACTCCCATCAAGCCGCAGAGCTCGGAATGCAATGAACTGAACAATGCCTGAAGGGCCTCGCCTTACTCGTAGTAAGCTTTTATCATAAGTACGATACTGAATCGGCCAACTTCTCCAGAGGGAAGTGGCGGGTTACCATAATATTCGCGTGTAAAACTCGAACATAAATAGAGTTCGCAAAGATAATAAATAGGTCGAAATCTAAAGAAAGGTACACGTCAAGTAAATTAAATGCAAATAGCGTACTTGCAATAAACCAGAAAAACCGCAATTATATATCCTCACCAGAGCTGGGTACTGCTCGCGAGCGTTTCGCTCGAAAAAGCGCTCCAAGCGGAAAAAGCGCTTGCGAGCGATGCACTCGCGAGCACTTTTTGGAGCGGCCGCTTGGTGCTCGATATTCGAGCGTTTACTTAAAGTGCTTGGCGCTCGAGCGCTTTTTTTCTGCCCGGAAGTGGTTTTTTCCGCTCATGAGCGTTTTTTTCCGCTCGCGACCTCTTTTTCCGCTAGCGAGTGCTTTTTCCGCTCGCGAGCGGTTTTTTCAGCTCCCGAGGGCTTTTTCCGTTCCTGAGCGTTTTTTCGCCCGTGGGTGCTTTTAACCGCCCTCAAGCGCTGTAGGATTAAGCGCCGCTCGCGAGCATTTTTTTTCCGCTCGCGAGCATTTTTTTTTCCGCTCCTGAGCGCTTTTTCCGCTCGGAACTCGCAAGCGGTTTCGCTTTGCAAAACAACTTGATGCTCGCGAGCATTTTTGAGAAAACTAGAGCGCTCGTCGCTCGAGCGGTTTTTTAGAACGCTCAACCCAGATCTGATCCTCACTATATGGCAGTAAGGTGTAAATTCATCCACACAATATTACTGGGATCCCCAGATTAAGAATTCAATCGCCAAAGTTTTATAACATTTGGGTGGCGGCAATTAAAATTCCATGCGTTTTTAAACTAATGCCTCAGGTGCTTTTCTACGAAGTGCACTCTGTTAGAGCTCACAAACTAAAAAGGAAAGTGAATGTGGGCAATCGAAAACCAACGCGCGCTAAAATTGCGTGGTTAAAATTCTAACGATAGATTCAATAATTAAATATTGGCAGCATTGTAATGAGTGAAATATTTTTCATTCCCGTGTGGCGCAGTTCAGTTGACATTGGACTGTGGTACTAAGGGTCTCTGGTTCGAATCCGGGGTTGGGCATGGATGTTGGTAGCGCAGCCTTGGCTGAAACCCCGCCTACTCAAAAATAAAGGTAAAAATAAATAAATAAATTCATACCGTTTAATGTTTAATTTTGGATTTTACATTAAGTTTACCGCACCGTATCTATAGCTTTTATTTTTTCTCGCACAGTAACTTCTATCGCCCCCTTGTGCTAAGTAAACTTTTTGTTCCATTAATTATAAGCGAGGGATATTGTTTTGCATTCTTGCATTTGCTTTCTCGTAGGCACTGCTAATTAATTTGTGTTTTGTTGCTTCCATTCCCGCTAGGGAGTTTTTCGTAATTTATGTTTTAGTTTTTCTGAAGCGTCGACTGCGATATGCTGAAATCGTCCGATCCTTGGGGTTGACGTTCTCTGATTGAGTTTACCCGAGTCTTCCAAGATCGATCCGCCCAAACGCTGCTACGGTCGACCTTGACCAAGTACGAGGTCGTATCACGAGTCAATCTGTCCGTTGCTCTTAACAGTATCTTTCTAATTTTTAATTTTAGAAACAGAAATTTTGACGCCCCGGTGCCCTTAGCTGGGGCTCAAGAGGTGAACTGCTGATAAAAAGAAACCACATACCCACCCCTCCATTAAAAAAAATGACGCATAGTCGCCATCTTGGGAGTTAAAACTTTCAATGTTATGTCAAGAATACTATTTTATACCTCATTCCCCCCCCCCCCCCAAATTTCAAATCGGCATCTCAATCCTTTTTCAGTATATAGAGGGGAGGGAGCTATTTAATACGCACTGTATACTTCAGTAGATAACATGCAACAATTAACCAAAAATATTGGCTGGTAGAGGCACCTAAAACTACGCCCGAAAAAATTCCAAAATTTGACGAAATTATAATTTAGGGTTTTTTCAACATCAAAATAACAAACTCAAAAACAGTTTTCTACAATGCAAAACAGTTTTGGATCACAAGCATGATCAGGATTTCATTAAATTTGGTGGGTATTTGAGAACAAAACAGTTTCTTCATATACATACGACTTTTCAAAAAAGAATTATGCACATTTATCGTCGAAATCACCTAGGAATATTTGAAAATGTTCTAGTTTCGCCAAAAACACTAGCACATGAGCAAATGCAGTTTTTCTCCAGCAGTTTTTTGAACGTTAGTAGGTTTTTTTTTGAAATTCTTACACTTTTTCAGACTCTTAAAATTGTGCACATCCATGGAATTATTGAGAACTTTCGGGCGCATCCGTTTCTTTGGCTTCTATGACTCTAATCTGAAAATTCAGGATTAGAACCTTTAATTCGTAATTTCTACTTTTTAACTTGGAAATGCGAACTGCGCTTATTTTGATGTTTGAAAGGTTCCACCCTGTATATACAACTTACGACGAGACACACATTTTTGAGAATTGGCAACCATGCAATTTGTAGGTGCGAAAAGGCTGCCTGCGCCATTTAAAAAGCACGTTTGGCATCTTGTCTTGAAAGGCGGTCGTGAACGCGTCGCTCCATAAATGTTTGTTGTTATTTTGTGTTATTTAATGCAGGTAGTAATTTTTGCATTTCTTTATATCGTATTTGTGTGTTGTATGCCGCATTTTATATTTTTTGTGTGTTTCAATCTTTGATTTTGAAATTTATTTGATTTAACCCCAATGCAGAATGACATGTTAAATACCGTTATCCATTTGTTTGTAATCGTTTACGTTTTTGGTGTAATGTTTGCTTAATTTATGTTTATTGATGTTGATTACTTGGTCTTGTCTCTGAAGTTTCATATAAGTTTTGATCATTTTATTTTAATATGTGGAAATTACGATTCGTTTGATGTATGTACTGACTTCTTGATTGTAACTAACAATTTTCTTCGCGAATGAAGCAGTCACGGCGGTGGTAAAAACTGTAATCAAATTGAGTTACGGCACCTAATTCCGTGATTGTTTTCGACATTCAACTGTAGGCTCGAAACTCCGAAACCAGGGGCGGGTTACCTGTCTTGCAGGAGCGGGATTACGCTAATCAAAGCGCTTCAGTTTAGAATCGATGTGCGATAAATGAGTTACGATTCGTAATTTCTTCAGTTCCACATTCGCTTCTTCAGAATATTCAAATTCTGCCAGTTTCTTACCTAATCGTTAAATTCTTTGTCTTGGCTCCTTCAATATTCAAACTCATCAAATTCTTTGGATTCTTGAAAAATTCTTGCGATTCTTTATCGCATCAAATTTTTAACATTCTTATGATCTGATTCTTTAGTTGCTTAAAATTTGTAAAACTCACACTCTTTTGCATTTTTCCATTTCTTCCGATTCTTTCGAACCTTCAAATTCTACCGACTCTGGAGCAGATGCATGAGGTTGTCCGATCCTCACCAGAAACTACTATAAATTACCTCGAAAAGGGTTTAGCGTGGAATCTAATAGAAAATTGTACTATAGTTTTGCTTGGTGTCGCTTGAAAATCCTCCGAATGATAGACAACCCAACATCCTTCTCAGAACAAGAACATCCGTTCACAGAAAAGGAGACTTTGGCAATCGAAATGCCGTAAAAACCAATAAAAATTTGTCCCAGTTAATCAGCCAATTAGAAAATAATAATAAGAGCATTACATTACGTTAAGTATACTTAAATAAAATATGCTTGTAACACGTAAAATGAGTTAGTCATCGAAATAATCGCCCAATTGTATGTGGGACAACTTATGCGTTACATTTTACTTACTTATTTACGGCGAGGCAATACGGAAACTAGTGTGTAGAGAAAGTGGTATTTTTAGAGAAGTTTGGTGTTGTTTACACGTGCCAAAAGGGAGGGTAAGAACTGCAACAATGTTGCATTGTTATTATTTCATAACTTAAGATTAAGTTGAGTAAACAAATAGCTTTAGTATTAGTGATAAACAAATTTGTCTCGTGTCGCCTGTTAGAAACAGACTTTCACCTACGTCGCCGAAGAATGTCTGGTAGATAATTGTACACTCCCACCAATCATCAGGCCATTTGTACTTGACTTTGAGGCATCTCCACTCCATTCTTATGGGAAGTCGAGGGTCACACGTAATGAATGAGATGGTTTTCCATTTTTTTGAAAAAAGGTGATCCCATTGAAAATGTGGGGGAAAAATACCTGTTTTGGTTTCTGTGTAATGTCTATTAATCCAGCCAACGAAGCAGAAAGGATGGAAATTAATTATGTAATCTGGTCTTGAACAGGCAGGGTTCACCCCCTGAACAACATACTGAAAGCCTTTCGACTGTAATCCTTCCCTCTGAAATATTCATTTTTGAATCTATCTAAAACAAGTCCAAGAGATAAACAGTCGGTTTAATTAGAAAAAAGTTGCGTATTTTACGGTTTAGTAGAATGATGTTTTAAGAATTCGGAAATTCCAATCGATTCCCAAGATATTCGAAAAAACCCAAATTAACCATATTCCGTTTTTATTTTTTATGATTCTATTTGAAAAGATACCAAAAAACAAATAACACTTTATCATAGGCACTCTTTAAGCTCTACAAGATGGTGCCCACAGATTTTCATTTCGACGTTTTGTCTTTGAGAAACCATCATCAACTTTATATTTTTGTGTAGTAGGCGCTGACAAAATGTCAAAATAATCCATTGACCTTTAAATGACATAAGAATCATATTATGCCATACATCGTTGTATTCGTAATAAAAAATGCTACTCAATACAGTATGTACTTTTTTCCAGTCCATATAAAAATATTAAACTGATGATGGTTTCTCAAAGACGAAACGTCCCAGTCAAAATCTGTTGGCACCATCTTGTAGAGCTTAAAAGTACCAATGGGAAAGTGTTATTTGTTTTTTGATTAATTCCACCACTCGTTGAAAGTGAAATTTGAAAGATTTCGACGACTTGAATCAGGAACAAACTGATGGGCTTCAGGTTTCTCGAAATTTAGTAGTTGAAATTTTGCTTTAAAAAATATTCTTCTACTTAGGGTTTTAACAGCCAGCAAAAGTACTAATTAATTGTCTTTAACTTTTTTACCGGTTGCCGTTTAATCTAGAATCTTATTATCTCCCCGTATAAACAAGAGAGCCGCCCAAATTTGGTTAGCAAACTAAAACTAACCAACCCAAATATAAACACAATGAAACGTTCTGTACTTTTGACCCCGATGCTTTCGTGGTATAATTAATTTAAAGTCGATCACGTTGATCAAGTGATGCATCCAAAACGAACATGTTCGCTCACGTATTATGAATGCAGCACCTTCGCACTGTACTCACGGCTGAAAATAAATCATCCCGCCGGTCGATTCTTCTCCACAACAAAGTTTCCCTTGTAGTATCTTGCATAGTTTCAGGAATCAGAGGAAAGCGAAGAATTCCAAATCTTAAATATTTCGATAAATCGCAATGCATTATGATGGAATCTCCAAAGATAAGGATTTAAGGAATCCGAGGAGATGGAATGGAAGAATTTAAAGAAGGTTAAGATTATGAAGAATTCAAGAGAATTTGGTTTTAAGGACCGGAAGGCGCAAAGAAAAATCTTGAAAATCGTATGTGTGTGAAAAGTGTGTAGAATCTGAAGAGTGCGAGGAATCTTAAGAATGCAAGGAAGAAGATTTTTAAGAATCTCTAGAACTGACAGAATTGGAAAAATGTGAGCGATTTAAAAAAAAATAAAAATAAACAGTCACGTAAGTTCGAATAATCTGACGGTTCCGAAACATTTGAAGTTGTTCAAGGAATCTAAAGAAAGTAGAGGGTTTTAGGTTTAAAAAACCCTTGGCCCGCCAACACAACAGGAATGGTGATCGTTGTGAATCTGTTCTGAACTAAACATCTTGGCCGCCGGTAGAGCAATCAGACATGTTCCAAACGAACAGTTTAGAATGATTAGGGATATTTTGCAAATAATGTTTTGTTAAAGTTATCTCATTTAAATATGGTCGTTGCGATAAGATATTTCTTAGCGCTATGTTTGAAAATACGCAGGTTTCGCCGATGAGAAAACATATGTGTATAATTTCGAAGACGCAAACTCGAGAGGCGGAAACTGAGAGAGGGAAAAATGTTTTAAATCGCAGAGGAAGATGTGAATCGTGAGTCAATTTTGTGATGAACGTTAATCGTTGCTTTTTTTGATTTGGTGGACGTTGAAACGTAGCTGCTTATTGTGATTGTCAGTTTTGCCATATTTAAACTGATTCAAGACAGTCAAGTTACTTGAGTACTCTAAGATATTTTTATTACGCCGTTTAATGTGAATGTTTAAGTCCAATTAAAATAGTAAAGTTTACGAAGGACTTTGTCGGACTGTTGTGTTAATCGAGCAATTATCGCATAAGCAAGCCTTTCTTTAATGTCTCAATTAAAGGGAGCATTAATAAAGAGCCAATATTACATATGTAATTACTAGGAAATCAGTGTTGTTCCGAAGTATTTGGTGTGTGACGAACGGTGGCTTCGGTTCTCTTTTACAAAAAAAATAAACGGTAAGTATAATTACAAAAATGAAATTTATTGAAGGTAAGAAAATCTATATACGGTGACGGCGGAAGGTTTTGGTCTGTCTTGCGCCTGTACAAGATGCGGTCGGCGATGGTAAGCTTCAGGTAACTGGAATGGAAAACGGCGGTCCCAGGAATTCTACAGGGCAAGCGGTGGGCGGCTACTGGCGAATGCTAACACAAACTTAAAGCGCACATCAATTTCCCTAAGCGGGAACAGTTAATAATCGGATTCGGTAGCGGTTTCTACGGGAAAGCAATTGCAGGAAGCAAGACAATGTTTCCCCCCGTTATGACACAGAAAGAAGCAAAAACCTTATCTTGCAATTAACGGAGCGGTAGCAATTATGCAGGAAACAGCAAAAGCTATAGATACGGTAAACTTAATGTAAAAGCAAAACTTATACGGTCTGAATGCAAAATAAATTATTACGGAAAAGTTCAAAATTGCGGTACTTACATAGTTTGCAAAGATTCAAAAGGCAGAAAGCAAAAGTTTTAAATACAGTGCGGTAAAATTAATTTCAAACAAACAAAAATTGAACGGTGCAGGTGAAAAGTCAATTTATGGAACAGTTAGGTAACTTACGGTACTCACGACAAGCAAAAATGGCAAAAATATCTTCTCTAAATTAACGTTTACCTTATACCGGGTGATTCATTAGAAGTGATGATCGCTTGAATTTCGCGCATAAAGTTTTAGTGTTTTTTGCATTATTAAATTGACGGTTTGAATTTCGTTAGTAATTTTGATCTGTCATGACTGTCATTTAAGAAACCAGTGTCGCCGTTAATTGTTGTGTGGCATTTGCGGTTTGCTTTTTCCATTTTGAACAATTTTTAGAGTTGATGCACTAAAATATGTAAGAAACGTAACTGTGTCTTGTGTTAGTTTATAATTTGTGGTAAAAAAGAAGCAGTATTTGTAGATTATAAATAAGTAAACGATTTACTGAAAGCCTGATGATACACCACTGCAATTAAATAAATGATCATCAGTTAGTACCAACTTCATAATTTTTTTGATTTGCGGGAAATTCAAACCGTCATCACTTCTAATGAATCATCCGGTATAAAATTCGGCTATGTCATAGCGGGATCGGATGGTTTGATGGCGTGTACTTGCAATCGGAGGCGGTTGCTGTAACCCATTCAACCAAAACGCTTAATTATACTTATCCAAATAGTCGGAATGAAATATCCAAATAGTCGGAATGAAATCTCCAAATTCGGCAATCCAACAATTCCCCTTTGTTACATGAAATGGAGGTCAAACGGCGGGGGTCTCCTAGCACGTTGATAATTAAGACACTTAAGAGTGAAATATCAAAAAATATATTTTAAGAGTATATATGCAACAATAAACAACAAAATCTACAAAGTTACTTACATATTATGACTATATTAAAAATGAATGACATTCAATAAATAAAATTTGTGCAACGTAAAGCGTCGACCTGGGTAACTATACCAAAATGGTTTTCTCTCTTTTGCTTCCATCAAATGCCATACACGTCACCTCCTTTCCTATAGTCAGAATTTGCTATTATAGTACCGTTATGCACGGTCAGCGCGCATACTACGGATCCTCTCTCCGAATACCTCGTTGTGTTGTGGCCCAGCTTTTGTAATCCGTTGATTACTTGCTAAAAACAACATGTAAATGCCGACTGAACGACCAATGTACCACATTACCTGCAAATTGCCATACTCGTAATCAATGGTCATCGGATACATCTGATGGTGTATCCGAGGTGCATCCACAGCTTCCTTGATGTTATCTCCAAACCACAAGTGTCTCATAATCACCTAGAAACATACTAATTTTTTCACTGATCCTAAGGAACGAGATAGTAGAAATAGTCGGGGGGGGGGGGGTCGTACACACGTTGCTACTTACAAACGCAATTGCAGTCGTAATCTTCGTACCGCCAGAAGCACCGATAACCATCTGAACATCTCCATTCCGATCCGTGATTATGCTGGGCGTCATTGACGACAGCGCCCTCTTACCGGGTTCTATGACATTATTAGGCGAGCCCGGCAGATTGAAGTAGTTGGGGAAGTTGGGCGATGAAAAGTCATCCATTACGTTATTCAGTATGATTCCCGTACTTTTCGATGTGACGCCGCTTCCGAAACTGAAATTTGTTTTTGTTTCAGAATCAGACCATGCAGCGAGTGATCGGTGAGTGACTTACAATACGTTTACGGTACTGGTGACGGAAACCGCGTCATCGTTCGATGCCAATACTGATATGTGCGCGGTGCCGTGGTCTTCCTTGTTGAAAAAGACCGCTCCGTAGTCTTCGGGATTTAAATGCGTTGTATTGTCTAAAATTTTGTTTCGAATATAGCTAGCGTAGTCGTTCGAGGTCAGATTTTGCAAGAGCTGAAAGTGAGGAACGTGAGGGAGGGCGTTCAATTGCGATTGGCTCACCGTGGTGATGTTTACAAAGTCGGTATCACCAAGCTCAGTCCGTCTTGCGTAAGCGAACTTGAACGCTTCGATTATCCTATGATATGTCAGTATGGTTTTGTTAGTATCTGAGAGACTATCGCGCGTGAAGTTGTAGCCGTCCAAAATGTTCAATATAAATGCTAGGAGTAGTCCGGAACCTGGTGGTGGTATGGAATACAAATGACCTCCGGTGTTCAGGTCTACCGAAACGGCATCTCTCCATTTGGGCCTGAAAGACTCATTAAAATATTGCTGCGACAATGCGTCAACTTACGTATAGCTCTGTAGATCTTCCTCCGTAATGATCCCTCCTAAATCTTCGATATCTTTTAGGAGCATTTTTGAAAGTGTTCCGTTATATAGCTCGTTGCCATCGCTACCGGCAATTATCTTTAACGTATCACATAATTTCTTTGGCGTGATTAATGATCCAGCAGGTTTAAATTTACCGTTTGCATCTGTAAACCAGTCTCTAAAATGAAAAATGTACGTGATATTACTCTTAAATGAAAAACCCTCCCCCCCTCCACCCAGTACTTTGATAAGAGGACAGAAAGGAGGGCAGTAGTTGGTAGAAAACGGTTCATTTCGTTGAGACCTTTCATTAGAGTACCATGAAGGATAAAACTAGCCCCCCCCCCTCTTTATTCCTCCGCTCCGTACTTTGATAAGAGATGAGAAAGAAGGGCAGTAGTTGGTAGAAAACGGTTCCTTTCGTTGAGACCTTTAATTAGAATACAATGAGAGATAAAATTAATTTGTAACCCCCTCCCCCTCTCAGGCCCCGTCGCTCACTGATCTCGAAAAAGAGTCGCACAAACCAATTTATTTCGATGAGACCTTTCATTAGAATACCATGAAGGGTAGAACATGTGTTTACCCCCCCCCCCCCATTTCCTAAAGTTTAACCACTAAAAGCATGCGGATGCAAAATTTGAGACCAATTGGTTGTCGTATGTAAAAGTTATGCACGTTTTACTTTCAAAATCAGCATCTCAGAAAATAATTCGTGGGGGGGGGGGCTTTTAGACAGCGAAATTTGATGGCCGTCTGGCACACCTTCAAGGTGTAGGCATTGTATTTATATAAATACAATGGTATAGGCTATCTACTGCAAAAAATTCCAGGACTTTAGGACCATTCCCCTAGAAGTAGTTCAAAACGGTAGAAGTGGGTCCGGACGGACGGACGGATAGACAAAACGCAAACAATAGCGCATTTTTTTAATTCTTAAAAAGCCTATAAAGATTGGGCGAAATCGAGGAATATAATCACATTAACACAAAAAATGGAAGAACTGGAAAAAAGTCCGAAAAACCTTATCGATACGAAGAATCAAAAGAAAAAGAATTTGAAGAATAGGAAAGATATGAATCAGAAAAAACTAAAAGTTCAGTATAAATCTAATATAATTTGACGAATTTCAAGCAATCTAAAAAATTTTAATTAAGCACCTGAACGTTTGAATAATAGGGAAAATACCCGGAGAAGAATTTAAAGAAACTAAGGAATTTCAGAAATCTAAAAAGACGCAAGAAACAGTCTGAAAAATTTAGAAACTTATAAAAATGTAAAAAAATTTGATGAGTTTGCTAAATTTGAAGAATGTGAAAGAGTTTAAAGAAGCAGCAGGATCTGAAAAAATTAACAAAAAAAAACTGAAAAATTCAAAGGAACAAAATAATTCAAGGAGTCATTGAAACCTAAAAACCGGAAGAATTCGACGAATGTCTAGAATCTGAACATTCGGAAGAATCTGTAAGTACTCTACTAAAGAATCCAAAAATCTTATGGATCTAAAAAGAATTTGGAAAATTTGAAGGAATTCAAGCATTTAAAGAATGTGAAAATACGAACAGAATCCTAACAATTTGGGTAAATTGAGGAATATAAAAAAAGAATTGAAGAATTGGAAAAATATGAATCAGAAAAAATTCAGTGAAATTCGAATAAGTTGACAAATCCGAAGCAATGTAAAAAATTTCAAGATTATGAAGGATTTGAAAATTACAAGGAATGTGAAGGATCGGTAAATAAAATAAAAAAAATAAAAAAAGGGGAGGTCCAGGAACCTTAAGAATCTGAGCGATTTGAATAATTGCAAAAACACTCCAAGAAGTTAAAGAATTTAAAGAATCTAAGAAATTTAAGAGATCTCAAAAAACACAAGAAGCAGACGTAAAAAACGTAAAAAGAGAAAGATTCGAAAAACTGAAACAATCTGATGAACCTCAAACTAAGGAGACTGAGGAATCCAAAATGACCGAAAAATCTAAACAAACTGTGTATTTCGCAGAAATTTGAAGAATTGGCACAACTTGAAACCGAAGTATTTGAAGAGACTAAAGAAAGGGAAAATATTATAGAATTGGAAGACACGCAAAAATTAAAAAAAAAACTAATCTATAAAATGGAATAATTCGAAGAAATTAAATTCTAAGGGAGCCTAAGGAATATAAAGCATCAGAAAATTCAAAAAACGGCAGCACTCGGAGAGAAGGAGGAGCTAGCCGACTTGAGTAGGTACTCAAAACGAACTAAAAAACAAAAAAAGAATGATTGAAAGAGTTTCAAGTTTTGAAGGATATGGAAACCTAAGATATTTGACGCATCGGAAAATTTAAAAAAATGGTAGTTCAAAAAGCCTTAAAAATTTAATCGATTTGAATAATAAAAAATTGAAGAATCGAATGATGCGAAATGTTCGCAAAATTAGAAGTTAAAGCATTCCAGGAATTTAAGGAATTTTAAGAATCTCTTCTTTTCCAGGGCTGCTACGACTTAGTTAACAATCAAAAAATGTCAAAAACTTCAGTTTTTCAAGTTGTAACAATTTCTGATGCCAGAGATGAATGAGATTTAAATTTGGCACCACTTTTATTGACATTATGTGTATAAAATAAAGATATTGGAGAGCATATATACAAAGTAACCGTAGGGACCAATAAAGAAATTAAAAAATAAAGAATCTGAAGAGCCTAAAAAAATAATTCAAAGGAACAGAAAATTTCAAGAATTTATCAAAAAACAAGAATGTACATGTAGCATCTGAAGAAGTAGTAGAATATGAAACAGAAATAGAAACTTGAAATTTGTACGACCTCTTCCGTAAATACCGGACGTGGTGGCGCCATCTTGAGTTTTGTAAAATAGAAACATACCAGTTTCAATTTTTTCTAAATTGAACGCAATTAAGATTTAAATGCCTATATCTGTCACATTTGTTGACATATGTCAATTTTTCTCTAAAAATCTGAAGATGCAAGGGTCCATTCAAAAATTCCGTTTAAGATAAGTGAGTGACCTTTTTTATAATCGAATCCTTAAAGTATAAGAAATTTTTTGAGTGGCCACCGACAGTCTTGAAAAGGTTTCCAGGGCTGCTTCGATTTAGTTAGCAATCAAAAAATGTCAAAAACTTCAGTTTTTCATCTTGCAAATTTAAATTTAGCGCCGCTTTTATTTTAACACTCTGTATGTCTATATGCATTGGCATCTCTTGAAAGGAATATTCTTATTTTTCATTAGGTGTAGTAGCCTTTGGAAGCAACCGTTTTATTTGAAATGTCCTTCGAATCAAATGTCAAATAGTGTTAGTGCAAGTTTAAAACTTCTAACGAACGGGCTACGTGAATCTCTCTGTATATTAACATTGAACAAGTAATTACTTATTCAATGATATTAACTTAAAAAAGTTATTAAATTATTTAGTTGGTGTATTTACCTTGTAATGTCTACAAAAAACAAAACGATAACTTTTTTGAATTTTTTATTGGTGGGTGAGGTAGGTATAGTTTATGTTCGGCCTACGTGAACTGTTTACTTGTCGATGCATAATTTCCGGTTTCACAAAGGACGCATGATCGTCAATCAATGATTAAACACATTAGAATGTTAGCCACCTTGGATTATAAGGTAAGACATTTCCCAATCTAATATTTTTAATCATTGATTAACATTAATTATCGGAATTTGTCCGAAATATACTCACTTTTAAACTGCGACGAATTTTTTCCAACCTGTAATGATATTGACTAAAAAAGAAACTATCAATATATTGGTGCTTTTTTGAGCCGAATCAAATTTCTTATTTGGCCTTATCACGCCTTTTAGAAAATTACGACTCTTAAAAACAATCCCAACTAAAATTCAAGCAAAAATAAATGAAGATGAAAAGATTAAAAAGGTTCTAAAGCGTACTAGAAAATCTAGTGGAACAATTTTCACAAAATGAAAGTGGCAGATTTCAGCCAACTTTAATTTGAATTTTATTAATGTTGGTCGTAATATATGTAGTCTCTTTGATGACAACACCAGAGATTGTACTCCTTTGGAGATGCCTCTTGAGGGCATCACGTACTGTAAACCCATTGTTTACGGATCCCTGATACCGTAATGGCAATTTATATATGGTACAATAAAATTGAATTCGAGTATATATACTCATGTAGGTACTTTAATTCAAACTAAGTTGTGTATGACTGACTCATGCATTAAAAGCGTTTTTATAATGACTAAGCCATAATATTATGGATTATACTTTGTAGTGGATGACACATTCACAGGTGCTTTTATTGTCGCATTACACGTTTCCAAAAAAATGATTAAAAATCTGTGTGCCCAGATTTTTGTTGTTGCTGAGTCAGCTGAGTGTCTTAGGTGAACACTTCTTTATCAGTCTTCCCACAATTAACTTTTTTAAATGTTTACCCTGCAATCGTTTTATATATTGCATTTTATTTTTAATTGCAGCTAACTTCATGACAATTTATAGATAAGTTATCTTGGAAAAACGACTTCAAAGTTTACCTCAAGAGCGCAAAAATATAGCTTCTGTTTTATACAGATAGAAAATTTGCATTTGCCTATGTTTATGTTTCTACCATAGAACGCAAATTAATATTATAAATAACCAAATTTGCCGATTGTCAATAGGCAACTTTACATACTCCGTCGATCTTTGTCGTGGCGCTCCGAGCTTTTAAACTCGGGGCGGTAGATCATAACCCTACTTTTTATCGATCGAAAATTGAAACTGTCAACGAATTTCCTCTGCGTTCGCGCTAATTTCAAAGCAGCGATTTGGTAAGTTTCTTTTACAATTTTCCTTGAAATTCTGAGACTATACCTACCGATTTTGCTTAAATTAACTAAAAGATTGGGAAACATGCCTTAAATTAGTATCGTTCCCTATTTTGTTGAGAACCTCAAATTGCGGGCTGCTCATGTGATAGCCTCGCTCGCACAGTTCGACAGTGGGCTGCACCAGCTCGTTCCACGGTAATTTACCGTACCTTTCGTGTGCGGCCCAATATCCTCTAAGCTCACCGGGTACGCCGATAGCTCGACCACCTGCAACTCCCGAATTACAGACCCCGTCCGAGTCCGGCGGCTACTCAACTGTATTTCGACTCGTTCTCATTCTTGAACATGTCAGCTGTCGCGTTCAAAGGGGCGGTCTCCCTCGCGTCCAACGTAACCGCAGTCTTGCTGTCACGAATGTAGATTGTCATAAGAAAACCACCTCCGAGCCCCATACTTTGCATGTTGACGACACCATTGCAGAAGAGCGCCGCGATTGCCGCATCGACCGCCGACCCGTTTCGCTCCAAAATATTTCTGTAAACAAAGACTTTAATTATCTAAGTCTCTGACCTTATGATTATGTACATACAATGTTGTCAGGCGAGATAAGAACACTTACTTTGTTTGCAAACTACAAAACCTGTATTATCACTTTTTGATTATATCCTGTTGTTGTTAATTAACGTTTGACCTTCAGATTCACACAAATACGTAATTAGTTAAAGAAACCAACTTTTATTATGTCGTAATCAATTACAAATTGCTAATATTGGAAAATACAATTGCAGTTAAATTCTAATCACTATTAACACAACAAAAGGCAGTGTTGCTTTTTTTATTAAATTAATAGTAAGTGTAAAATCACATATCCTTATCGTCAGCGGAATTAGTCTAGTAATCACAAAGTCACGTTAATTTTTGGCCTTAACTTCGTTTTTCTTATTCGTTTCGGTATTAACGAGTTTATTGACGATTTTTCTGGAATGCCCGCTGGGGTCGAAGTGGTTCGTGTGTTCGCTCGCCTCCTTTTTCGTACGCTGCTTGCCACTGTGGCCCGAATAGAGGTGTTTGTCGTGGTCGAAATTGTAATGTTCATATTCGTCGAAGTGGCTTTCGGACATTTTTCTGTAGATTTCGATTACAAAAGACACAGAAACACTGAAAACTTTGAACGGCTGGCTGCTGTTTACGTTTGAGAGGTACAAACAATCGCCGTGTGAAGGTTGCCAACTGTTTTTATAGAAACATTCGCGTCGGCGCACTCAGCCTTTAACGGAGTTTATTTACATACACGTAATCGCTTTCATTTATACACCAATTTTTCACCTTAATTGGTAATTAGTAATTTACTACCTGCGGGTGGTTGGGCGACAGTGTTGCCTCGGACGTTTTGGATTGAAAATTAATTATTATATAATCCGCTCCCAATTTCGTCATTTTGTCACAAACACATTTAGATATTTTTAATACAATTGTGAAACGTACGTTGACTTGGAAGTTGGAGCCGGTTTAAGATTTGAGATAATGGGCTGTAATTAGAACTCGAAATTTTCCACTCCTGAAGTGGGTAGATACCAATACGAGAGCTGTTTAGAAAGTCAGTAGGGGTCTAGGGGATGAGGGTTGGAAATGGAAGGTAACTAAACAATTTCATGTAGTACTTATACCGTATACCTAGCCCAGGCATTTTAGGTTAAAAAATATACAAAATTAGTACGAGGTTAGTATATGATAAGGTAAGTATTTCCTGAAAGTTTCTCATACTTCCTCCGCTTGCTTCACCCCGCTGGACCTAGCCCCCCCCCCCATTGTGAATTAATTTAAGAATGGTATCCAATTTATGAGCTATTTAGGAGCTTTTCATATCGCAAGCTTAAAATTTTAGAGCTCGCTTTACTCACTAGGAATCGAACATTTCTTATGGGGTGGCCCAGTCTACTTGGACTCAGCCCCCCCACTGATCAGAATTACTTTTTTCAAATTAAGCTTTGTACTGGAATTACGAGCTATTTAAGAGCTTTCATTTACAAGCAATTTCGATTTTTGAGCGCCACCCTTAAAAGAGCAAATAGATATAATCTATGGGGCGGCCAGCTCCACTTGGACGTAGCCCCTCCTCTGTTATCGTTTACTTATTTCAAATTAATTTTTATGCATGAATTACGAGCTATTTAAGAGCTTTCATTTACAAGTAATTGCAATTTAAGAACGTCACTCTTAAAAAGAGCAAATAGATGTCATCCTGGGAGCGGCCAGGTCTATTCTGGCGTAGCCCCTAATCTGTTTTTCTTTATTTATTACAAATTAATCTTTGTCCATGAATTACGAGCTGTTGAAAAGTTTTCATTTAATAAGTAAGTTTAATTTTGGAGCTCCACCCTCAATAGGTCAAATAGTCAATCGTTGAGGGCGGCCAGGTCCATTTCACAGTAGCCTTACCTCTGAGCTACCGGTTAGTTGCATCAGTACGTACTCTCTGTGTTTGCATACGACTGTGAGTGGACATTTCTTTCCCCCATACTCGTGGCACTCTTATGGCCCAAGAAAAAACAGAAAACACAACAAACTACTCCGAGAGCACCGGTATTAAAGAGCCTAAAAAACTCTCCGGAGCGGCGCACCGGAAGCTAATAAGGAATGAGACAGGAACCAGGAGACTCTCGGTAAGAGGACATATGGCGAATCAAAGCCTGGATCCTTGACAGAGTCGATGCTTTTCCCCAATTTACGGAATGTCGCCACAAGGGAGAGCGCTGCTGATCACATGCGCAATCCATGGTATCGGTGGACTGCTTGAGGTCAGAGCTAGCGAGAGCAGCTCCAGGGGGGTGGGGGATCGTATCAGTTGTGAGGCAAGGAGCTTTAAATCTAGTGGAATCATAGTGCGAAGAGGAGGGCTTGTCTGTTAATTCAACAGAAACAAACCTCATTAACTTTTCTCACGTACAAAAGTGCCGACAAAGCTAAAGGACCTTGCAATGTAGGGCACCAAGCTACAGGTAGTGAGAGAAGGTAAACACTTGGGCATCACGTTCGGCCAAGCGCCTAACTTCAAATTACAAATGGAAAAAATAGCGAACAACGTCACAAGGTCCCTGAATATACACTAAAATAATTATACCAGTTATTACGTATGCGTCACTGGTGTGGTAGGATCAGACCTTTGCCCAGAAGAACATACAGATACTGATCAAGCTGCAGCGCAAAGCTTGCCTTAGAATTACGAGGACAATGATAACGTCCCTGACAGTAACTATGGAAACTATATGAACCGCCACTACACCTGGTAATTATGGCGGAGGCACTCAGACGGGCATACTGGCTGAGAGTTAATGGAGAGGAGGAATCGTCAAGGGTGAGGCATTCACTTAATCTTTGATGAAATATCTAAAAGTAAAATAGCTCGGTAGGATAACTGAGAGGATAACCAAAACAGTTTGTGATAAAAAAAACTGTTTAAGATGATAATCCCCGCTCGATACGGATGGGAGGCAGGATAATACTAGTAAGGTAAAGCTGAATGGAATCGTGTATTACACAAATGGCTCAAAAACTACGGAGGGCACCGGCTGTGGAGTGTACGGAAGCAATTGACAGGGCTTCATAAACTAGGACAAAAAGCACCCTTGCTCCAAGACGAGGTATACGCAATCCTGACGGCAGTTGCTCAATTATATTAACAGAAAACCTTACTAAAAGGAAAATCTTTAGAGTAACAGACAACAAAGCACCGATTGCAGAATTAGACTCATATGTAGTCGATTCAGGACTTTTCCTTGGATGCACACAAGTACTAAACGCACTAGGAAGCTGTAACACAGTCACAAATGGAACTGGCCGACCCATCGATTATATCTATTTGCTCTTTTAAGGGTGGCGCTCAAAAATCGAAATTGCTTGTAAATGAAAGCTCTTAAATAGTTCGTAATTTATGCATGAAAATTAATTTGAAATAAGTAAACAATAACAGAGGAGGAGCTACGTCCAAGTGGAGCTGGCCGCCCCATCAATTATATCTATTTGCTCTTTTAAGGGTGGCGCTCAAAAATCGAAATTACTTGTAAATGAAAGCTCTTAAATAGCTCGTAATTCCAGTACAAAATTTAATTTGAAAAAGTAATTCTGATCAGTGGGGGGGCTGAGTCCAAGTAGACTCGGCCACCCCATAAGGAATGTTCGATTCCTAGGGATTTAAGCGAGCTCTAAAATTTTAAGCTTGCGATATGAAAAGCTCCTAAATAGCTCATAAATTGGATACCATTCTTAAATTGATTCACAATGGTGGGGGGGCTAGGTCCAGCGGGGTGTTTGCTTCACCCGGTACAGCGATAGGAAGGGCCTCGGAAAGGGCCTAAGTCGCTAAAACAATGAAATCGCTATTGTGTTCCATCGAATTTCGGTCGTTGTGGTCAATGACTATGGTTGTGCTATACAATAACAATAACTGCAATAATTAATTTCATTTTAAGGCGCTTTCTTTAAAATAGCCACACAAGAAATTGTCTGTAATAATTTCTGTGACGTTACAATGAAACGTAAAACTACAAGGAATGAGCTCCCTCCCAATCCAGTGAAGCCACCGTTGTTGAATGAGCCTTACATGAGGAAAACAACAAAATCAGTGTTAGCCGAAACTGTTTAAAAGTATGCTCCATACACTGATAGTGTACCGATGCACCAAGTGCAATACGTTGTCGACGAAGAATTCCTTCTCGGGAAAGGAGTTCGGCCGCGACCAGCTACTTACCGGCATATTTGCCATTCGTATCTCAGTATGTATTGGATACATACTGAGACACTATGGCCAGTCTGGTATTTGACGACCATCACCCATCAAGGAGCACGGAAGTTTTGTCAGCAAAGCAGAAGATCTCGTTGCAGCTGATGCAGTATTCGATCTGCATAAGGTCGCTACCAACAAACAAGAGCAATTCCTAGTCTAAAGAATAAACAAAACACGTTTGATAGCATGATTCATGCAAAATGAGAGATAGTGGCTTGCAAGTAAAGCAAGCGGATAGTGACGCCGACATCTTGATTGTGATAACCGCATATTGAAGCGGACACTTTAGGGTGCATATGATACCTCGGGTGGAATGTTTTTCGTGAAACCACCTAACAAGTTAAAAACGTGGTCACCTTCGACCGACGAAAGCGCGTTTTCCCCGCACAGAATCGGTAAGAACTCGGGAGGGAAGTCCAATCCAAATAAACTTTTGCCGTTCTGATCTCTGGGCTGTACTACACCGTCTAAGAAAAAAACCACAACGAAAAAGATTAAACCAGAGGACTAGTAGTGGTACAGACGGACAAAGTTCGGACAATAGCGTTCATTTTTCTTTTGGAAAATGCGCTAAAAAAACAAACGTTTTAGCGTGGGTACAAGACGTGAAAAAAATTGGTGACACAAAAGAGACTTCGCTCTTTTACATGCGGCGTCGGGGTGTAACTCGACCTCAGCTTTATTCAGAAAAGGAAAAAGAAAGGAAATTGTTGAACGAGCTACCAGTATTTCGCTGTGAGGAAAACGTTCAATGATCTGTCCACCATTCAATTGCATATTATATCAAAATTTGGCTGCGTATAGACTATAGGGGAGGAAAGTTCTTCCTCCAATGTCCGAGACAGCGTCTTTACATTCTCAGCGCGTGTATCTTCAAGTACACCGTCAAGGACACCACAGAATGGGTTGGCGGATATCTCATGGTCAACTCACCACGATACAAAGCATGTTACCTCCAGCACTTTACAAGATTTTACATTTAATTACATGTAATTAAATTATTGTCCCGTGCGAGGGAAACTGCGACTTCGCCCGAGCAGAGTTACCGCTTTGTGCAGGATGATGAAAAAAATAATGAACATGTGCGGTTTTAAGGCTTTATTCAAAACGATATGATTGTAGCGGTATCTGTGACGTAATAAGCCCGACCAATCAGCTCATAGAACCATTCAGATGACATAACGAATTGGCAATATTGCAGGAGAATGTCATTTGTAACTTGCGTCACCTGTCACAGGCACTTGTCACTTGCCGTTCAGTTTTGCGTTAGATGCAGTTAAACATGCCTCTTAAAACGTCAAATCCGACAAACGTCAGACCCTCGCACAAGGTTGCCGGCTCACTTCTACGTGATTGGTTGTAGGTTTGTGACATATTTAGACTGAAGCGTTTCAAATTCGGACTAAAAACACAGCTTTTCAATAATTTATTTTGGGTTTATTTTACTCGCAAATAAAAATTGAGGACACACGGGTCTTTTTATATTTAATGTACTTTGTAAATCAGAAATAAAAAATGAAGCCGGGATGCCCCCAAATGACACCTACATGGGGGCAGCCATGATGTTCACTCACCTGGCGCGAAATTCAAATCAACTAATAAACAAGCATTAACCCAACATTAACCTCACGTTTTCTAAATAAATTACTGTGACACATGTCATTTTCCAAGGCTACAATAGTCTCAAAACTTGAGCACTAGGAAAATTCCCCTAGAAAATAACTAAAACGTGCACATCATGGCCGCGCCCACGCTAGGGCCATTTCTACCTCTATGCAACTGTTTGATCAGCAGTCCATCTAATTTATAAGTTCGTGCTTAGGCCCTTTCTGCCACTGTATCGGATGAAGCAGAGGAAGTGAGGGGAACTTTCAGAAAATACTCACCTTATCATATACTAGCAATTCACCAAAAATCAGCTAGTCTTGTCTAATTTAGGACATTTTTTTTGTCTAAAATTCCTGAGTATATGTGCTAACAAGAACGTAGGCATCCCTATTTGATTTTCATTACGTAGACTGCAGTTTTATTTTTTTTTTCAGTAATCACAGCAGCTCCGTATCCAAAAGATGGTAGGTTTAGGACATAGGTCCATAAAGTTAGCAAGGAAGACTTCCAGCAACGTGATGTACGTCATCACCGGTAGATAGGTATGCGTTATACGTACCCCCCCCCCCCCCCCCCAAAGTTAGCAACGAACGATGATACGAAAAAATAGCGTGGACACAGGCGATGAAACACCGTTTCGTTCATTTCTGTGTCGGATTAAATTTGCATACATAACTAATAATATAATATAATAATAATAATAATAAATAAGAAAGTTAACATTTTTTTCTTATCGCCCGCATTTCCAGAGGGAAACTGTTTTTCTCTGGCCACGGAAAATCTAATGTGGACACATTCCCAGAATTTGCAACACTTTTCCACACTTGGAACACATTTCCAAAATTTCTTACATATTTCCAAGACGAGACATTTCACACATCACTTCAGAAATATTTCTTTGAACTTTTCTAAAAACATCAATTTTACATCTTTCTAAAATGCTCTACAGTAGCGGTTCTCAACCTTTTTGAGTAATGTACCACAAAATCCGTTTTATAATATATTTAAGTACCACCTAACTAAAATACCTATTTTTTTTTTTTTTTCAAAGACATTGTTTAATTTTTTTACCTATTTAGGTAATTTAGTTAATTATTCACATGTAAAATTCAAACAAATACCGAAATAATATGGCATGTTGGGGCAACGACCGGCAGCGGTGACATCTGCGAGATTGCACAATCAATGTTGCCGGCCGGCAGTGTTGCCAATGCTCCTGTATTTTAGTTTTATCGATGTATCTATTTATTTTGTTTTTTTTAATCTACTCTACACGTTTCTTAAAATTCCTCCAACATTTCCAAAATTTCTGTAATTCCTCACAAATTTCCCATGTTTCCCATATTTCCCAAGCATTTATTAAACAGTTTCTGAAGCATTTAAGAAAATCCTCATAAAAACTACAAAAAAACTTCCTGCAATCTTTTAACGTTTTTGTGACATCTCTATGATATCTTACAAAATGTCATACACATACACGGTGTCCATTTTTCGAGTGCCACTATGGGGATCTCGCTTACTTTAATAGATAGAGAGTTGGTTAAATGGGGGCAAAGCTGAGAATTTTCGCGCTGAATAATAATCTGAAAAGGAATTTAAAATATCTTCAGTAGTTTTTAAAATATCGCAAAAAAACGAAAATTTAAATTTTCGTTTTTAATTTTTTCATGGGTAAAGTAATCGTACTAGATATTTCTAATTAACGGATTATTCAGACACTTTTTAATGGACATTTCGGATATGGCATCTCCTTTTTAATAACTTTTAAGGTGCCGGAGAAACACGTAGCAACTTTAGTTTTTCTTATGTTCTCCGTTTAAAATTTCGACATTTTGAGATTACGTCTTTTTTTCTCTTTACAACGATATATCACACATAGTGGCTCAATATCACATTTTTCCTAAAAATACAATTTTTCATTTTTTGGGAAGAGTGCTTTCGAAAAACAGAACGTTCTTTTATTTTGAACAAAAGTTTGACAGTTTGATCCATCTGTCTGGTTGCAGCGTTAGCAGGGAACTAGTGCTGAGAAAATTCGATTTTCATCTGAACAGAATTGAACCTTCATTTTGCAAGAAAATCATAATTCAAATTAGAACAGAATACATAAGAATAAATAATATTTTCGCAATAAAACTAGAGAACGTTTTGTTTTTGCAAAGCACTCTTCGCAGAAAATAAAAATTGTAATTTTAGGAAAAATGTGATACTGAACCATCATGTGATGATATATCGTTGTAAAGAGAAAAAAAGACGTAATCTCAAAATGTCAAAATCGAAAATGGCGCCCATAAGTAAATTAAATTTACTACGTGTTTCTCCGTCATCCTAAAAGTTATTAAAAACGGGATGCCATATTCGAAATCTCCATTAAAAAGTGTCTGAATAATGTGTTAATTACAAATGTCTAGTACGATTAGTTTATATTTTCGTTTTTTTTGCGATATTTTGAAAACTATTGAAAATATTTTTAATTTCTTTTCAGATTATTATTCAGCACGAAAATTCGCAACTTTGCCCTCATTTAACCAAATTTCTATCTCTTAAGATAAGCAAGATCTCGAAAAATGGACACCGTGTATATTTCTAAAATTTAAAAAAAATGTAGGAAAACCCTTGTAATTTCTTAAATGTTTCCAAATTGTCTAAACATTTTCAAAATGAATTTTCCTTCCTGCCTTTCCATTTTTGAACAATTTTTCTAAACATTCTTAAACACTATTTTAAAAATTATCGTTATCGATATAGATGCAAATTTAATCCTGTATAACGTACCAAATGGGCATTCCGAAACGGATTTTTAGTGGCTTGAGTCAAGTGATGCAACGGACGTGTTATAACGGAAGCAGAAGCGGCACCAGAAGACAAAATACGATATTTTAGGAAGCGGAAGCAGTAACGGATAAAAACTAGAATAATTATTAAACTATGCGATAAAACGCACGAATTGTTGCGACAAACTAATTAGGTGAGTGAATGTAAACGAACACAAATCGTGACACGTCTTACGGCCGGCTCGGCTGACAAACCCCGCCCGTGGCTCATATCACGCACCGCCCCGTTGGGCCAATCAGAGTGCACCTTGTTATATTCGAATATTTGAACAATTCCGATATACATCCCTTATAACAGAGCGGAAACGGAAGTAAAAAATAGCAGAACTTCCGCACTAGCGGGAACGGAAGCAGAAAAAAATTTTTGGAAATATTTTGGAAGATTTTTAGCAATTTTTCTAGAACAGAAATCGTACAAAATTTGCTTTAAAATTCTCACGATCTTACAAGAGCTCTACCTACAAATCATCTTAAAAATACCTTCTTGGAAATATTCTTAGAATTTTGGCGGGATACTCATGGGAAACTTTCTTTGAAGGTAATTTTTGGGAAATGTTTTTAAACATATTTCTCAGCAACTGTTGTTCTGTAAAGTTTCCTCTAAAACCCACTCGACCTATTCGCCAGTGAAAGTGTCAATTTTGCAACAAAAAACCCACGTTTTTCGTGAATAATTCAAAAAGTAAGCATTTTATCGTAAATATCATTCTTAAGAAAATGTAGCTCATAAAAAAACAGAACAATGGTTGGTGTATGGTGTCTGTAGACCCAATAAAAACGGAGTAATAACTTGTTGAGAAAACCTTTTTTGAAGTGTTAGTCCCTAGCATCAAAACTAGCGAATTATGACGAAAATAATAATGTTCCTATTTTTTTCGACAAATATCACTCCCCATACAGGGAGATTCAATTAGAAGTTTGACGTTGAAATAGAAATAAAATAATTTCAAGGTGGCGGGGTTTTCTTGTTTTTTTTAAATAGAAAAATACCATTTTCTATTTTTTCCTAAATCATTGCCTACCTATCTGTTATAGTTTCTGACATATCAAATTTTCTCTAACATTTGGAGATCCATTAAAAAAATATATCTCTTAAGCCGGTCAAGATAAGTGAGTGCTCTTCTCTATAAGCGAAGCCTGGAATTTTTTGAGTGATCGCTTAAAGCCTTGGAAAAGTGTCCAGGGCTGTTGCGGTTTTTCAAAATTAGCAATAAAGAAATAAAAACTATTTCTGAGCCCAGAAATGAATGTAGCTTTCAATTTTAGGGCCCTTTTTATTAACATGCTGTATGCCTATATCCGGTAGTTTTTGAGTTATTGCAATTTTTTGAAAGGAATATTCATATTTTTTTACCCTAAAATTCAAATCTACATTCTGTTCTGGCATCAGAAGCAGTAGTTGCAATTTGAAAAATTGATTTGATTGCTAATTTTGAAAAATCGCAGCAACCCTGAAAACTTTTTCAGGATTTTCAGCGGTCACTCAAAACATTCCTTAGACTTTAACGATAAAATGGCGCAGTTAGAAAACAATAGAAAATTGTTGGGTGCGGCCTTTCGTGGTAGGAATTTCGAAAAAGATTTTGCAAAATCGGAAAGAGCATGCCCCAAAACCTATGCTGAGAAAATAATTAAAGGACTTTTTTGAGGGTCTCCTAAACGAAACACGTTGGACCCTCTGTTTATTTGGAAAACGTGCTTGTTGTGATCCTCCCTACCACCTAATTTTTGTTTATATATTTATATGTAACACCCTGTATATAAGTACATTCTCGAGTTATTATGGCAACGAAAGTGTGTTTTTAAGAAAACCTTTTCAGGGTAAATACCTTGGCACTGACTAACGAAATTGCCATCTGAAGACCATCTCCATAACTATATGAAATTAAGTTGCGCAACGTTTCAATTGTAATTATTTGTGTTCGTTTCGTTAGCCTTGGTGGGTACCAACCATAATGCCTTTTTTTGTATAATTCAATTGGCCGGCGAAAGTGACCAAAAGCGTTGATATTTGGCGAGCAGATTGAAGCAATTGTTTATTTAACAAAATTGTGCAATACTGCTCATATGTAATCTAACCTTGACACTTAGATTAGACTGAGCATTTTTGGGATGTTTTTTTCTATTTGGGTCACGTTGTCAACGACCCCCATATTAAAAAGAAAACTTCCATGTAGATTTGCGAGTCAAGGTAAAGCGCTACCTTCCATCAATAAACTTATCGAACTTAAATTGTTTAAACAAAAAGTGTTACGGCATGACGTTGCGCAATCGAAGGCCCCCCGTCATGATTGTGATATCGCGGAATTGGACGTTTCAATTTGGTCAATTGTTAGCGATCATTATTGTTATAAACATTTGCGGTATTTTCGCTACTTTGCTTTATCAACCGATGACGCATGTTGTTATCGGCCAACCTTGCGAAAATAAACGTTAATTATGTTAATTACAATTTCACCACTTGAACTGGAACGTAAGTACATTTTTAAAAAACAATAATACCACGAGACTCATGGACCCTTACTTGGGTTTTCCCTTCTTACAAGGAATATTAGTCATCCAGGTGTGACGTAGGAGGTAAATGTTACATCACTATAACACTCTACAATATCTATGTAGATGTCGCCCATTGATACAATAGTATCATCGATGTCGCCGTCTTAGGCCAATTTTTTTTCAAGTTGGAATTAATTTTCGTTGATTAGTAATCGTTCCAATTGTAGCCAAATTAATAATGAGGTTAGTGTTTGATAAACTCGAGTCTTTATCTTGTCTACACGATAAGACACCTCAAAAATAATTTAATTCATAAACAAATATTTGTGTAAAAAATTCGCCTTATCACCGAGTAAATTGTTTGGTGATTCGCAAAGTCATCCTGGTTCTAAAAAAAAGAGACGTACTTACTTTCCTATTTCCGCGCAAACCGGCGCGTCGGCGCACACTGCTGCCTTTCGGAATGTGTGCATTTTCGACGGGGACGGCGGCAGCGGTTTGCTCGGATTCGGCGGTACCAAAATCTCCGTCTTCGGTGACTTCTCGAAGGCTCCCAAAAAGTAAGCTATAATGAGGGCTATTACTAGCAATCCCAGTAGCAGCAAGACCATGTATAGGGGACGACATCTTGGCCTGAAACGAAAGGAAAGCAAATCAACGGTCGTTTTTGGAACTAGTTATTAAAATTAACGCGAAACATTCCTGCGCCATCTACCGGCGGGCAACTAAACCGTGCAGAACTCTGCGCGTACAGAAGCAATAAGCAAAAATTTTACCTTTTCTCGTTTTCGCAATGCTCCTTGATGCCCAATTTTGTGTATTCCCCATACTTCGCGTTCATGCCGTTTTCGATTTTACGCCCCGACGAATTTCGGCAACGCGCGCGTCGTGTAACGACATACTTTGAGGACACGGACGGCGTACTGTACGAATTTTGCAAATCCACCATTCTCGGCGCCTAACATTTTAATTTTTTGAACGACGAGATGCGTCTGAAATAAAATTGTTTGCGGTGTAAATTACACCATCGCCGAGAAGGGGTTGCGGCGGATCAATAGTCGTCTCGGACGACCTGCGCATACGGTGGCAGAAAAAGGGAAAACAAGCGGAAACGCTTCCGGAAACGGTTAGATTTCGTTTGCCGAAATAAACACGAAAGTAGGCGACTGCGATTTGCAATCATTAGTTTGGTTCTACACTCGTCAGATGACTCCGCCTCTTCCTCCCCATACGATCTGGAAAATTACACTCTCAGCTCTGGACTCTTTTCCGGGCGGAAGAATTAGCATTTCGGTTTCTAAGATGCCTCCAATGCTGAATGGAAGGAAGTGCGCTAGCCCTCAACCTCTCCCTTCAAACAAATACTTATTTACATTCACACCCTCACCCCATCTTAGACTTTCAAATGTTATTTTGAGAGTGTCGGATTACCATTAAAATACACAAACTGCACATGTGGAAAATTGTGGAACCATTTATTTTCACAGATAGGTATTCTCGCACTATTAAGGTGCTGTGCGCGGATGCACCATCCTATTGAAACAAACAGTTTCTTACGTTTGTTTTTTTTGTGCCATAGTATATCGTTGCACTTTTTTACGGGTCATATAAATGAAGATGATGGTTTCCCCGAAACCCTTTGTTGCCGAACTTGAAGGTTATGAAAATAATTTCGCCGCCAAAACTCTTGTAAGCGCTGAAGATATTGATATCTTGACAGACTGCTCTCATTTTCTGAATAGATATGAGCTGCCATCAGACGCAATGGATCGAAGATATTTGCTATTGTTGACAATATAGGCCCTTTGGTTGATTTGAAAATGATCTTCGTTGGGTGAAAAAATTGAATCGCTCCTGCTACACCAAATTCGGTTCGTTCGGCGTTGACTGCTATTGAATGTCCATTTCGGTAGTTGAAATCCTGCGTCAAGAAGAATAGCATTGATCTGTTGCTGGATACTGATGAGCTTCGTCGTTGCCTGTTAGATTATCTACGTATATGTCTTAGCGAATTGAACGTGCAGCCTCTGGATGGCTATTCTAGTCGTCTGCCAATTGTCTGAGACATCTTGTAGCTAAGTATGAGCTGAAATTTGCTATCATCCGAGTGGACGCTGGCTCCTCCAATTCATTACAATTCTCAAACTCTGTATCGATAACTCCTTCCGATGTCAAGCTTCGATGTCGTCTTGCAACTTCTTTAAAGCAGAATCGAGATATGGAATAACAAGTATAAATTGTGCACAACTCTTGTGCAGATAAAGCGCATTTTTTTAAATCGAAATAGCTTTTGTTTTGACATCACCAATGGATATATTTCTTGCAGACGTCTCAATCGCCCTTTGTGAGTACCTCTTCAGACAATCCGTTCTTGAGGTATAAGGGAATATACCCGATCGCGATAAGAGGTCGAGGAGGAGGACTATGGTTGGTAGAATTTAATTCCTTTCGTTGAGACCTTTCATTAGAGTACCATGAAGGATAAAACTAGCCCCCCCCCTCCATCCCGTACTTTGATAAAAGGGCAGAAAGAAGGGCAGTAATTGGTAGAAAACGATTCCTTTCGTTGAGACCTTTAATTAGAATACAATGAGAGATAAAATTAATTTTTAACCTCCCCCCCCCCTCAGGCCCCGTCGCTACTGATCTCAAAAACTCAAAAAAGAGTCGCACGGGAAAGTTGTAGTTTGTACAAACCAATTTATTTCGATGAGACCTTTCATTAGAATACCATGAAGGATAGAACATGTGTTTAGCCCCCCCCCCCTCCTCCCCTTTCCTAAAGTTTAACTTACCACCACTCAAGGCAAAATCTGAGACCAATTGGTTGTCGTATGTAAAAGCTATGCACGTTTTACTTTCAAAAACAGCATCTCAGCAAATAATTTGTGTGGGGGGGGGGGGCTTTTAGACATTTGATGGCCGTCTGGCACACCTTCAAGGTATAGGCTACCTGGCTACCTACTGCAAAAAATTCCAGGACTCTAGGACCATTCCCCTAGAAGTAGTTCAAAAGGGTAGAAGTGGGTCCGGACGAACGGACGGACAAAAGGCAAACAATAGCACATTTTTTTTAATTCTTAAAAAATGCGCTAAAAAATGTTCCGTTTCAAATTACAGTTGTCCCCCTCTAACCCCCTTCCCCCCCAGTGAGGAGTGGAGGGGGGATCTAATTTTCGGCTCATTCAATAGAGAACAACAATGTTATAAAACGGGTGGAAGGGTGGTCAGAATCGCTCTGTATATAAAACTCTTCCGTTACTGACTGATAGACAGCGCACACCTGAAACTACTGCGCGTAGAAAGCTGAAATTTGACATCTCATTTCCCTGGGAATTGTAGGGGAACATTAAGAGGGGGTTTCCCGAAATTCTCACAAAAATGGGGAAAAACGGGATGTTACGTTTTACAGTCGAAAGTGCGGAACATAAGAGACATTTGACATTTGGAACCTAGGATATTCAATGGTTTCTGTTAAGGTGAGTTCCGAAAGCACTTCCTGTCGAAAGTGCGGAACATAAGAGACATTTGACATTTGGAACCTAGGATATTCAATGGTTTCTGTTAAGGTGAGTTCCGAAAGCACTTCCTGAAATTCCCACTGGAACGAGGAAAAACTAATAGAGACACGATGAAGGTAAAGGCAGTGAAGACGATGAAGGCGAAGATGAAGCAACCAAAAAGGACAAATGGAAAGGCGAAAAAAGTGGAGACAATAAAACTGAAAACGATGATTAGAAAACCACGAAAAAAGGGAAGAAAGCGTAGACGACGAAAGCGAAGATGATGAAGGCTAAGACAAAGACTGCAAAGGTGAAGGCGTCGAAAGCAGAAGCGATTAAATTGAAGATGTTGAAGCCAGATGTTTTGCAAGCGACAACCTGAGCAAAGACGACTAAAGTGACAGTGAAGATGACAATGAAAGCGATGACAGCGAAAGGGACGACGTAAAAGACGAAGATAACGAAACTGAAGACAAAGACTAAGAAGGTAATGAAAGCGAAGAAGGGGATGTAAAATGCGACGAAAGAGACGAAAACGAAGACTGATGAAAACAAAGGCAACGAAGGCGAAGGCTAAGGAGACCAGGACGACGGAAGGAAGAACGAGAACGACTAAGTGAAGACAACGAAGCAATGAAAGCGACGAAAGACGAAAGCGGTGAAAGTTAAGACCGCCAAAGCAAACACTGCACAGGCGAAGATGCAATTTTGACGTCTATACTCGGAAACAACGAGAACTAGAACGATGGGGTTTTCTTGATATCGCATAAAGACCGGACGCGTTCTAGGATCTATGGTCAGTTGAGTAATTTTGCGAGGCGAGGCGGCGCAGCCACCGAAGCCGAGGGATGCCTGCGTGGTGTATTTTAATCTGCGAGGCGAAGCCGAGCAGTGTGTCAAGGGTCCTGTACAAGCGTGAAACTAGGCGTCATTAGCACTTCTGTAACCCCCATTCCTCCACTCCACATGATCAACTTCGAATGGCAATTTTCCATATTTTGGAATTTATTCAGAAACGCCGAGGACTAGAACGACGCGTTGGTATCGCATATCGACCGGCCTCGTTTTAGAATCTACCGCCAGGGCGGCAAATGCGCGAGGCAGGACGGCGCAGCCGCCGAAGCCGAGCAATGTCTTCGTTGTGTGTTTTAATGTGCGAAGCGAAGCCGAGAAATGTGTCAATGGTCCTATACAAGCGTGAGGCTAGGTGCCATCTACACTCGGGGTTTCCTCTTCACTAGGTAATAAAAGCAAACAAAATGCATGAGTAAAAATGGCGTCGCGCATGCGCAGTATGAAACTTTCTTATTTATAGAGCAATTTGAACGAATTTTTATGTTAGGCCCCTCTAATAAAAGCAATTTTATTACACAGATTGACTCAAAATCGCATTAATTTCTAAATTTTCTCCAATTGGAGACAGATTGCCGCGAATAATCGCAATTTTCGGAAAACTCATAGGTGATATTTCTAAAAAAACAAAAAATGGCAGCCAGTGGGGCGGCTGGAACCTCACTTCAATCACACAATTAATATTATTATTACAATAACTTCTTAACGCGAGCTGTCAAACTAATTAATATTAGATGTACTAAAATTTCCACGGCCTTTATCGAAATTTTGTTGCTCATACCTTATTCAATAAATATAAGTTTTATAGCCACAAGGACATTTCCCATTTTCCAATCGTTTCCAAAATCTGCTTAGCATTCAGGATTCCTGTGACTTTGAAACGCAAAGATCCGATGAAATATCAAAATCAAAATTTGGAGTGATTTCAATAACATTCCAATTTTTTATTGGCGAGGCCCCTCACAAACTCAGAAAAATCACCGATTCGATCGAACGACCTATGGGACGTTGCAATTTGTCGCAAAGAACACGTTAGAGAAGGTTTCGTCAACATTCGAAGCCTACTTAAAAAGTTATACGAAAAAAATCGAAATCGCTCAAATATCCATATACACTGTGTCCAAGATACGGTTGTCTATCATGGGGATCTCCGAAACCATAGAAGATACGACGGTTAAATTAGGGAAAAGATACGCAGTTAAAGAGTTATTATCATGCTTTAATGAAAACCAGAAAATTACGATTATTTCCAAAGTTTTCCGATTTAGTTTATATTTTTTTCTGATGATATTTGGACAAATACAAAAAAAAAACATTTTCTCGTTGTCACTTTTTGAGCTCTACAAGAAATTGTCGAGAAATTTTCAATACAACGTTTCGTTTCGGGGAAATCATCATCAACTTTATTTTGTATATGGCCATAAAAAAGTACATACTGTATTGAATAGGATTTTTTATTACGAATACAAAGATATACGGCACACAAAAAATCAAAGTTGGAAATTGTTGGCTTCAACAGGATGGTGCACCCGCGCACAACACACTAATCGTGCGAGAATACCTATTGAACATATTTCTCATTTTCCAGGAAATTTATTCTATAAATCAAACCCGAATCTTTCTACAGAAATAACCTACTAACGAATTACTTTTGAAAAAATCTAGAGGGATGACCACCCTGTATAATTTTTTGCAAATTTTGGATATTGGATGTTTAGTCTGAGGAAAATTCCAGCTAGTGATTCCATATTTGAAAAGGCACAAAAATCGCAATCGGAACTCACTTCCCCAAAGCGTTACTCTAACTTAACCTTGAGGACATTAGTACTTAATCGAAATTATCGCTAAAACAGTACTAGTAATGTTCGTGTTTTAAGTGTGTAATTAACAATTTTTCTCTCCACGATCCTTGACCGGCACGTAACATCGCGAATTCGCACAGCCTCGTCCTTGCCCTCCTTGATTATAATATGTACAAGAATTTAATTATAAAAATATAAATCACTCACCTCCACCTCTTCTTGATCGTGCCGTCGGCGATATTAAGCGACGTTATGGTCATTGCTGATTGACGGAACGAGGCGGCTACTCACTGCAATAAACAGTATAATTACACTATTGAGAAAACAATCATGCAATAAGAATTTAGATGTATAGGTACCCTTTTCCGTCAAACTTCCATTTCCCCCCTTATCGGTCACTTTCGACATCGTCAACTCGTGTCGTACTAATTAATTTAACGTATGGTAATTGCAGTCGGCCGAGGGTCATTAATTCGGTTAATGGCGTAGGGATAATGATTTAATAAACTCGGACGTTTCGCACTTAAAATATAATTTTTTGAATTTAATTTGATGGTTTTGTCTCTTAATTGCGCTTAATTACACGTTTCAGTCAACAGAATGCGGCTTAATTTCTTAATTCAGTCGAAAATTACGCCTAATTGGTTCGAAACATAACAGAGTTGGACTAAAATTTCAAACCTGGCGTTAAGACGATCAGTAGAGAATTGAATTTCATTCAATTTTAACACTGGAAATTGCGCTAAATTGGTAGCTAATTATTTCTTAATTCATCAATGCAATTTTTAAAGAAGTGCTTAATGCAATTTGAGCACTAATAATTGCAAGCCTCTAATTAATTTGAGAGGAATTGTTTAACTCCAATACGTAAATAAATACTTAATTCAATTGGAGCTGTAACAATTATACATAATTAGCGCTCAGTTACTGCATTTTCCAGATAGCAGAAGTTTCGCGGAAGTTTTTAGGAGAAAAGTATAAGGGAAGGGATTCAAGATAATTACAAGCAATTTCAAAAGTTTCATAAAATTCAAAAATTTTCCGAGTTTCATGTGTGTTGCAACAGGATTTTTGGACATCTTCACAGTAATTTAAAAATTTTCAAAGAATTGCATAATAGTGTCAAGCATGCTTCATGAGAGGTTCTAAAACTTCTCACTCACTTCTTGAAAGTCCCTTTAAACTTTATTGGAACCCTATTGTAATTTCGTTGAATCTACCGTCCGGAAACAGATTTGAAAATAGTTGGAAAATTTGAAGCTATGTATAGCCATCCTCTAGCAACTTTTTTTAGAAATCTCTTGCCATTATCTTGAAACTTTATTAAATACCCCTTGCACTTTTCTTGAAACTGTCTTGAAAGTCCGTGAACAGTTGTGGAACCTCTTATAAAACGCTCTCGATACGATTGTGGAATTCTTTGAAAATTCTCCTCTCTTCTCTCTCGTGAAGGTTTCTAAAAATTTTCTTGAATTTTGTTAGAAGTCGCTTGGAAGTCTCTTTAATCTTTATTGAAACCATTTTTTTCGAAAATGCCGTGAAGTTGTCGGAAAATTCTGTTGCAACACATTTGAAAATTTTTAGAACTGTTTAAACTGTTTGGAGCCTTCCCTTACATTCCTCTTGAAATTCCGGAAACTTGCTTAAAGTCTCTTTGTAACTTTCTACGATTTTTTCAATTTTTCTTTCAACGTACTTGGAACCCGCTCGAGACTTTTTGCAAGTTCTTATAAAATTCACTTGAATTCCTCAAGTCGGCCCCCAAATAGATTGGTTGTGCGAATCTAGGGAACACATTAATTAATTTGATACTTTAACGAAAGTCTAATTTTTTTACAAATTTCTTGAAACTCCTAAAACTTCAATGAAAACCTCTTGCAACTCTCAACAAACTGCCTTGAATGTTTCTTGAAATTCTCTTACAACGCATTTGAAACTCCTTTGAAAATTTTTAGAACCCCTGCTTGTTATAAAATTCTTTGAAACTCGACTCAAACTCCATTAGAAATCTCTTGGAAGTTATCTCTTTTAGAAATCACTTGCAACTCTCTTGAAACTTTATTAAAGAACCCTTGCAGCTTTCTTGAAACGTTCTTAAAGGCCTCTTTCAAATTTTCAACTAACGAACTTGAAACTCGTTTGTAGATTTCTGAAATTTTCAGAGCTCTGAGTTTCAAGAAAGGTGCAAGGGATCTTTAATAAAGTTTCAAGAGAGTTGCAAGCCATTTCTAAAAGATATACCAAGCTTCAAGAGAGTTTCAAATATTTTCCAAACAATTTCATTGAAGCGTGAAAGGAGTTTGATAAGAAGTTCTAAAAATGTTCAAGCGAGTACTGAATTTCAATATACTTTCAATGCAGCTTTAAGAGTATTGCCAGCTTTGAAGTAAATATCTAAAACGGTTTCAAAATCCCATAGAGGGAGGAAATTAATTAGTGTATTCGTACATTGAGTCTTCTAATTCAACCAAATAGGATGAACATGTCAAAATTCGATTCTTTTCACTTGTAAAGCGGTTTTTTTTAAATTTGGGTAGAACAGAACGTACACGACAATTAATAATTGACCACCCTTTTTGAGGACTTGAACCTTGCATCTCGGACCAAATGCCCAAATTTGACCTAGTACCCCGGCCCAACTGCCAAAATTTGATCTTGCACCCTGAGCCAACTACTGAAATATATCACCCCGGACCAACTGCCAAATGAAAATGGTGCTACTCGTGTCAATATAGTTTCCTATATTACGTTTAATGAGCGATCGTCAAGAACCCTTTTTGATTTCTCTACTCCATGAAGCATTTAAATGATTCTTTGAACCAAATTTACTGGAATTGGGTAGCAGGCACCCAACATTTCGATGGCTTAAAACCATGGAGTCTAATAATTACCCGCCTAGTATGCTTGACTAAGCCCCACCACCACGACAAGGTGCATCCCATGGTGGCATCATGTTTTGGCAGTTGGTCCGGGGTGCGAGATCATATTTCGGCAGTCGGTCGGGGATATTTCGGTAGTTGGCCCGCCATCTTGGAACAAAACTTCAACCGCCGTTCAAAGTTCAAAGGTTGGGCACCGTTCAAAGTCCACATAGCATCCAAGATGGCGGGCCAACTGCCAAAATATGGCACCCGGGGCCAACTGTCGAAATATGATCTTGTACCGCGCACCAACTGCCAAAATTTGACCCGAGCCAACTTCCGAAATATTTTCTCACGGTCTACGTTGAAGTGGCCGAGTTGTCTGTTAAAGTTCTCGAAAAATTGTCGGGACTCTTGAAGCCTCTCAATGATTAAAGCCCTTTGCGTGTAATTTAATGTTCTTAACTCTCTCAAAATCTCTTAAATGCGCGGCTCTAAAGAGTAACGAATCTAAACCCTAAAAGACCCTTGTAGATTCTGTGAAGCTCTAAGGAACTGTTTACGATTCTTAAGAACCCTTTTAAGGATTCTTCAGACCTTCTATAAAAAGACATTAAAACTCGTTAGAACAATTTAAAATGACCATAAAGAGATTTAAAGGGCCTGCAGGACTTGGATTTGGATATTAAAAGTTCCTTAAGACTCTTAAGGATCCTCTGAATCACTTAAAGTTTGTCGAGACCATGAAAAACTTTTAGTAATCCATGATAAAAGCTCTTAAAGACTTTCAAAAACTCTCGAAAACCTAGAGACCTTTAACCTCATAAAATATCCTAAAGGCTCTTCAAGGTTGGGGTTTAAATATTCTTAAACATTTGTAAGTAATCTCAGAGCCTTTTGAACGCCACTTTAGCTGTGGAGACCATGGAAACCTCTGGAAAACAAAAACTGCTGTCTCTTTGATACAAGGAAAATATAATTAGGCGCATGCGCATTATCTTATTTGTAGGGTATTATATACAGTGATATCCATTTAGAAGTAGACATAGGGATTTTTATGTATTGTTTTTCCTGTCTTTTAAATGACAAAAACTAATTTTATGCAACGAAAATTACTTCTTTAAACAAATAAAATTAATACATATATAGTATAGTAATAATAATAATAATCCGTATTTTTATTTTTGTTTGCATGCGATGTATTCAACTGACGAAAAAGTTGACATTGTCAATTGGTATAGTGCCGGTAACAGTTTAAGGAGCGTAAGAGACTTATTTTCTGTGTGGATCACTTTAAAACGAGCTTTAAAATTAGTGGTTGTTTAAATGCGATGCACATAAGATACCGTAAACAACCCTCAGTTTTAACGGAGGATATGAAACTGAACATTTTCATTTTTGTGCAAAAGAATCCCATAAGAAACTTAAGGGTAATAGCTGTCGAATTTAATATATCTTTATCATAACCTAAAAACATACTATTTACTGTCGCTTTTATTAAAACTCAAAATGACAGTGCAGAATGCGTGCCCATGTTACAAGGATGCATAAAATTACGCGCCTTTCAGAAGAGTTTTTGTCATTTAAAAGTAGACAGAGGAAATCCCTATGTGTACTTCTAAATGAATAACACTGTAGATATTTTCACATAAGAATATTCTAACAGGATGCCTAAATTCGAGTAAGTGGATATGCAAGGACAGTTTTATTAAAATACGGATCGACCCCCAACAGCAGTTAGATTGCACATGCGCACAATTAACTGCGCGTTACAAAAATGGGTTTCGCGCATGCGCACGACAAACTTTCCGATTTGAATCTTACTGCAATTCTTATATTAGACAAAGTGCAGAATACCACGTGTGCGCACAAAATAAACTTTCGTGAGAAGACTTACCGCACGTAGTAGAAATGATCCCACTTCTTAAAGGGATTAGGAATTCAAGATCTTGGACGTACTTGTCCCACAGCACACCAAATTAGAGACAATTTGGAAATGAACAGCAAGGAAAAGGGATGCGGTCTATCAGGATGAGACATTTCCGGGACTCTTAAATTTTTTATCTAATTACCACGGTGATAAGTATTGCACCACAGCCGGTTCCCAATAAAAAATACCCTCTTGCAATTTAGGCAAGGGTCCGATTAATCAAAGATATGCGCGCCGTATAAAGATCTTTGCTGCTGTGATCTAACATTGACCTTGCACAGCACGCCGCGATCGCGGGAGAGAAATTTCGAAAATTTCCCAGATGACATAATCGTATTTATAAAATCTTACCTTGCTCTTTAAGAAAGAGAAAGCGTCACTCAACACGCGTCGTACATTAATCGCCCAATTTTGATATGGTTCGAAAATCGTATTTCCCAACGCGTATCCGTTTTGGGAGGGATTTTACGAATATTGCCTTGCGACGACGACGTCACGT